TCAGGCAAATTATTGACCAGACATGTTCCGTACTTTTTCTGTACTTTTTATCGCAGTGCACAATGTTTCAACATAGTCTGACACATGATAGCGCATGCGTTTTCAAGTTTTTAAGTTTGCAATAAATTTTGAACATTCTTAGGCTATTTGAGTGTACCAATTCGGATGAAAAAATTTCGCGCGGAATTTAAAGTAAAATTGTACGCACAAAAAAAAAAGTTCAACATTTTATTCGCATAAAGCGACTTCTCCTTATGTCTTGGTACACTGTGGCAAAAAGCTACGGAAAATTCTGTAAACAGCTTGTAGTAATTCTCCGTAGCCCCCTTGTCAATATTGTCCGTAGGCTCTTACAGTATTCTCCGTAGGACGATACAGTCTTCCAGGTCCTACGGAGAAGACTGTACGGCCCTACGGAGAATACTGTAAGATCCTACTGAGAATATTAATAAGAGGGCTACGGAGAATCCTGGCAAAAAATTAACTGAATTTTCCGTACCTTTTTGCTATAGTGTAGAAGAATCGATTTGTAACCTTTCTTCCTTGTTGAGTTTTTTTGGAATGTCCCAAATCGAATGAAACCGCTTTCGCTATATCTGATAGTTTTTGAAAGGAGGGAATCGTTTCATCACGCTAGATGTACAATTCAGTACGTGGTGTTGCGTAACTTTAAACCTTTTAAACGCACTGCATAAAATTGTGCAATAATTTTCGTCAATTTATGCATTTTTACGCATGATCTTATGCGAATTCCACATGTGCAGAAACCATGCCAGTTACACGAGCAAAATTCTTCATAAATATTTAGGATGAAGTGTCCTAGTGGTGCACGATAAATGTTTATGTACAATTTTGTACGCTATGATTCATGATTTTAATCCTGTAACACAAATTGCATAAAATTGTGCTCAAATTAGCATAAGTTTGTGCATTAGGACTATGCAAATTCCACATATGCACAAGATCGTCCAGGTAACACGAACAAAATTCTACATAAGTATTTGTGTGAAGTGTCACAGTGTGGCGGTCTAGCGCAGGTCAGGGGAGAAGGACAAGTCGCTTCGAGACTATCACAGGTTTTTTTACTATTATTATTATTATTTTTAATTTTTTAAGCGTTTTATTTCCGGTTGCCAATTACTCTCACAGCCAGCCCCAGTCCAGCATGCTCTGCACCGCGTCGCCGTAGCGGCGTCTCACTTCGGGCGTATCTTTGACTTGGAAGCCGGCGACTTCGCTGTCCTTAGCCTCTTCGCTGCCCGTGGCGTCCGCAATGGCGCCCTGGACGTCCTTGATGGCGGAATCGTCGGTGAAGACGTGCACCATGCACGGGACCATGCCCACAGCCATACGGCAAGCACGCTGCATTTGTCTCTGCGCAAAGAAACCCATAGTTTCTGACTTGTCCATAATTTTTGTCATTTTTGTGTTTGTGTACACGTAAGCTAGGGACAATTTGATACATGAACTAAGGGACAGTTTTTTCATTGTGTTTCTGCATTTATTAATTTCTACCCAATGAATGTTTAAAATTGTGTCTTATTTATGTGTAAATTTGTTCATAACTTACATCGGTGCACATTGAAAAGTCAAAGGTGAGAAATGAGACCCGGTTGAACAATTCTCACCTTTGCACTGAGAATACAAACGCTATGAGTATACTCTCAGTGCGTCAATTAGTGCAATGCCTTCCCACTCCCTTGCATTAGCATAGGGCATTTTCGGGACGCATTGCACGTAAGGTGCAACATGGCCACGGCAAAAACAGTGTCGGGGTTTCACAGGCGCACCCTGGGTCATTATAGTCCAGGGTGGGCCTGGAAAACGTGGACAATGTTTTTGCCGTGGCTATGGCATTGCACGTATGGCGCGATATTTTAAATCACATGCTATGTTCATGGCGGTTGGAATCTCAGTGACTATACGTCAATAATACTTACAAGCAAAAAGTCCGTGAGCAATTTTTTTGTGAGCATACCTGGAACATGTGCCAGGGGTAGACGGAGTCGGGGTCCTCGATGCCGCCCGCCCTCAGAGTGCCCTGCAGTTCGTCGTGGTACTGCCGCATCAGCGACGCCCAGTGCTCGTCCCGCAGTTTCTTCTCCGTCGTGCAGAGCAGGATGATGGCGAGGTCCGGGGCGGGCCAGGCGTACCGAACGATCTGGAAGTCGATCAGGCAGCAGCCCACTGTCGCTCCCGCCTGGAACAAACGACAGGTTGAATTTTGCGGCGTGTGTTTGCTGGAAAATTAAGGATTTTACAACATTTTTTTTGTCTTGCCAGGGGAAAAAATGTTTTGGACAGGGTAAGTGTGCCGTCCCAAGCCTTATTAAAGTCATGGTGACTTAACATACCAAATAGAAACAGTTCAAGCGCACAAGCTCAAGAAAATTAATCAAAAATGGACAGTCGTGAACCGAATCTTAGCCTTATGATTAGGCTAAGCGTCCCGTTAACTAGGTGTCATAGGCAAAGCTGTGCATGAATACTGTTGCTTTCGAGGGGCTATGCGCTCTCTGAACCTGTGTACCGACTATTACGCTATTACGCTCTATTACGCCTCAAATTAATCGGAATTTAGTTAAAAACGGCCTAAAACACACGAAAATTGATAAAATTTTGACAATTTCGGCTATTACGCGACTATCACGCGTATTATTACGCGTGCTATTACAGATAGAGTGAACCGACTATTACGCGAGTGCATACCCCCTCGGTTGCTTTCGATATCAGCTTGATGGCTCTTGGGTTCACCCCCCGTTCTTTTTTACCCACACACTAAATGTGTACAATTTTGAACGAGACATCTCAGTGTTGTGCGCAGATGAACTTTTCGTATAGTTTTGGAAAAATTTTGCACTAAAAACTGTCCATATTTCCCCATTTTTGTACTAAATTGCGGACAAATTTGTACAAAAAGTTCGTCTGCACGAAAAAAAAAATGTGACGTCTTGTACATGGTACAAAAACATTTCGGAAGCAATTGAGAAGAAACTACATTTGTACCTCATTCTGCTGGAAAAGGATGTTGTTCACGTGGCAGTCACCGTGAACAATGGAGTTGCCTCCCTCCGGGTCCGGTCGCAGGTATTCAAAATAGTCCTCGATAGACATCGTGCTAATACTCTCTAGTTTCTCCATCACAGACGGCGGAAATCTGTCTTTGAGCATGTCTGTAAATGAAAGAAGAGTTTAGACTTCCTGCTTGAAGTGTTCAGGACACGCTCCTGCACCGAAAGTTGTGTTTCGCCTGAGCAGGCTCCGTGACTTATTTAAATTGAAGATTTTCAGATGTTTTAGGTGCAGGACACTGAAATTTTTGAATAAGGTGCGAAGCTCTGCGTTATTGTTATTTTTCACGCTCAGCATTATTTTATATGATAGAAGTAAACACACCAAACGTGCAGAACCCCGCGCGAGGAGACGACTGTTGACGATTTGGCCACATCACAAACGCAGCACGCAATTACGCTTAAATTTTGCAATATTTGTGTACACGGAAGCCATGTACAATACACAAATAAGGGACAAAAATTCCACATTGTTCCCTACTATTTATAAAATTTGTTCATAGCATATATGGACATTCATGGTAGCATATATGGACATTCATGGTAAGGGAAGGTGGGGTACCATGTGACGGTTTTTGTTAAGTGCCCGTCAACCCAATAATACCAATCACATTACATTCATAAGTAGTCAGGTGAACAAAATGACTCTTCACCTTAAAACTTCTGTTGAGATTTCTAATTTATCTGTTTTGGTTGCTGAGTTATCCCGAGTTGAATGGGCCAAGTCAAAATGTCACTTCGTACCCCACGTAGTACACTATGTGACAGCCTTAGTGCACCATGTGACAGTGGCCTTTTGTCAGGGTTTAAATCCTATTCAGCGTATCTATACGCAAAGAATGAATGAAAAAGTCTTCCAGCTTTTTATTTCCGTTGAGTTTATCAATTTATCATCTTTGGTTCCCGAGCAATGAAGGTTTTAGTTATTAGTGTACAAATGTCATGGGCTGAACACATTCAACTGAGTGAATCGTGGAATCCCATAGCGAATGACAGTAGTGTCACATGGTGCCCAGAACAACAGTTTTAGGGGAAACAGCAATAACGCTCAAAGTTTATGCCGCAGAGAATCGAGCCAAAGCTTATTTTGCGCTAAAAAAATCAAAGAAGAACATCTTGCAGAGCACATGTCCTTAAAATGTATTTTAAAGGTAAAAAGCGGACGCGGCGGGAAATAGAAAAAGTTTCCAATGAGTTATTTTAAGACTATTTCCAATTCTGATCGCTACCATTCCCGTCCTTTTCGAAGGAGAGTCACGACCTAATGCACGTCGATTCTCCTTCATAATACCTTCCTTTGAGTCTTCTTACCGCTGTTGGATAGCAAGCCGTTTGGGAGAAAAAGCCAAAGTCAAAGTCACATGGTGGCTGTGTCACATGGTACCCCACCTTCCCTTAATAATTAGGGAGACATTTAGCGTGTGAAGTTCTCCACTACTGCAGTAGTGGAAACCATGGTTTCTCAGTGGAGTGAGTCTCACCAGGAGTGTTGACACTGGATTTCAAGAACGGTAAGAAAACGTTTTTCAATTCCTCCAGCCAGACGGGTTCATCCACCATCTCCTTCAGTTCGGCTATGAGGTCAGGACGAAACTTGTCCAGCACCATGCCCGCTCCGTGCAAGCGCGCAAGCTGGAACACATTAAAATGCACTGTGGAGGAAAAGCATATAATAATATAAAGATAGAATCTTTAGGGTCTCAAAACTTCACAGCTCCGAGAAAATCTCTAAAAAAAAAGATGGAAAATGAATGGAGTCTCCATGAACGTGATTCTAGGGTTTTTCTCCATGAAATTTCGGAGCTAATTTCTAACAGTGTACTACGACGTCACACTTCTAAAATACCTACAAAACTGATATGTTTCAATCACAATTTTTGGTACTGATAAAATTTTCGTACGAAAAACTGAAGAAGTTACTTCGTATCAATTCAATGTGTTATTGATGAAGCAGTGTTTTCTGTACGCCAATTCAAGTAATGTGTTTAAACCGTGGGGGCAAAAACTCGGGATTTTCGTGTACACATGATTCGGAAAACGCAATGATTTCATGGCTGATTCGCCTTATTTCGCGACGCACCAGGGTGATGTTGATCGTGATTGTGTGTGATTGTGTTCGGAAAGAAATGATTTCGGACTGATTTTTCCTGGTTTCGTGTGATTGTGCCTGATTTCGGTCGAATTTAGTGATTTTGGTTGATTTCGGATTGCTTGATTTCGCGTGATTCTCAATGATTCGCATCTGATTTCGGGGGCCGTGTACACATGATTGCGCGAGTTTTTGCCCCCTCGGTTTAAACAAATTTTGTAAGAGACATCATGTTTTTTTTTGTGCAGATGAACTGTTTTTAAAATTTTGTGATCTCGTACTAAAACGGATAAATATGTGCAGAGTCGCTCCCACTCAGCCGAATGCCCACAAAAGGGCGCGACTTAAATTTCCCCATGTAGGTTTCACTCACTTTCCTTGAATGCTTTTCTGACATCCGGCCGATCACCACCTCACCTGGGTTGCAATTAATCGGCACTGCCTCTCATCCAGGGTGGCGCCCCTCTTGTTGATGCCGAAGCCCTGAGGTTTCATGTCCTCGATCACCAGACAAGGTGACTGTGGGTCCGTGGGGTATCCCCTGCAAGAAAGTGAACGAAAAGTTTGAACTTTTGAAGAATGACACACTACACTGCAGCCAGTGGTAAGTTTGCTCGCCACAAATTTGGCAGCAAGCAGTATTGACTGCCAAAATTTGGCAAGCTTTGGTCGACACTCTTCATAAGCTTGCCAAATTTTGGCAAGCTGGAGAGTATTTTCGGGCCAAGCTTGCCAAATTTTGGCATTCAAAATGTCTTGCCCAATTCGTGGCAAGTAAACTTACCACTGGAATTGCAGTGTAAATGTATTTGTACAATTATTTTGTACGTGGTCTGACACAAATTTAAACATGCCAACTTTTTCGAACGAATTCGTGCGAAATTGCGTACAAATTTGTACGAAAAACACGTGTGCGCAAAGTTGTGAGAGACTTCGTACCAAAAAATGTAGGAATTAAGTGTGCTTGGGGTTTGTTTACATTGCAGTACCCACCTAGGCCATGGCAGAGGCTTCTTGAGGTGTACTAACTCTTCCAGGGCAGGAAGCAGTCTATTGTAGACGAAAATCTCGCATCTGAAGGCACCCTCAACGAAATGTGACTTTTCCATGGACGGTAACATAGCCTTGCACATGAGGCAAAGTGGATCATCCTGGTCACACACAAAAACAAGCCGATAAGTGGAAGCTCGTGCATGCTGACGGACCCTTTCACTCGCCGAGTGACAAGCAGGAACTGACAGTGCGCCACCCAGCGTCGGATGCGTAAAATTTTATCAAGACCTACACCCAAATATCTTACGAAGAGATTTCCCATGATTCGAAGGAAATGGTGCAAGCATAATGCAAAGGCGTTTTTCTTCGTATTACACTGGAAGCGTAATGGTTGGACACATGGCCAAATTATGGCGTGACAACAAGTCGCGCCAAACCTTGGCGTGACACGAAATTCGCGCCGAAAAACGGCATGATATGCGAGTCACGCCATTATCTGGCGTGAATGACCATGCGTTTAATGAGAAAAGTCATACCCAAAACCGGCGTGACAAGAAATCCAGACCAGAAATTCGTGTGAGTGAGAGAGAGAGAGAGAGAGGGGGGGGGGACGCCTACAACCGCAACAGGCTTAGATCAGCAATGCTAGTAAGCTCAATCGCTATCTTTCCCCATCTTACCTCGTTCCGTATGACGATGCGATACAAAGCACTCAGATATCCGTCACCGTCGTTTGACCCCTGCTCGATGTGGTACCTGCACCGGAAAGCAGAAGTTGTGAAATTGAGCCATTGTTGCAATAAACATTGGGTTTCTCCACTAAGAAGTCAATTTCACGCTTGAAACACTGTCGTATTCACAAATCGCCGTGCCTTCGGGTTTGCAGTGTACTAAACGCCCGTACTCACTTAGGGTTTTTCCAGCCACGCTCGTGGACGATGTGCTTCAGTGCCCTGTCCACACTCTCGGGGACGGCCACAGCCGCTCCGTTCGCTGCCATGGTCGGCACCACACTGATAAAGAGAGGCGCAACAGGCTGCTCTTCGCGCAGAAGGTGGACCGGTGGGAGGGGAGTCCTTGCAAATCACGGCGAGAATAATGCTCTGCGCTGTCCACCACAAAATCGCAAGGTTGCCAAGGCGTTTTTATAGCAGGAGAAAGCCCAACGTTGCGCAACAAACGCGCCTTATCACTACTCACTCCGTGACACTTCAATTTTGAGCTGACTATCGGGCCTGGAGACCGCATAAATTTCTAATTGTGGCGCAATCGCCGCGAAAATGATATTATTGCAACCACCTCAGTCAGTAAGTAAAGAACTTAAAAAGCCATAATTATGCTTTTAACCAGCACGCCACTTAATCCCATGATTAGACTATAATCGATCAAGCATTTACATTCGACACCCTAAAGTGTGAGATATATTGAACCGAAACCGCTTAACTACAGTCGGGTTCCGCACACGAAATGTTATGTACAATTTTGTTGGCGACATCACAGTGTTTTGAGCTGATAAATTACTTTTCGTACAAATTTCGTCCGAAAAACTGCACATATTTCCCCATTTTGTACAAAATCGCGTACAAATTTAAACAAAACGTTCATCTGCACAAAAAACTGTGACGTCTCGCACAAAATTTGTTTGAAATAAAAACTTACTTCAATTCATAATTTTTCGTATTCTAAACGCATTTTGAAAGGTTCAAAAACGAATATTTTAAAACTTCGACTTAGTACTTAATCTTTAAAAGCCATTCAATACCATGAAAAAACGAAGTACAATCAGCATAATGGATTCATTCCGGCAGAATTATGAGAACATTCGGTTATTAGTTTGTAAAGCATAATCGATCGAAGTAGGAAGCCCCATTTTCTTATCTTTAATCCTGCCCCTGCATTCAACTGACGTGTGATAGCAAAGCAGCGACTTTCCTGAAAAGGTGTAGGCTTTTTGGGCTGCATTCCTCGCTCAGACACCCTACGTTCAAGCTTTCATTCTACGCCTTTCTTCAAGCGTAGTTGAACTACGCTTGGCTTCAAGCGTAGTTCTCCTTTTCGCCTCTCTCCCGCCTATCTAAATACATGGGAGAATTTCTTCTCTACGCTTGACGCCAAGCGTAAAGTCTTCAAGCGTAGTTGTATGCTTGCATGAAGCATACAACTACGCTCCAGTTTTACCAGTGCCGTAATATATTTGCACGAAAGTCTTTGTATCTTACGGAAATGGCGTTCGTATTATTCTTACGTGAACGAATTAGTATATAACGCGGAAAAGTCTGTAACGGGCTGAGAGTGTAGGCACCTGCGCGGTCAAATAGTCGCCTTTGCTGAGCCTCGCTCACAAAGCCGGATGGTCTCACTTAGTTCGTCAAGCCCACTTTGCACTGTGGTCCCAGCGGCTGCGTGTCGGCCGCCACAGCGCAGGAGCGCCGGCGGGGTAGGCCACCCATTGTACTGCCGCATCACTTGTAAAACTAAAGCGTAGTTGTACGCTTCATTTCAGCGGGTTCAAGAGCACTGTAAGCCTAATTTGCATGGTTTCGACATTTAAATTTGTAAATGTATTGAAATGTGAATACTTATTATTTTATTTCCTCGTGCGTTTAGCGAACGGAAGCTTAACGCTACGCCGTAGTTTTCAAAAGTTTTCAAGAATATTTGTTCTGTGTTTGAAGTGATCACTGTAAATCCAAAGGCAATACATTTAGTACCTTTTTTGGCGATACAATTGAGTATCGCCAATAAACGGCCTTACGGAAAAGTATTGCCTTCAAAACGGCGATACACAAAAGTATCGCCAAAATTTGGCGATACTTGGGAGTATTGCCACGATTTGGCAATAAACGTCAAACAAATCAAGAGGACAAGGCCTTGGTTTAAGGGGGCTCATACATGTTAAAAGCACTTTTCTAAAAAAAATTTTTGATGTAGACGGATTAAGATTTTACAATTTCTGTGTTAAAATCCTTTTAGATAATTGAGTAAGCTTCATTTTGGCTTAAGGGAAAGTGACTTTGGACATTTTTTAGAGATTTAGTCGAAACGTTTAAAATTTTGCTTCTCGTAAGATTTTGTTCGCATACTTGCTCAGATCTGTGGGGAAAAAATCAGGGAGACTCATCCCCAGTAGTGTCATAGAATTGACTACAATGGGCTTTATATCTGCAAGAGTTTTCAAGAAAAAAAATAAAAACAATTTTTTGTTGAAAAATTTGTTTAAAAAATTGTTTAAAAAATTGTTTTTATTTTTTTTCTTGAAAACTATTGCAGATATAAAGCCCATTCTAGTCAATTCTATGACACTACTGGGGATGAGTCTCCCTGATTTTTCCCCCACAGATCTGAGCAAGTATGCGAACAAAATCTTACGAGAAGCAAAATTTTAAACGTTTCGACTAAATCTCTAAAAAATGTCCAAAGTCACTTTCCCTTAAGCCAAAATGAAGCTTACTCAATTATCTAAAAGGATTTTAACACAGAAATTGTAAAATCTTAGTCCGTCTACATCAAAAAAATTTTTTAGAAAAGTGCTTTTAACATGTATGAGCCCCCTTAATGCCGTGGTTTTGGCATTATCCAAAAGTATTGCCAAATTTCGGCGATACTTTCTTGTATCGCCGTTCTGAAGGCATTACTTTTCCGTACGGCCGTTTATTGGCGATACTCATTTGTATCGCCAAATAATGTACTTTAGTATCGCCGTTGCGTTTGCAGTGATGCCGAGTGTTGCACTTCAGGACTCAGCAGGTGTCAAATTGGTGTCAGAAAGAGGGAGATAGAGAATCACAAATTTAAAACGCAAGGAACCACGGCATATGTTCTGTAGAGAATGTATACAATTTATTTTATTGTAACAGGGATAAAACATTTCTTCAACAATTTTGATAGCGTTATTTAATTGACTGTATACATAGCTGTATAATTTCATGTTGATCACTTACAGATTAAAATATTTAAAATATTGGGCTCAATAAGTACCTATAATGTACAAAACGTACAATGTCTGACACATTTTTGGAAATTAATTGTGTATGCACAGGTGTGCTAATTTTACCTAAAATTACTTTTGAACAAAGGGTGAGATCGTTCTTACAGTGAGTAGCAAAAACAATGTAACTGTCCCACTTAACCTACTTATCACATAATTCCCCGATGTACACTCTGTGACTTCCTTTCACCTTCGCCGGGCACTCCTGTGGGCATAAAGCATTAGTCAGTTACGAAAAATAAATAGAATAAACCTCTCGCGACGACAACCAGCCACGACGGTTCTGACTCAGGAGCGCAACCAGCTGCCAACCGAAGAAAATTGTTTGAGGTATGAAGTGTTCTTCGGCAAAAGTCCTCCGGCAAGTAATGTTATCTGGTGTGTGGGCGGCATGGATTTAATTAAAATACGGCTGTTCACATCCTGCAGTTAGGATGGTTCTGAATCGACACGGCACTGAAATGAGGTATTTTGCGATAGTGAAGAAGAGAAAGAAGAAGATGCGACGGTGGGGGTAGAACATGAACCCTCATTTGATTAGGCAGTGCGTCTGCTTGAGGGGCGGGGCGGGGGCGGTTGGGGGCCATCATACACTGAGATTCCAAACGCTATGAGTATAGCACGTATGGTGCAATGCGCTGTGATATCGCACCATACGTGCAATGCCACAGCCATATTGCACCTTTGGTGCAATGCTTCCCGAAAAGGCCCCATGCTAATGCATGGGAAATGGGAGGCATTCCACTTCATGTGCAATGCTTTTGCATTGCACCAATTGACGCTATACTCATAGCGTTTGGATTCTCAGTGTAGCCGCCAAACAAATGAGGGTTTGTGATGTTCTACCCCCACCGCAGCTTCTTCTTCTTTCTCTTCTTCACTATCGCAAAATACCTCATTTAAAGAGAGACATCGCACCAACTCTAGGCGATACAAAAAGTGACATCACAAGAAAGGTCGTAAACAAACGTATCACCGAAAAACTGGTCGTACAAAAACGTATCACCGAAAAACGGATCTTACACAAACGTAGGTATCACCGAAAACAGGGCGATACAACAATGTATCACAAAGGTAAATCACAAAGGCCGGACATCAGCGACACTGGCCGTTGTTTTCCGAGGCGAAATATTACCTTTTAACGGTGTATCACCCTTGTTACGGAGAAAGTGCATCGAAATGTCAACCCTTTCTGCGGTGACACGCCGAAGTATCGCCCTATATTTTCCGAAATACGTCTAATTCTCACTCATTTTCGATGAGGCAGTCATGTCTCACCCCCCACTATTCGATTCTCAGTGATGGCAGTAAGCTAGAATTGACTCAGCTTGCCGGCGCAGATCAACCAAACGAAACTAGCGGAATGCATTGGTACCTGGCAGGAGTGGTTGGTGGAGTGCGGGAGGATGACGGCGTTGCAGAGGCGGCCTCTGCCGGGGGCGCCGCCGCCACCCTTGGCGGGCAGACAGGGACCCTGCAGTATGACGTGCAGCTTCTGGGCGTCGTCCATGACGCGCCGCAGCTGCTGCAGCCACCTCGAGTCGCACAGCCGGCCGGGTACGTCCGCGTCGCCCAGAGTGAGGAGGCGCAGCGAGTCGGGCAGCCGCGCCAGGGGCTCCGCGCTGCGGCTGCAGACACCCACATGAGGGGCCCAGTTTCGGGGCATAGGGTCAGTTGGGGTAGACACGGGGTAAAAATGGGACAGTTGATTCTTAGTCAAGAAAAATCGAGATTTTAGAACTTGTGCCCTAGCAAATGTTATTTTCTCAACAAAAACATCACATTTGGTATGTCAAGCGTTCCAAAATGTCAAACCTTTGTTGGGGAGCCCCCAGTGTTTAGAATGAAGAATGAGACGAGGTTGATAAGACTTATGTATATTTCCACAAGACTATGCTGGCAAATCACATCCACCCACTTTGACGCTCTGTCTTCGACTGTCCTCGCAGTGCCCCGGAGCACCGCGCTCCAGCCCTTCGACCCTGGCCGATAACGCAGTGCTACCACGACACCGCGCACAAACTCCCTTACGCTAACCATCGGTGCCGGCCTCAGTGAAGGGATTTTCGCTGCTCGCTGCTGCCAGCGCGAGGCAGCCCTTCGTTCAAAGTCTGCGCGTGACGCACACCCTGCCACGCGGAGAGCCGTCCGCGTGACCGAGCATAGGTCACTCTGGGGTCCCTTCACTGAAGTCAACACGGCCCGGACGCCCGCCGGAAAACATTGCGAAACGACACACAAGTCGTGGCGTCGTCCAGACCAACCGATGCCTATCTAACTAAGCCTAAAATTTTAAACTAACCGCGTTGGCGGTGCTCATTCCGCCAACACCTTGACTAAGAATCAGCTGTCCCATTTTTACCCCGTGTCCCATAATTACCCCACCTGACCCTACCAACTTTGGAGTGTACTCACCCGTCCGTCGAGCGTGGCAGCAGGGCGTGCAGTGGAAAAGTGGCTGGTTCCACATCCAGCTTCAGCGTTTGCACCACAGGCAGCGATGTCAGAAGGTCCTTGAGCGCACCGGGACCATCTCCCGGGTCAGACAGGGAGCAGCACACGCCGCGCAGGGTGACATACCGCAGGAACCTGCCCGGTATGTTGGCCAGGACCTCCCAGCTATCGTGAACACTGCAAGTACCTTCGCAGGAAAAAACATGATGTCAGCAACTTTCAATCAACACTCGAAATGCACTGGTAAAACAAAGGAATAAGAATCACACCCTTAAGGGCATAAAGCCTTTTTCACGCCAGGGCGTGAATCGTATGTCTTTGGAAGGGTGCTTGCACTATTTTCTTTGTGTCATGGGAAATTTCTTCGTAAGGCATTAAGAGTGAATGTGTGGCTTACTTATGGCCAAGCTCACTAGAGCCAAATTCACGAAATTTAAAACCAATGTCCACTGCAGAAAATAACTACAACAAAAGTACACAAATTTCTGGCAAATTTTTTATCTGGAATTTAGTGTACGTTTCAAGTACAACAATTGTTGTACAAAGTACAACGGAACCGGCATGACGAGTGCTGGGCAGTCCAGGGCTGGTTTTGGTTTGTACAATTCTCGTTGTACTTTCTACAATCCCTGTTGTACTTTTATTGTACAGTTTTTGTTATACTTTTGTTGTACTATCCACACTTTTTCTTGCAGTGTCCTTACCTCGTTGGAATAAGATTTCCAGCTGACAAAGCTCCCAGAGGTTACGCAAGAGAAATATCTTTTCGAGGACTCGAAGACACTCCTCTTCCTCACCTCTCGGGGCGCGCAAGAACAGGGTGCCTAGAAACTTGAGGGGCTTCAATACTTGGATTAAGGACGGTAGAATTACCGCCTGAAGAGTACGCAAACGGGGTGGCAGGAAGTCCAGCAAGCCTTGCTGATCCTGTAAAGAAAAACCAAATCATGTATCATTACACTGGAAAAACTAAGGCGTAGTATTACGCCTTTCGTGAAGCGTACACACTGTTAAAAAAAACTTACCTTTGAACGAATGTCAACCCTCGCCAACTGGTCACGATGGACTTGAAGCAGCGACCGAATCGGGCGGCACAGCGTCGCGAACGGCGCATGGTCGCGGACACTAAACCACAGGGTGGTGAGGGAGCCCCGCGCAGGCCAGTCGAAGACGACCCCATGCAATGGGCTGGCCCTGACAACACAATGGGGAAAATGAGGGCCAATGTTCATCCACTGCGGCAAAAAGCTACGGAAAATTCTGTTAATTTTTTTGCCAGGACTCTCCGTAACCCTCTTATCAGTATTCTCCTTAGGCTCTTACAGTATTCTCCGTGGGACCGCACAGTCTTCTCCCGGCACTGTGGCAAAAAGGTACGGAAAATCCTGTTAATTTTTTTGCCAGGATTCTCCGTAGCCCTCTTCTCAATATTCTCCGTAGGCTCTTACAGTATTCTCCGTAGGGCCGCACAGTATTCTCTGTAAATCCGCACAGTCTTCTCCGTAGGACCTCGAAGACTGTATAGTCCTACGGAGATCACTGTGCGGTCCTACGGAGAATACTGTGCGGTCCTACAGAAAATACTGTAAGAGCCTACGGAGAATATTGATAAGGGGCCTACGGAGAATTACCACAAGCTGTTTACAGAATTTTCCGTAGCTTTTTGCCACAGTGGGGTGGAAGGATCTGTAGTTGGACTGTAGTTTGAACTGAAGTACAAAACTGTAGTCCGGAAACTGCAGTCAAAAGTGACTAAGAACTACAGATTTAACTGTTTGCGTCATCACAGTAAGATCTGCACTCCGTAAGTGTAAAATAATCTACAGCTTTACTGCAGTCCCTTTTGATTTGATGTGTTCAGATTCGAAAGTAGTTCCGTAAGTAGTGAAGACTCAGTAAAACGTTCAAATAAAGAGCAATGCGGGGATACATTCTTAAAGAACACCTTGCACTGAAGTTCATCTTCAGTTCTGTATGACAACAAAAGGGTCCAAATATCTAAATTTCTGAAAAATAAGACCTAAGTAAGAAAATAAAGTAACGTCATTGTAAAATAAAATATAAAAAAAAAACTTATTTTTTTTTAGAACTTGTATCTTAATTTATGGGTAAGAGCTTCTTTGCGTGGAAGACCTGGTCTAAGACTGGAAGACTGTATAGTTCTATGGAGAACACTGAAGGGCCCTACGGAGAATACTGTACGGACCTACTGAGAATACTGTGAGAGCCTACGGAGAATATTGATAAGAGGGCTACGGAGAATTACCACAAGCTGTTCACAGAATTTTCTGTACCATTTTGCCACAGTGTCGGTTGCGAAGAATTCTTTCACAAAATCAGTCCAGTGCATGCAGTATTCGATTACGAATGATTGCGCTACGAATCCTAGTGCGACACAGTCTCTCATTGGTGAGAGACTATCTTACACTTGGATTTGCAGTGTGAAGAGATGGCCTCTCAAGGCTCTTGGAAAGTTTAATTTTCCCTTCAAAATGGGTAGAATTTGTAAGAAACAAATAAACGTTTACATAAACTTCCACAAGTCAGAAACTACTAGGAGTTGGTGCCTCCAACTTTGGGATTCAAACCATCTGATAGTGATTGAAGTTTTAACCACAAAATGAATTTCTAGTAAAACTGCCTCCTCTTTACAGTTTTCTAAATAAAAGACCCACCTGGCGCCGATCGATCAAAAGTGCACCTCCGTGTTAAAAAGAGACTACACACTAAATGTCATGGGACTTTTTTATGTCCCACAATTTATGCAATTTTAAGCACATCCGACGCTGATACAATTTTGTTCCCGTCTGGCGACACATTTTGTCCGACGCCTGCTGCAAATTGAACTTTCACTCGACAATTTTTGTCCCACCTGGCGGACACAAAACTGCATCACCACCGGATGTGCTTAAAATTGCATAAACCGTGGGACAATAAAAGTCCCATGACATTTAGTGTGCAAGTCTCTGACCTCTGAGACATCCTTCCATACGGTGCACTCTCGACACTTACCTGCACAGTGTGATGCTCAGCCAGGTGATGAAGGTCTTGCTGGCAATCGTTTCCCAGACTGCCAGAGCCTCGAACGCCGTGAACAGACTCAGCTTCTCTTCCAAAACCAAAGTCTTGACGTGGTCTTTGACCAAATGTCGGAGACTAAGTAGTGCCATCAGCGACGATGGGGTTGAAAGCATCAGCGTCCCAGCGTCCTCCTGAAAATCCCGAAAGGGTTCATTTGCATATTACGTAACGTCTTCTGTGTCTCTCAGAAAAGAAGTCATCGCAGTATCGCTCGTACACACTAAATGTCATGGGACTTTTTTTGTCCTACGGTTTATGCAATTTTAAGCACATCCGGTGGTGATGCAATTTTGTGTCCGCCAGGCTGGACAAATTGTCTAGTGAAAGTACAAGTTGCAGCTGGCGCCGGACAAAATGTGTCACCAGACGGGAACAAAATTGTATCAGCGTCGGATGTGCTTAAAATTGCATAAACCGTGGGACAAAAGAAGTCCCATTACATTTAGAGTGTACAGGAAGAAATGCTTCACTGTGAGAAAAAAGAACGGGAAAAGTACGGAACTTGTCTGGTCAATAATTTGCCTGGAACGTCCGTACTTGCCAACTACAGAACGTTCCGTACTCTTTTCCGTACCCATTTACATGGGTTCATATGGAGCAAGTACGGAACGTTCCGTACTTTTCTTCGTACCTCCGTACTATATTTTTCTGCACCATTTCCGTACAAAAGTGCGGAATTTTTTACAGTGTTCGTCTATGTCGCGAAACCCTTCGTAATACAAAGGATTTCTTCATCGTTGGAGGTATTTCTAAATTCCTTTCATTTTCTTTGTAGTTGTAAAGCAAATGCCTCGTACTCTGCAAACTTAAGTGTGTACATAGTACACTCTTATTAGAGCATGCTTCCAAGCACTCTTATTTACAGCATACTTGCTAGGCACACGATAAAAAAGAGTGTACATTGCATGTACACGCTTAATATGAGTGCACTCTTAAAACCTTACGAAGTATTATGAGCATACATATGACAAACTAAAATACTTTGTTATACGAAGAAATAGTTCGTAAATTACGAAGTATTTACTTTGTAAGCTTATGTATGCTTAAAATACTTTGTTATACAAACTACTTTTCTTTGTAAGGCCCAAAATAGTTTGTAAGGTTTTCTCAGTGTGAACCTGGCAAGTACACTTAAACTGGCCCATGCTTTTAGATAGGACTAATCGAGTGTATTTAAGTGTGTACTTGCAAGGTACACTCTTATTTAGCGTGTACATGCGAGGCACACTCTACTTTTGTGTGCCTGGCAAGTATGCTGTAAATAAGAGTGTGCTTGGAACAAGATTGTACTATGTACACACTTCAGTTTGCAGAGTGTATAGACCTACGTAGAACACAGTAATGTCCTAAGGAGAATATTGCCAAGAGGGCTAGAGAGATTAATCACAAGTACTTTACAGGAATTTCTATAGCTATTGGCCGCAGTAAACAAAGAATTTTGAGCATACAAACATAAGGTTGCAAAGAATATACTTCGGTTTACTTCATAATTTGCGTCCTATTACAATACGTTCGCATAGCAAAATAGTTGGTGCCTGATGGTTTTGAACAGAGTGAGAACCTACCGAGAAGGACACCGAAAAGCAGGACCCCAACGTGAGGATCACCTTCTCGTAGCGGACGACGCCCTGGGTGCGTCGCAGCAGACGCACCGCGCGCAGGGCCCGCTCCTCTTCCGCACGAAGCGGCCACCGCCACCAATTGAGCCTGCGCGAAGACCACAGCCGCTTGGAGGAGCATAGGTCACGCCAACGGGTGCACACCTGCAGGAACAAGTCACAGTCGGGCCACCAGGAAAAACAAACCCACAAACCACTCTGCAAACTCAAGTGTGTGCCAGGCATGCACTTCTTGGAGCATGCCTCGCAGGCACACACTTCCTGATGCATGCCTGGCAGGCACACACTTCCTGGTGCATGCCTGGCAGGCACACACTTCCTGGTGCATGCCTGGCAGGCACACACTTCCTGGTGCGGCAAGTGTGTGCCTGAGGCATGCACCAGGAAGTGTGTGCCTGCCAGGCATGCACCAGGAAGTGTGTGCCTGCCAGGCATGCACCAGGAAGTGTGTGCCTGCCATGCATGCACCAGGAAGTGTGTGCCTGGCACACATTTGAGTTTGCAGAGCACATTTCTTCGAACGATTTCGAACGTGAACGTGGTCGCACACAATTTTGAACATACCAACTTTTGCGTACACATTGGTACGCAGAATCGCACACACTCGTGCGTGCGAACAAGTTTGTACGAAAAGAACGCGTTAGCATTGCGAGACCACGAACAAAAAATTACCCATAGGGATTTAGTGTGCACAAGAGGCAACACTCGCTGTAAAGATTTTAGCTGTCACTGGATGACACTTTCACGCCTATTTTTACCTGTCTCAAAACTTGGCGACACTGTGTTAAAGTGCACACGACTATGCAAAAAAATCACAAGCACTGTGATAAAACCATCATGAATTTGTGATGAAATTGTTATCATTTACACGAGATAAAAATTTCGTCCACGATTTTGTCATCTAATGAACACAAGATTTCGCAGCGCTCATAATGGAGATCAGTCGGGAAAACAAGAGTCTTAACTATCTTACAGAGGACTTTTACTTCAACAGTGTTAAATGAGCGAGCACTATGATCATTCTCACTCTCATTCCAGGAACGTGACATCACGTTGACAAAATGTCGCGTTCGTTTGAGCATTGTATCACATTCGTTTGGGTGTGAATTGGCCAAAAATCAGCTCGTTCACATTCAAACGAACGTGACATTTTGTCACGTTTGTTTCAACGTGATGTCACGTTCCTGGAATGAGAGTGGAGGGAGATGCTTAAATTTTCGTTACGAAAAATTGTTTGCAAGGGCTATTTTATGGGCAAGGACATTAACAGTGCGCCTTCAAGGCGTCAAAAAACTCCTTACCTGCGATGCCCGAACGAGGTCAGGAATATCCAGAAATGAAAACACCAGTTCGAGGGACAAGTCACTCAGTGAGGCGATCGGGGCCTGGCAAAGGTCAAACCACAATGTGATTAAGCCTACCTCATTTCGTATTCCTTAACGCGTTCCCTTAAAACCTAGGGATGTACCCCAGGGAGGGGGGGGGCTTTCCCCCGCCGGAAGAAAATGCGTGAATTGTACAACAAAAATACAACAAAAATCGTACAATAAAAGTACAACAGGGGTCGTATAAAGTACAACGAGAATTGTACAAACCACAACGCACAGTGGGCTGAGATCCGTAAAAACGACATTTAATACAATTTTTTCAAAATCGTTTTTTGGATTGGCTGTGTGTGAGTTAATGTTCAGAAAGGTCCACTCTTGAAGAAAATGGACATGGCAGCCCAAAAACCTAGCCGTATCACAGTGAAAACTACCCGCGAAAACTTGGTTTTTTACGGTTGCCGAGCTAGTGCCGCGGAGCACAAAAATTGCACATTCCCCAAACCCCTTTCCGACCAGCCAGGGCAAATTTTTTACCCCGGTTTTCGGCAGAATCTATTGTTTGGGTATGCAACTCGAGATGAAGACTGAATGTGGACTCATTTTGGCCTTGGTGACGTGAGAAGACACATATTTATAAATTTAGGTAAATATGTGAATTTTCATTTATTCCCAATATTCAATTTGAGTTTCAAAGCGACTCCTTCGTGTCCCGAAAGAGATCTATACGCCAAAATGTTCCTTGGACCTTCCTCTACAAGATCCAAACTCTATCAAAGGCTCATCGAGGCTCCTCTCGGATTGCGACGCGCCGAAAGCTAGCTCTGTCGTCATTTCGCAGCGCCGCCGCAACGACAGGTGGCGCTGTTGACGCTGCTGCTTGCGCGCGCCACTGCCACCGCGTCGCCGCAAAAATCAGGAAGACACGCGCGCATATAAGTTTCCAGGGTTTAAGATTTTCATGCAGTGACTAGACGGGACACTGGACAGTGGACAGGTATGTTTGAGTGTTTACGTGAGACATGTCCGTGCGTACTCGCTCTGCCATCGCATCAGACAAGTTTTATTAGACAAGTTTAAACTTTCTGTGCAGTGCTGTGGTTGAGTTTATCTTAGTGTGTCTAGCGATGGCATGTGTAATCCACTGTAAAGACCTAAAAGTTTGTCTGAAAACGGCAAAAAAATAGAAAACACGAAGTTAGAAAAACGGAATTTAAAAAAAATTCAGGCCGTTACGGTTGTTACGCATGTTACGCAGGAGTTTGGGGGTGAGGGCGGAGACTTGTGGGGATTTGATTAGCCTTGCACTTCCTGTTCGACAAATTTTACATAGGATGTTACTGTTTTGTAGGGTAGCTAGGACATGGCCCCAGTTTCTCGTCTGGAGCTGTACCAAATATGGAAAGAAAAGTGTGGGACAGGAAAGAGTCACTCAGATGCTAATAAGGCTGTGTTCCAGTTCATCATTGCTCGATGTCCAGATGTAGGCACAGCCGTGAAAAGGACCCTTCAGCAAGATTGTGCGCGTCTTTGTTACGTCTTCCTTCAAAAGTTGAGAAAGTGGAACAGAAACTCTGCGCGTTTTTTGCAGAAGGAAGCTCAGTGGCTGGGGGGCTCTTTTGAGTCTTCAGAAGCCCAAATAAAACCCTCAAGAAAAAATAAAGTAGGGCCTCCTCTCAAACAGTTTTCAAACCTCTCAGACCGAGTCAAGGCGCAGAAAATGCGGGACTTGGCCAATAATAACTGCATCGAATCCCTGGCTGGCGCGCTGTCGCGGTCACTCCTTGACCGTGGCAAAAAGGCAGCCGCGCAGGTCGTCGGTAAAGTCATCGAGTCACCAAAAGCAGAGGAGATTTTAAAAACGTTGACAGGAGAAAATCCCCCAGTTGAAAAGTGGAGCCCAGATAAAGCTTTGGCTATATCTTTGGACACTGGTTTAACAAAACAAAACTATCAGGACCTGAGGAATGCCAGTCTCGAGTCCAAGTCAGACATGTTTCCCACTTATGAGAAACTAAGAGAAGCTAAAATTGCAGCTTGCCCGCCGTCTACGGCCATTTCAATAACAGAAACTAGTGCTGAGGTTACACTGCAAGCCCTTGTGGACCATACAGCTGAGAGAAAACTGATGGATGTTGAAGTCAGTGATCAGGAAACAAGATTAACTATGATTTCAAAGTGGGGCTTTGATGGGAGTTCAGATCATTCCACATACAAGCAGACCTTTTCTGCGGACAATTGTAGTGACTCTCACTTTCTACTAACTTCTTTAGTTCCTCTTGCTATCCAAGGCACAGATAGCAAAAAAACCATATGGGAAAATAGTTCTCCTGGATCTAAAAAGAACTGTAGACCTATCAGACTGCAAAACTTAAAGGAGACTCCAGATGTGACGCACTCCGAAAAGAATTATGTCACTAATCAAATTGTTACTTTAAAGGAAACAAAATGTAGAACAAAGTCAGGAATAGAAGTAGTAGTGGTCCACATATTGGTCATGTCCATGGTAGATGGAAAAGTGTGTTCTACGTTGGAAGAGACTGCTTCATCAAACTGTCATGTTCGTGGGGCGACGCCCAAAGAAATGAACTCACTTGAAAAACTGCTTTTAAAACCCAGCAGGCCCACTGGGTTGGCTTACGGTATGGCTCCTCTCCATGCTTACATTCGAGCTTGCGAATGTTTACCTCATATAGCCTACAGGTAAAACTAATATAATAATTTGAAGTTTTTGAAGTGTGCCAAATTTGTTTTTCCATTTCTCATGCACTTGCTTGCCGGTATTTTTAGATTGGATTTCCAACAGTGGAGGGCCGTAACCAAGGAGCAGAAGGACCAAGTCACTAAGCAAAAGTTCCGCATTCAAGAGGAATTTAGGAAGGAGACTGGCTTGATCATCGACAAGCCCAGATCTGGCGGAAGTGGGACGTCTACTGACGGCAACACGGCGAGGAGATTCTTCCGTCAGCCCGAAGTTACAGCTCGCATCACAGGTACTACAAAAGCGAATAAGTCTATTTTCCATAGTTTGCTTCTCTGTTCTTTAATGCATTTGATTAGAGTATATATACTTATCGCTTTCAGGCATTGATGAAACCCTCATTCACCGCTTTGCGGTGATCCTGCGTGCATTGAACTGTGGTGCTGAGATTAACGTGGCAAAATTTAGAGAATATGCCCTAGAAACTTATCAAGTATACGTGGCCTCCTATTCTTGGTACTACATGCCCCAGAGCATTCATAAGATTTTAATACATGGCGCCGAAGTTATTGAGACATCTATCTTGCCTGTGGGCATGCTTTCCGAGGAGGCACAGGAAACACGCCACAGAGACCTGAGGAGCTTTCGCCAACACTTCACCAGAAAATGTTCAAGGTACGTTTATTTTTAAAAGTTCATTATTGAAACGTGTGTTTTGAAAGAATTTATAATAGGTAATCGCATTTTCAGGGAGAGCACGATGGAAGATCTGTTTAACAGACTTCTTGTAACATCGGACCCCCGAATTTCATCGCTGCGTCGTTGTTCCAAGAAAACCCAAGAACGTGAAAGTGACGAAGTTTCAGCTCTCATTTTGACTGAAAGTTCCTAGATCCGTACCTTATTTTTGTTTATACTTTTCTTTACAATTTTTTTTTATGTTAAAATGACATTAGCTTTTTTGCTGACAATTTCTATTATTTTTCTGTGATAGTTAACTGTGACAAACAATTTTTTTGTTCCTTTTTTCTTTATTTAAGTATTACTTTTGTTGTTATTATTTACTTTTTTGTTGATTTCATTTTGTTTTTATTTTTTTTCGTCGCGATGAACTTATTTTGACCTGTCCTTGGGTACCAAGTTAACAATAAGATGTTAAAATAAATTTATGAACACTTTTTGGTCTTATTTGATGAAACCCCTCCTCTGAAAATTTAGACACATAGTCAGATCGATAGAGCGGCTCAAGACGAATCGATTGGTACTAGTTTGACTGCTGTAGCACAATCCGTTCGGCCACAGTCGAATTAAATGTCACATTTCGCTCCCTCAGCCCACTGTGCAACGAGGCCTGAACGGCAAACACTCGTCATGCCGGTTCTATTTTAGAACCGTTTACACGGTTTCCAGGGCACAAACATTCTTTTACGCCCTTCCAGGGCGTAAATCGTTTAATGCCCTTGGAACGGGCGTTGGTATAGGACTTCAGAGCAAAATTTGAATGCCCTTCCCGAAGGACGTTAACGATTCACGCCGTTCACTGCGAGAAAAAGCGAGGGGGCAATCACATTGGATGTTTGGTGACAGACACAAGATTTCTCAAGGCTTCGGATTTCGCAAAATTTAAAGCGATATTCCACCCAAAATTAGCTTGTTTTGGGCCTTTTTTGGGGCAAGATTTCAGATTTCCCAGAGATTTCTAGAGTGGTTAGGTTAGTCGGAAAAAAGCAAGAAACATGTCTTTGCAATAGTTTGCCTTGTCCGTCCGTGCCTGTCTGTCCTACCAGGAAACTTCTGTACTCTGACTCTTTAACCGTACCCGGTTACATAAGTTCTTATGGAACAAGTACGGACGTTCCGTACTTTTGTCCGAACTTCCATACCGTTTTCATCTGCACATTTCCCGTACAAATATACGGATTTTTTTAGTGTTACGGGGGCGTAAATCGTTTACGCCCTTACATGGCATAATTTTAATGCCTTTGTTTCACCAGTACAATTCTGATAGACACACTGTGTACTCACCGCTGCGACAGGAGGGGGCCGTTGTTCTTCACCAAGAGCCGCCCCTTGCAGCCTGGCACGTCGCCGAGTCAGCATGGCTGCGAGGGACTCAAGTAGCACTAGCAGCGACTCAAGCGATGGGGCGCGTTGTCTGTAGAGATGCGGTCACCACGACACTGTCAACTAAAAGCAATGCGAACACTCGTAAAACAAAGGCATAAAAATTACGCTCTTAAGGGCATAAACAGTCTGTTACGCCCTTAAGGCGTAAATCGTTTTAGGTCCTTAGGAAGGGCATGAATGGTATAGGACTTTCAAGCATTATTTTAATGCCCTTTCAAACGGCGTAGATCGTTTACGCCCTTCAAGGGCATGATTGTGAAGGCTGAATGATAGTTTGTCAAAAGTTATAAGGGCCGAAGAAGAAGGGAGGGACGAAAGAAAGATGAAGAAAAATGGCATCACGTGACACGCACGTCTAAGGCACTGACGGCTATCCTACCTAAGGCATGAGGTATCGCGGCCGAAGAAGCCCGAAAAGCGGGAAAAATGAAACGCGTTACGCCAAGACGTGTCTCCCCAGTCGGAACCACACCTCGTGCTGCAACGGCGGCAGAGCCGATCTAGTAAGCGACAAATCGAGGGGTCCTATTCAAAAGATCTTATCTGCGCGTTCCCCCCCAGACAATCTTATCTTAAACGCATGTGAATTTTACTCAGTTTGATCATTTAATACAGCTACAAATCAAAATCATTTGTGATAAAATTCACTGAAATGTGGAGATGAAAGATCAAAAAACCAAAAGTACATGTAAAAATATATTCCGCTAACTCTCGTACGTGTCCCAACTGGTCAAACTGGGTGAAATCCGCACGCGTTTAAGATAAGATTGTCTTGGGGGGAACGCGCAGATAAGATCTTTTGAATAGGACCCCTCGAAATAGGAGGCATGGACAGTTCCCTGGGAGTTTCAGGTACTCCTATTGACAGGCAGGAAATTGCGAATGCCTCCTATTTCTCGTTTACTACATCGCCACTGCCGCCGTTGCAGCACGAGGTGTGGTTTCGACTAAGGAGACACGTCTTGGCGTAGCGCGATTCACGTTTGCCCGCGCCTTTCGCGTTGCGCTCTGCGATACTCGATACTCAATGCCTGTGGTAGGATAGCCGGTAGTGCCGTGGAAGGGCGTGTCCCGTGATGCCCTTACGAAAGTTGGAAGAGACTTACCGAACGCAGGTTGGCAATCTGTTGAGACGCACTGCCAAGCGCACTGTGCATTGAGCGAGCGGAGGCACGGCGCGACGCCGCGCGCAACGTCCTCTGGAGGATGGCCCAACTTGGGAACGGTTCTATGCTCGGCTAGAAGTTACTATGGTTCAAGTGCGTCACGGGTCTCTACTCTGTCAGAAGGATAACTCATTCATAATATCTAGGATTCAAGAAAAGAAACAACGCCAGAGCTTCCTCGCACGCTTGTCCTGCGTACACTGGTAAAACTCAAGCGTAGTATTACCCTCTGTTTTCAAGCGTAATCAGTTTACGCTTGAAATCAAGAGTTAAAGGCTCATCCGCCAAGATTCCCCCTATCTAAATGCATGGGGGAATTTCCAGAGAATGCTTAATTTCAAGCGTAACGTCTTCAAGCGTTACCCCGCGTAACCCTATGCTTGACTCAAGCATAGAGTTACGCTTTAGTTTTACCAGTATACTCAGACGAGTAGGAAGTCAAACTGTGAGTTTCGGCGTTTTGCGTCTCCGGTAGCAGAAAAGATAACAGTCCTTTGAAAGTAAATGTTGGGATATGTGAGTGCAGCAGAAAAATCACAAAGTCAATCAAACTTGCATACACGTGTTTTCTTACTTTATACACTTACAAATCCTTGCGAATTACTTTCAATGGATCCAGGTGGCAGAGATGTTTCAAATCAATGCCATAGGTGCATTGAGACTTGACACAGGGCGTGGTAAGAATTTGAGTTTTAAACACTGATATTAAATGAACCATAATACATTTAATAACAAATAAATACTACATTTACAAAAGATAATCTGTTGTCAATCACCAGTTAGACATGAAACATTTCTAGTTACTGAGAAAACCTACAAATCATGTTACAAAATATTTAATCAGTCGTGAGGAATGAAACGCAAAAGTCTGCGTTACTTTCGGTCTGTTTACGAATCCATAATGCGTATAGCTTGCATTAAGGCATGAGCGATGTTCTGAAGAGCGCAGATACCGAACACGAATCCGTATGTCACGCGGATTCACGTGAGTGGAACTAATACAGCGTTTCAACACTTTCCCTAGCACAAGTCCCGGATGTACACTTTTCCGTATCCTTTCTTCTTGGCGGCTGTGTTTTGACAATCCTTTGGAGAGAGAGAGAGAGACGAATTAGTTTGAGATAGGAAAGGCCCTAAACAGCTTTTATATGACTAAACTGAATAATAATGCGAGTTAATAGTTAAAAAAAAATAAGAACAAGATCTAAATGTGACATTTATGTTGAAACCGTTCAGTACATGATCATCACGAAACATTTAGAGTCCATCTCGAACGTCGCTGTACCGTTCCATCAACATCTCTTTCAGCTTCCCAATGCAAAACGTTTTCCCAGGTCAGTGGCCTAAAACAGCTTCTGAAAATTATTATACTTTTATTCCTGAAACGTCGTAATCATACAGTATGACAGCACACTGTTAAAAGAAACTGTCGGAAAACAGCACATTTACCAACGAGTGATTTGCTTTTAAGCAGCACGTGTCATCGGAACTTAAAACAGCACAAATGCTGTTAGGAAACAGCAAGTTTCATCATTGGAGAAAACAACAAATATAGTCGATTTCCAATGCTGGAAAACAGAACATCTTGTTTGTAAAATTAATGATATATGTTGTTTTGGAACGGTATCCTGTCATTTAAAAACAACACCATTCAATTGAAGATTTGCCGGAGCATTTTGCAGCTCACGGCTCAAATCAAACTCCAACTATGTCAAAATAAATTCTGTTGTTTCTGAACAGCATTTGTGTTGTAAAGTTTTTTAGCAACACTTCCAATTTTTAAACAGCGGTGAACTGTCCAAGAACTGCACGAACTGTTACAAAACAAATGTCTTGTTTGAGCCGTCAGGAAACTCCTATTTCCTTTTTGTGAATAACAGAGAGACCGCGTTGAAGAACAGTGCTGTTTGTAAACAGAAAAGAGCGTTTCTGAATGACTGCTAGTATTGGATAAGACTATTAGGACCCTCGACATTTTTTTTGTAAATGTATAACAACTTCTTTGTTTGAAAACAGAAAAGTGTTGTTTATGAACAGGTTGGTGCCATTTGGAAATAGTAATTCTGTTACACAACAACTTATTGTCAGAGATCAGATACAGAGAGCCATCATCCCTTTTTACAATACTGCTGTTGGATAACGACTCAGTGTCCAACAATATGCCGTTCTTCTACAACAAGTGTTGCTAAAAAACTTAACAGGATATATGCTGTTAATTAACAGCATCTTTTCTATCAGTGCAAGCTAAATGGCTAAAAAAGGCTAACGGTTTAAAGTGTGCCGGAAGACAGGCACCAGCGGCCAAAATTCAAGACGCGTTTTGAGCTACTGAGTCGCTGAATGGGACTCGAACCGAGTGTGTGACCCCACCAATGGATTTCTCGTTCGGCGAGCCATCCATTTGTGGGGTCACGTTTGGTTTGACTTCGATTGGGGCACTACACTGTTAAAAAATGGTTGTATAGAAACAATCAGATGAGTGAAAATTTAGTCGTTCCAAAACAAAGAATTTTATCATGAACCAAAGCGAAAGAAATGTTGTTGAATCTTGTAAGCGACAATTTGTCGTTGAAGAACAAAATTCTTGTTATCATCCTTAACGATACTATTTGTATGGAAACAAAATCTTTTGCAATTATCTGCTCAATCAAAGCAAATTATGACTAATCATCTATTGGCCTTCTTTAGTCATAGCAACATTACTTTTATTTAAAAAAGAACTAGGCAAAATAAATTTAGCGACAAAAGTACTCCATGAATACTTGTCCCAGACATTACAAAATCTTTTCTGACTTACAACACTTGTCGTAGACCAACAACATTTGTTGTTGGTCAACGACTTGTATTTGAAAGTAGACTGCTAACGTGTTATTACAAGTTAGTCGTTGTGAAATTATCCTTTAGTTCCAGTTCGAGTTTGGTTAAACAAGCTATTCGTTCCACAACAAATCTTGTCGCTAAAAAAATTAGCGATAAATGTGTCGCTAAGTTACGACAAAATTTTTGTCAGTGTACTCCATAATACCATCGAAATTCGTCAAAATATCTATAAGGTACAGTGAATTCTCAATGGAACATATGGAACATTTTCACCATAATATGGAGAATCTTCACTGTACAACATTGTGCCGTTACCTGGCAGTAGTGGTCGCAAGGGTGCGGCACTACGAGCGTGTCCTTGAGGCGCACCTTCCCGGCGAGACGGCCGCTGCCCTGCGTTTCCAAGCACCTTCCCAGCACGATGACGTGGAGCTCCGGGTAGTCGTCCATGACGCGGCGCAGCAGCTGCAGCCAACGAGGGTCGCAGAGGAGCTCCGACTTCTTGGGGTCGCCCAGCATCAGGATGTGCAGCGAGGCCGGCAGCCGCGCGACGGGCTCGGCGCTGCAACTGGACAAGAGGAAAAAAACTTCAAACAGCACAAAATTTTGATTCAAAGTTTTACATTTGCATTAATGTTGATCAACATGTCTTTTGGATGAATTTCAATGAAATGCAGCTGAATTCCCAATAATTTCGATACGAATTACACTTTCATCCAAGTTGGATTTTTAAGAAACCTTGCAAAAAAAAATTACAAATTGTGCCTCAATTTTAGTGCAAAACAGTTTTGGTTGTTTTTCCTTGCAACGGGAGTTAAGGAGAGGAAACTACACTCATTCATGAAAAGAAGTAAAAAGAGAAAGTCTAAAATACAAACTCTCGAAAATAAATCCCGAAGGACTACCTGAAAATTAAATGGATGACATGCACTAAAGTGGGGAAGTTTTGGCAAAGTTCTGATCCGACCTCTAAGTTTGGCAGCCAAAATTAAATCTCCACCAAATCTGGTACTAAATGTAAAGGACATTCTTCAGAAGGCCCTGACAAAGTTTCCAAGATAGTGCACTGTTACACTACTACACTGTTAATGTACTTTCTTAATCCATAATCCCTTACTATTGCCGTCGTGCAGCTGTACAATCAAGTAGATAAATGAAGGACAATAATTGCGCTCGGATGTTAACAAAATATAACCTGATCTACGTGCGAACTTGAACACCACTTGCACCTTCATCAATGCGGCTACAGATATGGACAAGAAGTGCATTAACACAGCGGGCGGACATAGGACCACTATAGGACTCTAACATGATGGGCCTGTGCCGTGCACTCTAAATGTTGTATTTACAGTGAAGATTCTGTGTATTATGGTGAAAATTATGGTGCAGCTGACTTCATAACATACCATTGAGAATTCACTGTACCTTATAGATATTTCGACGAATTTTGTTCGTAATATGGAGCAAATCTCCACCATAACATGTTGATGCAGCCATTCACCGTAAGACATTTACAGTGTGGCAACTCACCCGTCCACCGTCCTGGGGAGCAGGGCGTGCAGCGGGAAGGCGCTGGGCTCCACGTCCAGCTGCAGCGTCCTGACGCAGCTCAGCGGCGTCAGCAGGTCCTTGAGCGCGCCGGGTCCGCGGCCCGGGTCGGCCAGGGCGGCGCACAGGCCGCGCACGTGGACCCACAGCAAGGAGGCGCCGAACGCGGCCACGAGGCCCAGGAAGGACTCGCTCTCGACCACGTCCACGAAGTCTGCGGACAAGCGCACCGTCCACGCTCAGACCCATGTGGACTTTTTCTCTCTTGCTTATAGCGGTTTTTGAGGAAACGTAAAATGTAGACACTAAATGTCATGGGACTTTTGTTGTCCTACGGTTTAAGCAATTTTAAGCACATCCGGTGGTGATGCAATTTTGTGTCCGCCAGGCGGGACAAATTGTCCAGTGAAAGTACAAGTTGCAGCTGGCGCCGGACAAAATGTGTCACCAGACGGGGACAAAATTGTATCAGCGTCGGATGTGCTTAAAACTGCATAAACCGTCGGACAAAAAAAGTCCCATGACATTTAGTGTGTACTATTTCCTTCTTAACTATGCACAATTTTGATCGTTTTAGGGATATAATTGTCAATAGAGCATACACACTAAATGTCATGGGACTTTTTTTTGTCCTACAGTTTATGCAATTTTAAGCACATCCGGTGGTGATGCAATTTTGTGTCCGCCAGGCGGGACAAATTGTCTTTTGAAAGTACAAGTTGCAGCTGGCGCCGGACAAAATGTGTCACCAGACGGGAACAAAATTGTATCAGCGTCGGATGTGCTTAGAATTGCATAAACCGTGGGACAAAAAAAGTCCCATGACATTTAGTGTGTATAGAAATTGAAAAGTACATAGCAAATGACATTAAGTCCGGTTTAATGGACTTTAAATATTACACAACGAACAAAATAGTGAATAGCCAAAGAGAAAATAGTACATATTACGTTTGCACAAAAACCTTTATGGCAAAAGATAAAAAGTCAATACGAGTCTCAGAGTGTCAGGCATTCACCTCCACAAGGAGTTCTTGAAAACACCAAATGTACCAGCGAGTGGAAACTACTTTTCCGAAACGGGCGTGCAGGCGTTTTGTTATCCATTAACATCGGCCGAACCAAGCGAGCTAGGTAAAATCTGCTTACATTTTCGGAATCAGCACAAAATTTGACAGGGAATAGGGTACTTTCTAGATGGCGAAACCAAAATTATCATGGTTATTTTGAAGCCTAAAAACGAAAATGTTTCAGAAAGACCAAAAATCCCATGTCTCGTCGAGTAACATTTTCGACTTGAAAACGTTAATGTGAACGAACGGGGTGTCGTATCACAAATCTGAGACCAGATTTGAAATCCTCAAAAAAATTGCCAATGTATAGGCTATATAGATGGAGTAGGTAGCCACTCCTTCTTACGGCAACGATCCCCGAAAATGGTCGGTACTTGAGCCACGCAAATGTTTGTTGTAAACACGTAATCGACTGAAATTCACCGACAGTTATCAGGATGAAATCTGAAAATTCACAAGAACGCATATAGCCTATATCATGGTAAAAGACTGGAGGATTCCAAATCTGTTTTCGGATTTGTGATACGACGCTCCGTTCGCCCACATTAACGTTTCCAAATCAGTCATTTTGAGCAAACCGCGACAGTGCGAGACATGGGATCAGGGCCATATTTCGCAACACATTTGTTTTTAGGCTTCAAAATAACTATGATCATTTTGCTTTCGCCATCTAGAAAGTACCCTATTCCCTGCCAAATTTTGTGATGATTCCGAAAATGTAAGCAGATTTTACCTAGCTCGCTTGGTTCGGCCGATGTTAATGGATAACAAAACGCCTGCACGCCCGTTTCGGAAAAGTAGTTTCCACCCGCTGAATGTACACACTAAATGTCATGGGACTTTTTTTGTCCCACGATTTATGCAATTTTAAGCACATCCGACGCTGATACAATTTTGTAGCCGTCTGGAGACACATTTTGTACGACGCCTGCTGCAAATTGTACTTTCACCAGACAATTTGTCCCGCCTGGCGGACACAAAAAGTCCCAAGACATTTAGTGTGTATTGGTCTCACAGACATTGTGAACTTTTTCGCACCGATTTGTTGGCAGAATCGCACAATTTTAACGAAAAGCATGTGTGGAGTCGCCGCCGAGTGAAGAACAAAAGTAATCGAAAGGCCAGGAACCGCCAGGACCGTGCCTACTGGTTTCCGGCTCTTTGATGACTTTTGTTCTTCACTCGGCGACGACTGAAAGGGTCTATTGAGGACTATTGTGTAGTGTGCAAACCAAGCGACAGAGTTTCACTCCTGCAATCTTCGTTAGAGGGCCCGCCCAGTGATAACGTCACACTGTTAAAAATAGTCGTAAATTTACGACATTTTGTAGATCAATTATGTCGTTTTAAAACGACATATTGTGTTACGACTCAAGTCGTAAATATACGACTTGAGTCGTAAATTTACGACAAATTTGTCGCTAATTTTGATAGCGAGACGTTCCGTTTTGAAACGAATTACGTCGTAAATTTACAACTTAATCGTTAGTTTACGAACGATCGTAATTTATCTATTGAGTATGTCGTGCAGTTATGACTTCAGTCGTACATTTACGAATCTTGTCGTAAATTTGTGTAAAGAATCGTAAATGAACGACACAAATCGTAAATAAGCGAGCAAAATTGCAACTTTTCATCTACTTTTCGGGGATTTCAGATTTCAAAATATGTAATCGCGATTACGACATTGTCGTAGAGAAATGATTATTTTGTCGTTCAGTTACGACCAAATAGTTTCAGAACGATTCTTGTCGCTACCAAAATTAGCGACGTTTTTGTCGCTAATTTACGACAAAATTTCTGACAGTGCACGCACTTTGGGACACTTTTTCCCTACCCCTACCCCCCCCCCCCCCCGCCCTTTTCCTGCAACGCAGCCTACGTAAGTCTAGAACATTGCGCCAAATTTCTCAAGGAAAGACCTAATTGTCTGTACTCCAGAAACATACTCTTATATTAGGGTTCACTGTAACGTTACGCTGCCCCCCCCCCCCACAAAAGTAGATAAATACCTGGTGATACCGTGATGTCGATGCGCCTCAGGGATCGCCGCAAATTGGGCATGGCAAGCAGAATCCTGAGAACGTAGCGAGACCTCGCTTCGTTCCGCTTCTGCGAATGCAGGAACAGGTACGTGAGGCAACCCATGGGCTGCAAGACTTGCAGCAAGCTGGGCAACAGGACCGCCTTCAGATTTCGCAAACGCGTTGGCTTGCAGTCCAGCAACGCCTGTTGGTCCTGGGAAACATGAACGACAAAATGAACACAAGTAAAATCGATGAATGAAAGAGTCTGAGCATATTAAAATCTAGGCAGAAAATCACTATGAGAACTGCGGATTGAATCTGGTAAGTATCATCTTTTAGTGATTTGGATTTACGATGGATCTTGTTTTGCCTTCTTTGAGCTACTTTCGGTGGACATGTCAAACTCAAACTCAAACAATGCACTACTGACTCTTTGCGACTCCTCAATAAATAAACAAACCACAAGGTTGGATCACATTAAAGGAAAAGATGCATTTTTTTCCGGTCAGAAAACGTCAGCACACGGATATCACTGTTTCAGTTTTCGGCTAACCAAATTACCGTCATTAGAGAAAAAAATGTTCTGAGTGTGAGTTAGACAAAAAGACTCTTAATCAGTGTACTTTCCCCGGACTGGGTCCGTTGAAATCGGCATCTCACTGCACTGTGAACGAAAAATCCCATAGATTATACTTACATTCCAGGAACGTGACATCACGTTGAAACGACTGAGACATGTCACGTTCCTAATCCTATCAGCATTGTGTCACATTCGTTTGGATTGTGAATCAGCAAATAAATCAGCTCATTCGCCACTTTCAACCGAATGTGACACAATGCTCCTTAGAACGTGACATAATTTTGTCACATTCGTTCACGTCCCGTTTCTGGAATAAGAGTGCACACTGTAAAAAACTCCGTACTTTTGTACGGAAATACTACAGAAAATATAGTACGGAGAAAGGTACGGAACGTCCGTACTTGCTCCATATGAACCCATGTATGCATGAACGGGTACGCAAAAAAAAAGGTACGGAAGTTCCGTAGTTAGCAAGTAGGGACGGTCCCGGCAAATTATTGACCAGACATGTTCCGTGTCTGCACACTAAATGTCATGGGACTTTTTTTGTCCCACGGTTTATGCAGTTTTAAGCACATCCGACGCTGATACAATTTTGTTCCCGTCTGGTGACACATTTTGTCCGGCGCCAGCTGCAACTTGTACTTTCACTAGACAATTTGTCCCGCTTGGCGGACACAAAATTGCATCACCACCGGATGTGCTTAAAACTGCATAAACCGTAGGACAAAAAAAGTCCCATGACATTTAGTGTGTGGCCTACTTTTTTGCCACAGTGCAGTAAGTTACCTCTGGTCCGATTTGGAGTTTGGTGATGCGGTCGCGGTTCACTCGCAGCAAAGAACTGATCGGACGGCACAGTTGTCCCGACATCGCTTCGTCACATGACAGCATGACTTCGTGCGTGAGACTTCCCTGTGGCCAGACGAACGTGGTCCCCAGCAAGTTGCTGTTTCTGCGACATAAGAGAGAAGAAGATCATTCTGCGTCCGAGTTTCACAGTGCGTCTCGAAGCTGCCCCATTGCTACACCGGGACCTGATCGTTCAGCCACCGTCAACAACATACGAGCAGGCTAAGCAAGGAATGTTAGCCAGGTTGCACTCTCAACCTTTTACTGACTATTTCTCATCAGCAGACGCCTTTCTCTAAGCAACCATAACACCAAGCATTTCGTTCTTAAATACTTGAAAATTTCTTTGTAGTTTACTTAGAAAACGGTTAAGTCAGAACAGTAATTAGCAATTGCTCAATAATACTGACAAAAAATACTAGGTGTATGGATACTTACAGAAGTGCGACAGCTAATGAGAAGTATTCAGTAAAAGACCGAGAGTGAGCTTAGTCTCAAGACTAAATTCTTGTTGACTTCTTAAATGCATAATAATTATGCACTTTTTAAGCGTAGTTGAGCTACACAGATACGTACGTATGAATGGCACTATGAACATTTTGGGCGGGAAGATGCATAAAAAGTACACAGTGATGCATAATATTGTACACACCTTACGCACGTGTCTGTGCATGCATCATTATGCATAAAGTCCACAAGAATTTGGTGAGTGCAACCCACTGACCCGACTCCTCGCCTTACCTCTTCAAAGTGATTTGCAAGGAACAGATGGACTTCTTGTTGGCGATCGTTTCCCAAAGAACCAGAGCCTCCACCTTGGAAACCGAGTGGCGACTTTCATTGAGATGCAGGGACGTGACCCCGTCTTTTAGGAGGTGTCGCAGGCAGAGCAGGACCATCAGCGACGACCCGGTCCAAACCGACAGCTTTTCACCGTTGTCCTGAAAAACAAGAACGTTGAGGTTAATGAGACGGACATGAAGTCATGAAACGCACGACTTTGCACAGTGGGGCAGAAGAACGCTGCACAGTGGTTTAAAATCCTGTTTTAGGGGGAATAAATCGTTTTTTCAAAAGTGTCGCAGGGGGCATTCTGGGGGGTGGGAAAGGAACTATAATACTCTAATACAATATAAAATGACGTTTATAGATTTTTATATGACGCTGGGAGCCACTGGGAAGGGTTTGATTTTAGTCTTTTGTATTTTGGTCAAATTCATCTAATTTTCTTAGATGTTCCCTACCCTTATTTTTCCTATCAGAGCGATGCTACTGGTATGCTGGCGTGTTTTTCTTTTCGTATCATCATTAATCAAAGGATAGCAGCACACAGGGCAACATTTCGTTCGCGGTTTAGCTCACGGTGGCGGGTTTTTGCTACAAATGCGTTCAACACATTAAAAAACACACTTTTGGAGTTTCGGACATCGATGGGGCCCGATGGGGCGGAGTTATTGGTGCGAGGCGCTTCCCTTACATGTATATTAAGATGCCCCGATGATAACTTTTCCGCACTCGTCCGCAACACGAAACGCAAGGGGATCAACACTACAAAAACGTGCCAAATTGACTAGTTTTGGGGCTATTGGCTTCTGGTGTACACCATTCAAAATGAAAAAAACATAAGTGGGATTGTTTTTCTTTTCAAATATTTTGTTTTTCTTAGTAACAAAATGATTTAATGCGGCTCAGAAGTTAAAACTAAGTATTTTGAGCATTTTTTAGTTTTTCTTTTTTTGTCAATTCTGTCATTTTTCTTCTAATTTTGCTATTTTTCTCATTATTTCAGCATTGTAAATCCAATATTTATCGGACCGCCTTTTCCTTTGAACCAGTCTTTGCCTATTGCCTACCGATGATTCAGTTCAATTCTGGTAGCATTTGGTCGCACGGGACGCTTGCTAGGACTTATTCCCCCGAAAATAGCATTTTAAACCACTGTGCGCTGGAGGCGGCCAAAATTCTACACGCCTTGTGGGCTCTAGAGTCGCTAATTGGGACTCAAACCGAGCGTGTGACCCTACCAATAGATTGCTCTCCGAAAGAGGAATCAATAGACCTTTCCAGGATAAGCTCTTAGGTCAAAAACCCGAATCTTTGCGCCGCCACACTTAAAGATCCAGCTTATTTGCGGCGAAACGGAGTTGAACAGAATGTTAACTTGAGTACCAATAACACTGAGTTCAGCCCCATTTTGCTCCTAACAAGTTGGTTCTTGAAGTGTGGCGGCGCAAAGTTTAGGTTATCGCACGAGAAGCTTAGCCTGGAAAGGTCAATTGGTGGGGTCACACTTCGGTTGTTTAGCGACTCAGGAGCCCAAAACCCGTCAAGAGTTCTGGTCGCCTCTACCAGTCTCCTAGCCCACTAGCCTACAAAGCGTTGGTCCAGGCTCTGACTTCAATATCCCTTCAAATTAAAACAGAAATAAAAACGTGTTGATAAAAAAAAAACGGGTTAAAGGAAGGTGGCTACGGGGACTGAACTCACCAAGAATTGGACGCGGGAGATGTAGCTGGAGGTGGCAATGGACAGCTTGGTGTAGCGGACCACGCCGTGCTCGCGCCGGAGCAGTTTGATCACCCGGTAGTCGTGGGCATCGCTGTCGTAGTCGAACTCGTACGGCACCGACCGGCAGCGCCACACCCCCCGGGAACTGCAGAGGTCTCGCCACCGCGAGCACACCTGGAGCGTCATCAGGCCACACTCCAAATGTCTCTGTACCTTCACGGTAAAAACGGTTCCTGGTTTTCCCAGGAACCCCCTAGGGAAACGCCCGAAATCGCCTATGTCTTTAAAATAGGCTATCTGAGAAATCCAGGAATTGTTTTTACCCTGTTCATTGCCCAAAACTAATAATTATTGTCGTATTCGTGCACATGTGAGCGATGTACAATTTTATAAATAAATTAGGGACACTATTAACGGGTTGTGCTGCAGTTAATACAAAAAAGTATCTAATTTATGTCAAAATTTGTACATGGCAATATTTATCGACAAAAAGTCCACAAGAATTTTGAGTGTACAAAGCACAGCAATTCTAAGAAGTCCCAAGAAAGTGACGTACAATCAATAAGCTCACACGAAGATCCATGCTTCGCACTCTGTACAAGGTGTACTTGCAAGTACACTCTCAAAGAAGTATCTGTCAAGTACGCATCTTTGGAAGTGAGTACGTCAATAGTTGCGTACTTGGACAAGCATATGCCCAAGCCGAAAAGGCACTCACCTGCGATGCTGTTATAAGGCTGTTTACATCCAAGAAGGAGAACACCAATTCAAGGGACGGGTCGCTCAGATCATTTATCTGGGTCGCGGGTTCCAGCTGCAAGTGAAAAGCAAAATCATTGCAATGCAAGCATCCTTGGTAAGGAAGACAACCAGTATCGTTGTATTTTCTACGATCCTCATACACTTTTTTTCACAGTTTTCGTTGTGTATACTTATAAATACTTATGTTGTACTATTCACACTTCTTTTTTTTGCACAGTGTTATCGTTAAATGGCTAATGGAGTACGTACCTCAATGACCTCTGGGGGCGGTTCCTGTTCCGCAGCCAGCCTCATCAACTTCGCTCGTCGCCGAGTCAGCATTGCGGCGAAGAAGAGCACCGACCCACGAAGACGGCGGCAGTTAGTCGATGGAGCGACGAACTTGGGCAGGGCCCGGCTGTAGGTTGTCTAGTGGAGGGCTGAAACACGCCGCAGCGAAATCGCTGAAAATGGGTAGATTGGCGAACTGTTCGGTACAAATTCCTTGCATGAAGAATTAAACGTTTACCATCAGGTTGAAGTCTTGAGTGTCATTTTTGATAATGCGACACTATTTATTGAAATAATATCAGAATTCAATGAAGCACTGCACTTGCTTCCAAAGCTCTCACCCAGGGCGTGCTAACGTATAAAGAATCACTTTAACTGTTACGATAATGCTTTTTGAACGGTTCGCGGAATTGCAGTGACATTGGTTTCACAGTGCAAGTTGCATCTACACTGTAAGACCCAAAGTATTCACACCAGAAGATATGCCCTAAAATAATGCTCGTCAAAAATTCTTAGTGAACAGTTTGTTACGGAGGCAATATAGAGTACTCCAATGAATCTTGAAACGGAAGGAGATCAAAAGTAAGTCCTGAAAATACCGTCAGCGCCCCACCACCCCAAGTATGCGCAGACGTTACCCCACCACCCGGTGCGCATGCCCAGAAGTTGCTTTTAAGGCTTACTTTTGTCCTTCTTCTTCTGTTTCTTGATTCATTGGAGTACCCTGTTGGAGCACTAACAGTGGTTTGATCAATCAGCGTCAAACGACAGCTAACAAGTGGTGGAACCTGAGCCTCTCCGCGAATCTCAAACTCTTAGCGATTACTCGCATCGTTCACATTTCCTCCGAGCTAGTAGTGAGCTGGTGAGTGGCACATTGTGGCACATGACCTAGCGTAACGTCACAACCCGGGCACTTTTATTTTCAACCCTCTTCACTGACTGCCTCTCACAACCAGCCTCAAGCTAATACCAAAAGCAATGTCTTCAAAACAGAAAAGAGCTCTTCGACGCAGAAGTGCTTTTTTAAAAAAAATTGAAACTTTACGTTACATTTTGCAGAAAGGGTTGTCCAAAATTACAGGTCTTAATAAGCCACTGAGCACACTCCGTTTACAAAATCAAGAATCGAAAACCTATTAACGCATCCAGGCTTCAACACTTAACTAAAAGAAATGCCTCAGGAGGATAAGAGTGTAGTAGGCGCACGATACAATCCTGACAGTATGAGAATGTGTGAAAGGTGCTCCAAAAGGGGTACTCTAATGAATCTTGAAACGGAAGAAGAAAAGTAAGCCCTAAAAACAGCTTCTGCGCATGCGCAGAATCCGTTTATTGAAGGCTTACTTTTATATTCTTCTTCCGTTTCAAGATTCATTGGAGTACCCTATTGGATGCTGAACTAAAACATGAGGGAGAAAAGACAGCACTGATATTTTTACACTGTGGCAAAAAGGTACGGAAAATCCTGTTAATTTTTTTGCCAGGATTCTCCGTAGCCCTCTTATCAATATTCTCCGTAGGCTCTTACAGTATTCTCCGTAGGGCCGCACAGTATTCTCTGTAAATCCGCACAGTCTTCTCCGTAGGACCTCGAAGACTGTATAGTCCTACGGAGATCACTGTGCGGTCCTACGGAGAATACTGTGCGGTCCTACAGAAAATACTGTAAGAGCCTACGGAGAATATTGATAAGGGGCCTACGGAGAATTACCACAAGCTGTTTACAGAATTTTCCGTAGCTTTTTGCCACAGTGTAATGTGATAAGTTTCAAACAATTTGCTGCGTTAAAAAGGCTAATGCGATTCCTTTAAATTATTGCATCTGTGGCAGCAATAAAAAATCATCGCATTAAAAATGAAATAAGTCTCTTAGGTTTTGGCCGGTCAGGGCCCAGATTATCACAAGTTTTGGTGTGATAAAATGAGAACTACGCTAATAGATCGATAAATGCGCTGATGCAAACACAATAATTAATGCACTTATAATGCATTAATTTTTTCATAGGGCTACCAATGCAATACAAATGTCATTGATTTATAAATTTGTTCGTTGTTTATCTTGGAAAATCGGTGAGTCTGAGAATCTTGGAAAATCAGTGAGTCTGAGAAATTTACGCCCTGCGGAACAGTTGGATCGAAGGTGATCCAGCCAGGAAACGATTGTCAAAGCAAAAAGAGAAGTCGCCCACTCCGCGCGATAGACGCTGCCAGCAATAGCCTAATCAGCGAACTGGAGTCAGTCTTCCTCAAACCGCGCGAGGCGAGGAAGCGAATAGATTTCTCGCCCAGTCCCCGCGCAACTGCGGGTGAGTTCGAGATAAACGTGAAAAGTGAATTGTGAATTTTGCCGCGTCCTGAGCTGCGCCGCGCTGTGCAGTGCTTCTCAAGTGTTCTCGCTGACTCAGCGGTGTCATTGGATTTTTTTTTCGTGAGTATACGGTCGGTGGCGGACCAAGAATGTATGCGGGGGTATACGGCGTATACGCATCAATCAATTAATTTACATCAAAGACCAAAAGAATTTCGTAGAAACAGAAGCAGTTGTTTTTCTCGGGGGAGGTTGGGAGGCACTTATGTGTTTGATAAGCCATTTCCTGACGTACTGATCTGGCCGGACTTGCGCTAGTGGTGGGCCATTTATATTGAAAAACATCAGGCTGGAAAGGTGCGGTACCGAGGGGGTATGCGCTCTCTGAACCTGTGTACCGACTATTACGCTATTACGCTCCATTACGCCACAAATTAATCGGAATCTAGCTAAAAACGGCCTAAAACACACCAAAATTGATAAAATTTTGTCAATTTCGGCTATTACGCGACTATTACGCGTATTATTACGCGTGCTATTACAGATAGAGTGAACCGACTATTACGCGAGTGCATACCCCCTCGTGCGGTACGGTTAGCCGAGTCCTAAGATCAGTGCAGATGAGATTCACGATGGAGAATCCCCTCTCGCACTCAGCTGAGCTTACGGGAAACTTATCAGCCAACCTTTTCAGAGGACGAAGCCGTGTGTTGGTCGCCCTGGCCTGAAATTAATGCCCCGCCGTATACCCGGGAACTTAGCGTATACTCTTACATGCGGAACTGTGTATACGGTGGCCTTAAAAAAAATGGACAGTCTACGCCGTATACCCCCGTATACGCCCAATGACACCACTGCGCTGACTGGCAGCCGCGTCTTCGTGTTCTCAAATGCCCTCGGTCAAATTTCCTATGAATCACTGTTTACATTGTGCAAACTTGTTGTCATTTCACGACTGTTGGACAGGCAGCATATTGGACATCAAGAAGGGCAATAGCGACTGAAAATGAGAGAATATAACTCTGTGTAAGCGGCAGAACTGTGACGCAGGCGCTCACGAATTTCGCATACGTGGTTCTTGTTGATGTTTTCCCGACTTCCGATCGAGCTCTAATTCGGAGCCTCTAACCTTATGCTTAAAAATAATATCAAATTTCGTAAGAAATAAATGACGCACTGTATTTTATGTAGGAAAATGAATAAAATGAACAAAGTTATGCACAATATTTTTACACACCTTACGCACGTATCTATCAGTGCATGCATACACTCTTAAAACCTTACGAAGTATTTTGAGCATACATATAACAAACTAATATACTTTGTTATACGAAGAACTAGTTTGTAAATTACGAGGTATTTTCTTTGTAAGCTTACGTATGCTCAAAATACTTTGTTACACAAACTGCTTTTCTTTGAAAGGCCCAAAATAGTTTGTAAGGTTTTCTCTGTGTAGTTAAGCTTAAAAAGTGCATAATGCATTATAAAAGTCTACCAGAGTTGTGTACCTCCTCATTTAGCAGTGTTTGGCGCGCCTGGCGGGCTGCGCTCTGACGTGTGATGGCCGAGCGGCCTGGCCTACCCGGGTGGCCTTGAAGCGTGGAGTCCCCGAAAATGGTCGCGTCAAAGGAGGCGGCAGCTGGGAAGTGTGTCGCTTTGTTCCATTCACAGTGTAGGGTAAGGTGCCCAGTGATGGCCACTTTTAGCGCACTGATGCGCCTTTAACCCCTTTACTAAGTGTCCCGCACGTCGTACCGGTATGAAAATTTCCAGGAACATACAAGAAGGATAGAGTAAACGTTCCCAAGGTTAGAAACCATCAAAATAAAATTTATTCTTTGAGAAAAAATAAACCAAAATATCAGTACAGTTTGCCCAGTGATGGCCACCTTTTGCCCAGTGATAGCCAGGGTCCCGGCCCAGTGATGGCCACATTAGGGTTTGAGCGTCTTGTTTTCGTTTTTGACAGTTATTGAACCCAATTTCGGCTGGTTTGTACCGTGTTCAAAGCTAGAGGGGTCGCTGTGTCTTAGGAAACGGAAATCAGTGTAACCCTGGGAACTGGAATCTACTTGTGTGTATACCATAAATATAGGATTAAAGTTAAAATTTCAAGTTTGGTATAGAAAAGATTTGGTTTCCGAAATGATTTGACCTCGAGAAGGTGAACATATAATGTTAAGCATGTTTATAGGTACAGACTTCAAATTCAAAGGTTTATCAGTGTCCAAAGTGGAAAAAGGTGCAAAATGCATCATTTTTCCTCTTTCAAGGCCGATAACTTCTGAAAATCAAGCCTGAACCGAATACATGCCAAACATTTTTTGTTCATCTTGTTGAGGTGAACACGTTTCTGAAATCGAATTGTTTCTGTCGCATATTTAAAATTTTGACTTAAAAACAAAATTTATTATACATACGGTGTCTAAACAGTTTCCATGGTACCGCGAATTCCGGTCCCCATGAGGCAGGCGGAGTGAGATGCCGGTCAAAACCAAGATATTTCAGGCAACAAACTAGACGGACATGCACGTTGTCGCATCGCTCGTTGCAAAGTATGCTTCAACACACTAGTGTGGCCATCACTGGCTGTGCACTGTTTTGCCTGCCCAGTACTGGCCACCACCCCTTTTCCCTCAAATTTAACGAAATTTCAAAAAAACTTGCATGCTATGGTTAACTTGCCCTCTTTCGATTCCTCTGACGTGATGTTTCTCTTCCACGGACCTCATATTCACAAATGACAAGCGACGCCGTCAAAGCCTGCGCTAATCTGGGCCGGTAAGGAAAGCAACGTTCGACCGGCTGAGAACGCAGTGTTCAGCGCGCTGCGGCCGTGCGGCCGTCCACAACACTAAAAAGCTGAAATTTTTTCGGCGTTGTGTTGCCAATAGGTGACAGTACAAAACCTCAAAAGCTCAATTCTTTAGCTAATCTCGCCTGGATGCATCCACTTTCCATGGAAAGTGAGCGCAAAGTGTGAAGTGGCCATCACTGGTACCCTGGCCATCACTGGGCACGTTACCCTACCCCGAGTGCTTATTCATTTTTCCAAAGCCCAGCAGTTTGTCGAGATCGTTTAGTTACGATGGTGTCCGCACTCATATACGTCCTACAGAAATTTAATTCTGCGTGTCATTGGAAATTGCAGAGCCAACCCACCTGGCAAGATGGCAAGGATAAGTGTGCTGCTGCTTCTTTTCGGGTAAGATTGCACTGGAAATACCAACTTTCATAGGTACTTATCCAAAGGTACTCTCATTGTGGATAAGTGCAGCAAGCAGTTAGTTCAAATAATTGTCCCCTAGGCCTAGTAGTTATTCTTCACGTAAAGTTTATTATTATTACCATTACTTGGAAAACATCTTGATCCAAGAACAACGTTCTGGAGAGTTGGAAGAAGAATATATTTTCATGAGAAATCAATGATCTCTTGACCAAGGAAGTCATTTCTATAAATGTAAGACTAAGTCTTTGCCGATGTCTGATGAGCTTATCAGAAACGCATCTGCGTCTCGGACGGACTTGTCAAAGAAATTAGGGTCAGGGCGGGGAAAAACTAGACAGGGGAAGAACTGCACACCCCACATTTTACTTCAAATGCCGTATGTACTGGCCTGACAACTGGCGTGTAATGAACCGCTGATGCCACGGAACAACGTTTAATACCGTAAACCGGGGTAACTTGAGACAGCAAGGGTAACTTCCACCTTTTCGGAGCTGCCACCTGGCTCGGCACATTCGGAGGGCAAAACTGCCCCAGCACTTTTTTTCATACTTCTTTGAAAAGACGATTAAGCGTTTGCATGGCGGGTTAGGACCAAGCTGGTCAGATCTATAACGATTTTTCAATTTTAGTAAATTTGAAAATTTTAGAGAAGTGTTACAAGTCTCCCATGGTACTCGAAACACGTCTTGCTGAGACCCAAATGACCATAGCATCTTTCAACCCCATTATTTCAACATTCTAAATGCAGCATTGGTTTTGAGGGAAACACATCATTCATCGGGTAATACTGACTTTTATAGAAAATGGTAACTGTGCGGGGTAACTTGAGACACCAAACTTCATTGAATTTGACGGAAGTTGAGTGGCGTAACTTGACACTGGCACCTCCATGTACTACAGGGTGATTTAAAGTAACGGACCTCTCCGTTCTAAGATCAAAACTAAGCCGCATTTGATCGGGAATCACTTTTTTAGACAGTGTAGAGTGTAGAGGGTCCCAAGTGGATATGCAGCGTAAAGTTGGAGTGTTTTCTCAACTACTCACGGACCAGACGAGACACAATAAATCTTGAAGTCTCAAAAGATGGGTAATTTAATTATCTTTCCAACGAGCTAAATGTCATTGAAATCGGACAACTTATAGCCCAAGAACCGTCGATTTTTTGAAGAAAAACAACTGTAAAAATAGTTAAGGGATTTTGAGTAAATTTTAAAAATTGACTAAGACTATATACCTTTGCAGGAATGGACTTGTGTACGTAGAAATAACGAAAAATGTCTTAACAGGTGTCAGGGTTGAATGCGAAATGAGAGAATCGCTGTACTTAGTTGACAGGGTTGGATGTGAACTGGGAGAATCGTTGCGCTTCTGAAGTGCCGTTATCCCTCAAATTACCAAATGTGACTTTGATGAAAAAATCTTAATATAACGATCTAAAATCTTCTAATATATTCCACAAGTAGTACTTTTCATTGAAAATAAGTTAAATGTCTCAGAAAATCAGTATGGACTGGCAAAAACCCCACTTCCGTGAAAAAGCTAAGTGAAAACTAGGAGTGTCTCAAGTTACCCCAAATGACGGGGTAACTTGAGACAATTTTAGAGGCCCATTACTCCCATTTTAGGTGACCCCCAAAAACTTCATGGGGTCCAAACCGAATGTTATCATGTGAAATTAAACATAGTTGGGATTCGGGTTGGTGAGAGAAGTTTTGTGGACATACGGGCCAAAAAACGTGAAATATTGTCTCAAGTTACCCCGGTTTACACTGTTAGAAATTCTGTCGTAAATTAGCGACAAAAAAGTCGCTAATTTTCATAGCGACGGAAATCGTCCTTAAACTACTTCGTCATAACTGAACGACTAAAATATCATTTCTCTACGACAATGTCGTAATCACAATTACATATTTTGACACCTGAAATCCCCGAAAAGTTGGTGAAAAGTTACAATTTTGCTTACTTATTTACGATTTGTGTCGTCATTTACGATTCAAAACACAAATTTACGACAAGAGTCGTAAATGTACGACTGAAGTCATAACTGCACGACATATTCCAAAGATAATTTACGATTGTTCGTAAACTTACGATTAAGTCGTAAATTTACGACTTAATTCGTTTTAAAACGAAACGTGTCGCTATAAAAATTAGCGACAAGTATGTCGTACATTTACGACTCAGGTCGTATATTTACGACTTGAGTCGTAACAAAATATGTCGTTTAGAAACGACATAATTGTTCTACAAAATGTCGTAAATTTACGATTATTTTTAACAGTGTACGGTAGTTGTTATTCCTGTGCCTACGGTATTTGAAGTAATATATGGGGTGTCCAGTTCTTCCCCTGTCCAGTTCTTCCCCGCCCTGACCCTAGTGTAGTTGACTAAAACCGCCCAGCTCTCTTCGGTCCAGGGCTTGCGCGCTGTGCCCATCAACTGCGAACGGCCAAGCTATGGCGCCAATCCTGTCCCTCCTCTTCAACTCTCTTCAGCAGCAAGTTAAGATAGCGAGGCAGCGACAAGGAGTTGATTTCATTGTCCCCGAGCCGCCTCCAAATTTGGTAAGACCAAACATAGTCTCAGCGACATACATGGAACCGATAAAACACCACAAGCGCCCGCTCCTAGGATGTCGCCGACCAAGTGTTTTTTTTTTTGTCTGGACCTTCTCAAATGTCATAAATCTGTGATGAGATCATCATCATCATTTGACAGTGATGAAAATATCATCCACGTTTTTGTCATAAAGTTACAACGAATTTTCACAGTGTTTGAAGAGTTTTTCATCTTGTGGGTGGAGTCAAACCAGGCACTCACTTGGAATTCTAGAGAGTTTGGAACGACGCCGCGGAGGCAGCCCAAATGTTGCGTTGGTCCAAACAAACGAAAATCACTTTGCAGTTGGAGCAGTGCCGCCTGGCCAGGTTGCAATCGTGCGAAACGCACTTTGTCCAAACATCTGACGGCTACATTCTGGAATTACATCACATCCCTCCAGCCACCGCCGGTGCGATCCCGGTGCTGGTGTTGCACGGCAACTTCGGCACGAGTGACGGCTTCCTCATGCGCACAGACCAACCCAACCTTGGTAGAGTGTTTCCGATGGCCGGCGGCTTAGAGGAGAGGTATCCACTCCAGACCTGCTACGAAATATGGGAGCCCATGTCGCGTAAACGGGGATATTTGCTCGGGCACCGCACAGTACACACTTTAGTGCTCTGAGTGAGCACTCAGTTCATACTTAAGTTCAGTGTGCTTTCACTGTTTCAATTTGACTAGTTTATTTCCATTTTAATGTTATTTTATGGTTAAAGCTTGTACGGTCGTCGATACAGACACTGTACACCTGTATTTCGTAGCAGGACCGGAGCGTACTTTTTTTTGAGTGTTGTGTTACCCGCTTTATTATATATTATCTCAATTATTTTTTGTGATAAGCTACAAGTCTGCACGAGGCTGGCTACGACGTCTGGCTCGGCAACTGGCGTGGTTCTTTTCGTTCCAAGAGGCATGTGCGGTTGAACTCGTCTGACCCGGCATTCTACAACTTCAGGCAAGTTGAGTGAACTGAATCAGAAAGTTGCAAGTTGCGTCTTCACCTGGGTTCTGTAAGATTTTTGGCCATTTTTGTTTACCCAATTCCAATGGGCAGGTTTTGCTGAATATGATACTCACATGATATGATACTCATATGATTTAAAAAGATGATGCACAATTTTCGCTGACATTGGACTGCGGGCAGAATTCCTGCATTTATAAGCGCACGGCGAAAGCGGTTCCTAGTTTTCCCAGGTAGCCTAGTCACTGTAAATGTCTTACGGTGAAAGGCTGCACCAACATATTATGGTGGAGATTTTCTCCATAATACCAACGAAATTCTTCAAAATATCTATAAGGTGCAGTGTATTCTGAATCTGAATGGTATGTTATGAAGTCAGCACCACCACCATTATATGGAACATTTTCACCATAATATAGAGAATCTTTACTGTACAACATTTAGAGTGAGGTAAAAAAAGGCTACCTGGGTACCAGGAACAGCCGTCTGGGATGTACTCGTCTATTACTTGGTTGTTGTGCAGTATGCAGGACATCGGCGGCATCGACGTACCAACCTTCATCGATTTCATCCTTGACCGCACAGGACAGCCCTCCCTGCATCTCATAAGTCACTCCATGGGATGCCCTGTCACTCTTATCGCACTGTCAACGGTAAGGATGGGCGGCTAGTGCACTAGCACAGATTATTTAATCTGTGCCTATTTAATTTAACCGGCCAGAATAAAGAGGCCTTTGATTTAACGTTCAAATTGTACGCAATTTATTGAACGTTACAGCGTCCGGAGTATAATGCCAAGGTGCGTTTTGCGGCGCTCATGGCTCCAGTGATTTGGCCACGCAACACGCTGCAAGTGCTGGCTACCCTCCTGTTCGACGTGTTTTCCAACGAGCTTCGGGTAAGTACGTAACAAACTTACGTGGTAGGCGCTGCAATATGGTCCATTTAGATGAAAGAACTTTTAGGAAGTTTCATAGAAGTGCTTCAATATTTTTTAATTTTTTTTTACAAAAACAAGGCTTCTTTACATCAAATACCATTCACATCAATTGTTGACTTTGCCTCTTGTTTAATTTCAGGCGTTTATGAATCTAACCAAGCTCTGGAACCTGATTCCAAGATCGGCGTTTTTCCACAACTTGGGAGACTTGATGTGCAGAGACAATTCACCGCTGATCGAAACGTGCTGGTGGGGATTTGAGCTGATATTCGGCAAGTCGCACCCTTCTCAGCGTATGAAGGTAAGACGTTCTCCGTGAAGTGATATTTTAGTTATTCTGCATTAGAAATTACATTTATTAAGGCGTCTCTTTTTGCACAGGAGTTTATTCCATCCGTATTGGCCACTCACCCAGCAGGGTCTACTTTCAACATCCAAACCCAGTACGCCGTATTCAGCATAACCGGTAACTACCTGTGTCATTAAATGGCTTCAGATCAATTTTTGTGGGTCATTATGCACAATACCTCATTTGTGATGGAACCTGCTTGGGGAATGAGGGCACCGTAAAATCGTTTCCTGGTTTTCCCAGAAAGTCTTTGGTAAAGGCTTGGGCAATTTCCAGGGAGATACTGGGACAACGAGGAACTGACTGGGCGATGGCTATGTAAAACCATGTATCCGTGCGAAATTATTTCTCTGGTGAAACTTAAGTGTAATTGTTGCACACTCCATTCAAATGTAGAAAAGAAATTCTCCGATGGATTTGAAGTAGCAGGAGAGGAGCGGAGTCACAACCTCTACGCTTGAAGCGAAGCGTTGCAGCTTCAGATTTTAAAATTCAAGTACTGCTTGAAACAAAGAGGTGATAATCGTACCATTTACGTCACTGTTTAGCATTTGCTTGGTTGTTTCAGGCCGGTTCCGACCTCTAGGGAAGGGAATCAGAGATCCACAACCTCCTCCCGATTACAACCTCACAGCAATCACCACACCTGTCGGACTCTACTATGGAGCCACTGACGCAACCATGGCAGTAAAGGTAACTAAATTCTATTGGGCAACACAGAAACGGCAAGAGGCACGCTTATAACCATTCGAAGTACTTAGAGCATGTGTAAGGCACAGACTATTTGTCACTCGAAAAAATTCATCGCAAACCATGAAGAGTTTTCTTTATAACTTTTAACACTGCTTAAAAAAATCCGCACTTTGGCACGGAAAATGTTCAAACGAAGAAATCACGTCGCGTATATTAGTTTTAAGCTTCGCTTAGTTAACAAGCTAAATTCAGGACTCATCCGACAAAAGTCTGACAGGGGGATTGTTTCAGATTAAGACAAACCGAACCATGTAGTCCGAATCGCTTCGCTTTCTCCTGAAAATGGTAAGACACGATTGACTTAAATTTAAAGGCGCGTGTTGTATTTTGCGTGACCATGGGCTGAACGGGAGCGATCTTGTTTCTGAATGTCAGACTGGTTGGCTCTGTTGACCAAATTAACCACTTTGACGCTCATACAGAATAAATGATCACGAACAGCCTCAATTGTCCGCATTTACTCCCGCAACACGGTCTTTGTGTGTGTCTTATTGTGGCCATTTAGCAGATCAGAAAGATGCGGTTGAGTCATTGGATTACCTGCGAGCCGTTTGCACTGCAGAGCGGTCCCGTTGGTGTTTAACGTTATAACCAGACAAAGGGAAATCGAGTGCAGCGTCATTAACGATGTGTTCGAATACTCATATATTCGGAGCATTTCCGAGTAAAGAACGGACATCGCATTTTCTAAGTTATTCGCACAAGAAATTATTAAAACTTTCTACGCAATAGTAAGCTTCAAACGTTACAAATAATTGTAATTTTCATTTGTCTGTAACTTTATTCAGACTGTGCCTTTAATACTTATTCAACCACCTAAATCATTAATGTTCAGACCAACTCCATATTCTAACACAATGTTGAGTCCACCCATTCTGAGAGATATTTTTCGAGATTCGCTCGAAACTGTCTGTGTTTCAGAGCACCCTTATGTTAATTAAAACATTGTTCGTAAGTTTGTCTAAATTCAGAACTATTTTTTTGACCACCGTGTATTGTCACTCGGCAAAATTCATGCAAACCATGCAAATTTTCTTGTATAAACTTTTAACAGTCCCCTGACTAAAGCGAAAATCCAGGTAGCACTTTCGAACTGCGACTAAGCGAACTAATGTTTCAACGAAGTGCGGAAAAGAAGGGTAGGCCAATTACGCTTGATTTCAAGCGTGAACTGATTACGCTTGAAAACAGAGGGTAATACTGCGCTTTAGTTTCACCCGTGCACAAGAAAAAATTTGTTGAGATGTTTAAAGACACGTGCCTAATTCGAGTATTGCTTCCCAAGGATATGGTCCGCTTGGAGCGGGCCCTCCCGGTCCTAGAAGACAGCTACCTCGTTCCTCTGAAGCACTTCAGCCACTTCGATTTCCTCACAGCAACAGACGGCCGCAGTGTCCTCTACGACCGCATTATTCAGAAGATGAAGACTGCAGATTACAGAACGACTTACGCTTAAATTTAGGTATTTAAGTTCTGCAATAAAGACCTAAGATATTGACTGTTTCTATCTGATAACTGAATCGTACGGAGAGAATGTTTCTTTACCGCATTCCATATGTGATGTGAAAAACGCTGAATAGTGTTTTACAGAATAAATATAATCAAGAGGCCCCTCCCCTATAGATAAAAACCACAACACGCCTACAAAAATTCCTGGCAACTTTTTTTTTTATCGGGAACTTATTATACTTTCAAAGTACAACGATTGTAGTACAGATGAGAGGAATAAGACTTTATTGTACTGTTCGCTTTTTTTTTCTTGCAACGCTCCCTCTCATTCCTTCAATAAACGAAAAAAGCCATATACGAAAAATGGTCCGTGGTATGCATGCGTAACACAAAACGCACTAATCAGACAAAATAAACGTGAATAAATAATAGACAATACATGTCAACGTTCTGCCATCTGCATTTAAACAGTCCATTAGGACAAAAGCTGTAATGCAGTAAAGCCAACAAGTTCAAAGTGAGCATTCGTTCCAAACGACGAGTAGAAACGGCATACGGCCGAACTCTTCAGTACACATCATTTCGTCGAAACTTTGAACTGATTATCACGCGGAAAACGCCATCTAAATCCATGTAATCCATGGGCGATTAACGAGTCATCTTCATCGGAGATACACTGTTATTTGACTTGCGATACAGACCGCACTTTCTGCGCAATACAAATTTCATAGCACTTTTCTGTGATGATCATCGCTAAAAGGTGTGATGAGCTACAGTATCGCACAATTTTGCAATGATCATTGCAAAAAACTGCCATGATTCCAGATTTTGTGTTGTCATCATCACAGTTTTTTGCAATAATTTGGATCCTCATTGCAGAAAGTTGCGATGATCATTGCAGAATTTTGTGCGATACAGAAGTCATTGCATCTCAGGAGCAATGATTCGTGGGAATCACATTTCGGATATCATCGCACGTTTTTGTGTTGAAAGTATCGCAACTTGGATAACAGTGTACAAGAGGCAGCGCAGCACGGGCTGAAGTGAAGAAGAAGAATATTGGCCGGAAACAGTACAAGATATCTGCCATTTGCGGGAGGTTTGACAGGTTTAAATCTGTTACGTCATATTTAGTATTAAGCATTCATGAATTATTGCATTGAGCGGACACGGTAATCATCGATCTGTAAGCGAAATTGGGCATCTGTTTCCGGGTACGTTCTTGTACTTCAACATCCAGATAGAAGGATGTAGGTTAAATTACATCAGCTCTGGCGAATGAGCGTCAGAACAGCAACACCGAATACTCACCTCTATGCTTCAAACGTAACCAGCATCGCAGCTTCTTAGTAGTTGCTCATCTCTGAAGTTCTTCGTATCTGCGAACCGATGACAACTGTTCGATCTTGACTTGGACTCAGAGTGTGGTTTCTACTGATCCTAGAGATCACTAGACGACAAGACGACAGACGCTTTGTCAGTGGAGAAACAGCTTGCTTCGAGTTGATAAATTGTTTAAGATACTTTAAGTGACCCAACAGATCAACGAAATGTTGCATGAAAAGGTGCGCATAGCTGTTACCCTTTAATGGTGATCAGGTAATGAGAATATTAAGTGGACATATCATAAAGTGAAGAATGTTGGATAGGTCCAAATGTTTCGTATCAAGGCCACGTAATGTCCTAACTCAGTTGCATCGGTCCCTCTTTAATGATTTCTGGATCAGCCGTCGCCGAGTGCGGAACAATAGTAACCTAAACGCAAGGAACCAGTGGGTACCCTCCCAAGAATTCCAATTCCTCGCATTTTGAATACTTATTCGTTCTTCACTCCAGCGACGATTGAAAGGGTCCATTGTGAAGATTGATCAAACTTTGATCATCCGAGAGCATGCAGTGAGGTTAGTTGAAGAGAAAAGGAAGAAGAACAGGTCGCACTCTTGCCCGAAGACACGAATACCAGCATTTGCCTTGGTGCAACGATTTAGGATACCTTTCCAGTGAGGTGAGCATTTAGCGTCGAGACTCCGGCAGTCGGTCGTCAAAGCGGAACTGAATGGATCTGAATCCCTCCACGCTGGTGGGGGGTACGTGCGTCGACAACTGCAAAAAAATCCTTATTTTTGTGTCTTCATTTTCTTTTTATATGAAGCAAATGCTTCGTAGGCTTTCAAGAGTGCAGTAACGTTTAGCCGCGTATTCAAAGCGGTCCTCAAACAACTCCGGACAGAATGGTTCTGCGTTTATTTTCGGGCTGGCGAGTGGATATGGTATTCACTCGACATTTGAGGCACAAATTTCAAGACGTTAATAACAACGTAGGCTGAGCGGCTGAGCAGACTTAATGTCGTAAGAAGGTGGAACAAGAGTTCCCCGGTTGGTTGCATGTTACGCTAAGAGGTAGTCACGGGACGTAGTTCACTCGGAGGCGGAAGTTGTTTTCCAGCGATACCCTTTCAAGTATCGAGTTCCTGCTCGATGTTAGGACTTGAAACTGGTTTAACACTAGAGCCAATGTAAAAATTACCTCATTCAAATTATTTGGTAGCCCGGTATCGGTAACATGTTTTGAAATTTTAGTATTTTCAAGACTTTGGATTTTCAAGAACAGTCGTACTGCCGCAAACAACAGAGAGAAAGAGAGAGAGAGCGAGAGAGGTCTTATATTGTAACTTGTAATTCGGCCTTTACGCACCCGGGGCAGCTAAACAAGACACTGCCTACATTTGAGGTTTGCTGTCCGAGCCTTGTGTTTATTGGAGCTGCTTACTCGATGCTTTGCATGCAGTATGTCGAAGAACGCCGAGCCCGCCCGCCAGCCCGAGTCCGTCGTGGGGAACCGGCAGCTGCTGCTGGTGACGGAGCACCACGTCTCCGACGCCACCCTGAAGGAGGTGACGTCCACGCCGCGCTTCGAGCGGGAGGACATCGTGGAGCCCGCCAAGGTGGAGTGCCTCCGTCCGAACGTGTCCTTCACGCTGCGCTTCCATGCTCGGTAAAATCGGTTCATGTCCTGGAATATCGGGCCCTTCCCAGAAAGATGTCCTGGGATATCGGCTCTTACTCAGGAAGATGTGGAGGAACTTTGATCCTTTCTCAAGAAGATGTCCTGGGAGTCTCAGGATATCGGTTCAAAGGAAGACTTTCTAGAATATCCAGGAATATCGGCTTATATGTGGGTAGATATCCTGGGAGTAATATCAGTTCATTCCAGATTTTTAGGAAGATGTGCTGGGATCCCCAGGAAAGAACATCGTCGGTTTATTCTTATAGAGATGTCCTGGCGTTCCCAGGAGTCTCGGGTCATTTCCAGGAACTCTCTCATTCCAGGAACATGACATCAGGTTGAAACGAACGGAACAAAATGTCACGTTCGTTTGAGCATTGTGTCACATTCGTTTCGGTGTGAATTGGCAAAAAAAATCAGCTTGTTCACATTCAAACGAACGCGACAATGCTCAAACGAACATGACATTTTGTCACGTTCGTTTCAACGTGATGTCACGTTCCTGGAATACAGGAAGATATTGTGGGATCCGCAGCAACATCGGCTCATTCCTTTGGTAATGGTTTTGCTCCAGGCGCACCACGGCCAACTCCATGATCGTGCTGGAGGTGTGCAAGCTGCGGTCCACGACGCCGGACTTGCTGGTGGTGTGCGTGTGCTCCGGCCAGGCTCGCGCTGCCGTCCGCGAGGATCTGCGCCGCCGCCTGGACTGCCCCACGACCCCACTGGTGGAGGCCTTCACCGGGGACGGCTGCCGCTGCACCTACCGCGTGGTGTGGACCCACCAGGTACACAGTAAATGTCTTAAGGTGAAAGGCTGCACCAACACAATATGGTGGAGATTTTCTCCATAATACCAACGAAAGTCGTCAAAATCTCTTTAAGGTACAGTGAATTCTCAATGGTATGTTACGAAGTCAGCTGCACCACCATAATATGGAACATTTTCACCATAATATGGGGAATCTTCACTGTAGGAAATTTAGAGTGTTTATGGCCTTTATAAGTTCACTGGTGGAGCGCACACACTAAATGTTTTTGTACATATTTTGTACAAGGCGTCACAATTTTTTTTAATTTGTACAAAATTTTGTACATGGATATCCTGCTGTCTAAAAACCTTACAGTGTCCAGTCTTTCGAAGTAATCTTGATACAACTGAGTAATTTGTGCATACTTGAGCATTCAAAGAAAACACTTCGTAATATATGGACTTTTCTCTGTCTAAACTAGTGAGTATCCATGCTCTTAAAGTACTTCGTACCGTTTTAATAGTGGCCCATGCAACTTTAAAAACGAAAAAGAAACTCACTGGCAAAAAAATCCATCTTAATTTTAAGAAACTAGTTTGTGAAGCAGTTTACAAAGATTTTTTGCTATTAAAAGTAAGAAACTTTCTCCTCTTAAAACTAATGACCAAGTTTTTAAAATTCATAGATCATGGTTTATTAAAATTCATAAACATATTTGACTAAAGTGGGAGAAAAGAACTTCTATACCGACGTCCGATTTCGAGTGTGGATGTCAGAATTCTGAAATGCATCTTACATCGTGTCACATAACTGTGTCGGATGTCAAAAATTAGTCGGAGCACGAAGACCTGAGACTTTTATGTCTCCCATCTTCCGACTGTGCCCCAGCGGAGGAGGTGCCTGGACCTAACCTAATGGCCGACAGCAGACGCCAGCGAGTGGCAACATGGTTATGCGTTTTACTCAACTCCAGTGGAATATTTTGTTAAAAAATTTGAGCTGGCGGCTAGAGAAGACATTTACTAAGGCAACAGATGGTATCATTTGCCAAAAGAAGTTCTTTTAGAAATACCGTGAAACGGGGTAACTTCGGACACTTTTGAGAGGTTTTTTTGAAATTGCGAAAGTTGTGGTGCTGTCATGGACTTGAGGGTTAAAATTTATCATCTACGCACCTTTAGCTTCGATTTGGCGCTTATTTCAAATATTTGCACCTCACCGTTTTTACAGTGGAGGGTCCGAAGCAGTGTCCGAAATTACCCCGTGTTTTGGGGTAATTTCGGACACCCTTGGAAAAAGCGACTTTTCGTTCTGATTTTGGTCCCACAATCGATCAATGTCTCTTTCTAAAGTGCTAATATGATTATGTGAGAAATTCGTAAGGGTTAAGATGTAAAAGAAAGGTAGGGGTGGTCATTCATACATAATTTTAAGTCATGTTTTGCACTCATATGTAGTTCGATTTCAGAAATAGTGGGTGGAACTAGTAGAGCCATTTAGAACGCTTCTATTTGTTAGTTTTTGACCGATTAGCTTTCACAGGCAACTCGGGCCATACTTTATTACGCGAAAGTGAATCTTAAATCTGCCTCTACAAGATTACATACGATCACATGCATGCATATGAAAGGCAAGTAGTCGTGTCGTATGTACGGTTAGGAAGATACAGGGGCTCAGTGGAAAGCGTTGCATAGTAAACCGGCGAGCTATGCAGCCATTCGCCAAGTCCAACTCTCATGTCACATGAAAGAAAATTAATCACAAAACAGTCGTTGACACTAAGGTAGAACACGCACATAAAAAAAAACTAAGTATTAAAGATGTAGCTTTGCCCCATTTTCATGAAATTCGAAGTTTACAAAGAAACCGCTGTAACAATTGAGGATTATCGTTGTTATTGGATTAACTTCAACTTTCAGAAGAGCTCTTCAGCTTCCACCACTCAAACCCTGCGAAATTGGAAGTGTTCAGGACATACCCACTCTCCCTGGCGTGACGTTTGTATGTCCGAAATTACCCCGTAAAATAGCATTTTTTTAGTTTTGAGCCCATATAAACCATACTATTTGACCCAGGTGATTGAAAATTTGACACAGTATGCTCTTAACATGATTAAATCGACAAACAATCCCCTCATGAACCGGCCATGAACAGTTTCGGCTTGCCAGTCAAAGTTTTTACGCATAAAGCGAATTTAGGTAAAAATGGTTAAATACAAAAACCACCATTTCTCCTGGAGTTTGCCCCTGATTTGGCCTCCGGGTGATTGATCAGATGGTTTTAAGTGTGGCCGATGCGATGCGCGCAACGGGACAACCCTCCAAGTTGGCCGTTAGATGGGAGCATCATCGCAATGCTTCCGGGCAGAGTTGTCCGAAATTACACCGAGTGTCCGAAATTACCCCGTTTCACGGTACAAATTGGAAATACTTCTTCGGGAACGGACACGGCGCTCTAAGCGCCACCTAGCGGCAGGTCTGTGCAACCTGACCTTGAACCCAGCGGCTGACTGTGGGCCATACCGTGTGAGAAGTGGCTTGTCGACAGTTTGCGTGAAGTAATCAAAGTAAACCTTCGGTTTACGTTGAATGTGACAGCTATCACTGAAGCGTTCAACTTTAACTTCAATCAGTTAGTTTCAGAAATCTAGTTAAGAAAAGTCATCAGTCATTTATATTTTAAGAAACCAATTTTTACTTTTGGCAGGCAATCTTAATTTTGACAACTCTGTTCCTAAGTTTTAAAAGTGGTTTTGAAATTTACCAACTATTTATTACTTTTCATTTTAGTTTTGGTAAATGTAATAAAGTATAGCACTTTTCACAAACTTTTCTGAGTTTTCATATCATTTCAAAATGTTATTAAATTTAAGATATTTTCATGTCTTAAATTTCAGAATTTTTTTTGCAGTGGCTGTTATTTCCTCAGATGTCAGTCCGCGCCGAGGTGTACATCGCGGAGAAGCCACCGGCTTCGGGGCCGCAGACGCTGGGCCTGGACCTGGAGGCGGCGCGCGCCCAGGGCCTGCTGTGCGACGTGGTGTTTAAGGTGAAGGGAAACAACTCTCAATATCAGTGTAGAAATTTTTCAACTCCACGTGAGGTTTGGATGTATTTCAATAAATTGCAGCTAAATTTCCATGAATTTGACTGTTTCGTGAAGAATTTCTTTGAATTTTGACCAATTTTCGTTAAATTTTACAAAGAAAACGGCGGAAATTCTAGACTGCCCTTGACTTTTGGTGTGCAAATATCTAGAAGTTCACTGATAAAATTACGTGTGTACACACTAAATGTCATGGGACTTTTTTTGTCCCACGGTTTATGCAATTTTAAGCACATCCGACGCTGATACAATTTTGTTCCCGTCTGGTGACACATTTTTCCGGCGCCAGCTGCAACTTGTACTTTCACTAGACGATTTGTCCCGCCTGGCGGACACAAAATTGCATCACCACCGGATGTGCTTAAAATTGCATAAACCGTGGGACAAAAAAAGTCCCATGACATTTAGTGTGTACTGTGTACACACTTTACTGTTCTAAGCGTGTGTTCACTACACACTTTAGGGTCAGTTGGGGTAATAATGGGACACAGGGTAAAAATCAGGGGCGTGTGCAGAACGTTTTACTGCACTGTGGCAAAAAGGTACGGAAAATCCTGTTAATTTTTTTGCCAGGATTCTCCGTAGCCCTCTTATCAATATTCTCCGTAGGCTCTTACAGTATTCTCCGTAGGGCCGCACAGTATTCTCTGTAAATCCGCACAGTCTTCTCCGTAGGACCTCGAAGACTGTATAGTCCTACGGAGATCACTGTGCGGTCCTACGGAGAATACTGTGCGGTCCTACAGAAAATACTGTAAGAGCCTACGGAGAATATTGATAAGGGGCCTACGGAGAATTACCACAAGCTGTTTACAGAATTTTCCGTAGCTTTTTGCCACAGTGTGGGGGGGGGGCTATTGCCTAACTTGCAGGGGCGTGTACCTCAAATTGCCTACCCTCCAGGCGCGCAACACCATTTACCTGTATTTAGGGGCTCAAACAGTGATTATTTATTGACGTTTTAGCCTAAACTCAACCGCGCTCAACCACCTGCTGTGTTTGGCAGCAAACTTAACAACCAAACATCAGTATCTGGCAGTGCAGTTAAGTCTGCAGCGTCAGTAACCCTTCGGTTTGACGAAATAGTCGCCACCATGTCGCCACTCTGAACAGATAAACATTGTTCTCTCCAGGCCTGCACGGCCCGGACCCCCCCTCCCCCCCCCCTATTAACCAAAACTCCTCGGATCTGGACGTTTCGTAAGGGGGGCTCGGATCGAACTGGGGGGGGGGCTGAGCCCCCCTTGAGCCCCCCCCGTAGACACGCCCCTGGTAAAAATGGGATAGCTGATTCTTAGTCAAGAATCGAGATTTTAGAACTTGTGCCGTAGCAAATGTTATTTTCTCAATATAAACATCACATTTGGTTTGTCATGCGTTCAAAAATGTTAAATCTTGACCAAGAATCAGCTGTCCCATTTTTACCCCGTGTGCCATAATTACCCCAACTGCCCCTAGTGCTCTATGTGTGTGTAATTAGTACACACTTGAGTTCTCAGTGTTGTTTCCTCTGGGCTCAAGGTGGACGGCGAGGAGCTGGCCGCGCACCGCGCCGTGGTGGCCGCCAGGAGCCCCGTGTTCCTGCGGATGCTGCAGTCGGGCTTCCAGGAGGACCTGGAGGGCGTGGTGCACGTGGAGGGCGTCTCGGCGCCACTCTTCAGGAAGTTCCTCACGTACCTGTACCGCGGCGAGCTGGAGCGGGAGGAGCACTGGAAGGACTGCGAGGTGGACCTGCTGGAGCTCGCCGACCGCTACATGGTGGACGCCATGAAGGCGGAGTGCGAGCGCAGACTCATGCAGGTGGGGTGCATTTTATAAAGCATGCACAGTGCAAATTTTTCGCACCTAAAACCTAAGAGTCATATTGTGTGATAAATATTCCGCGCCCTGTCTGATTGCAGGTGGGCATGGGCGCGGTGGTGTCCTTGCTGCAGACCGTGTCGACGAGGCCCTGCATTTCCAGCTCGGTGAGGAGCCGGGCCGTGGAGGTGGCCATCGAGAACTGGAGCCAGATCAGCACGACCCACGAGTGGGCCGACTTCGACGCGCAGAACCCCATCCTTGCCGACTTCATCCGTGGAGGCTGCCAGGCCCGACGACGGAGCCTTTAGGATTCTCCTACCAGTTTTGTTTTGATTTCTAGTATTCATGTTGTTTTATTATTTCGTGTATTGTGAAAAAATCGCGTTTCGACATTTTTCCATTTCCCTTCGTGCTTGAGTTACATTGGATCGTTGGTGTGATCAACATGCACACGAAAGTGTGTAAACGCTCGTGTGAGCACTCTGTAATCTCTCACTAATAAAATGTTCAACGCCCTGTAAAATGAAATGAAATTACATGAAATTGTCTTCGTGAAGCAGGCGTTTCCAGACGATGTGATGACGTAGTTGCAAGTCAGTTAAATGAATTTGTATCCTTCTATCGTGCACTAAAGGGAATCAAATGTGTGCCTTTTGAGTTGTTGTTATTCAGTCAAAGTCATGTCGCTTTGTGAGTTTGCCGTTGTTTTTGTTTGGTCATGCTTCATTTTTAGAAATGTGAATAAATTTCAGTATGACATGTTAAGAGCTGAGTCTGTTCCTAAATGTTGGCCAATCCCGTAGTCATGTAACCCAGCACCAACTTTCCACGACGCACTAAAGTAGAAACGAGGATGAAAGCTATCGGTCTGAGCCTCAGAAATTTTGAACGAGGTCGGGTGGGGTGCATTGCTCTACAAATCAAAGAGTGTACATAGTATGCTCTAACTGGAGCATGCCTGAAAGCACGCTATAACTAGCGCATGCCTGCCAAGCATGCACTAACTAGTGCATACATGCCATGTACACGCTTCCTGATGCAGAAAACTCCCTATCCCTTATGCGGTAAATGTATGCTTCAGTTAGCGTGTACATGGCATGTATGCACTAGTTAGTGCATGCTTGGCAGGCATGCGCTAGCTAGAGCGTGCTTGCAGGCATGCTCCAGTTAGAGCGTACCATGTACACTCTTTGATTTGTAGAGTGGGACAACCGGCGGATCGTTGTATTGTGCAATTTACTCTCGCCAACAGAGAAAAAATTGTTTTCTGCTGTTTGATACTTTCATAATATAAAAGAACTAACAAGAGTCAACTGATTGATAAAAAATAGTATACTAAAGAATATTACCAACAAGGTTGAATGATTTATTTACACTATATCTCCATAGCGACAGCCACCGCACTGAGAAAAAAGTCTGGTTAAAAGTACCAGACCAATCCTAGTTAAACGAGTACTAGTTACTCATACGAGAATCCTGGTAACTCTCACCAGATGATCAGTTGCAGTAACCAGATCGGGTGTTGTGACATTTACCAGGTGTCTGGTTAATAATCCTGGTAAATTTTACCAGACTGTTCCGTAATTGGCACCATACGTAAAACTTCGAAATATTCGTTTCAATTGAAATGTTCGGGTGTCAAAAAGTAAACTGCAACCGGTTTCGTTATTTTCGGAGTCTTAAATCCGAAAGAAACACTGGGAGTATTTCCCTGAGCCAGACACGTAGAGAGTCACCTGGTGGGGATCCCCTCGACCCACAGGCGACGTGGTGGCGCAGTGGTAACGTGCCCGTCTCACAAGTGTGAGATCCCGGTTCGAATCCGGAGGAGAGGAGGAGGGAAAAAAACAATTCAGAGGTTGTTCGTTAACGAAATCGAAGTCACATCAGGTTTCATCACTACGAAAAAATATTTTATTAAATTTTGGACTTCTTACTTCAGTTTTGTAAGCACATTAACTAACCAGGATGTTTGGTAATAACTACCAGAAGGGGACCTGGCGGCATTGTGAGGATAACTATAAATCTGGTACGGTTTACTAGACTGAGGCCAACTAGACAGTTTAGTATTTTTTACCAGAAATCTAGTTGAGTTATATTCTATCAGACAGTCTGGTATTTGGTACCAGGATTCTGGTTATCGTTACTAGACTTTTTTTTCAGTGCAGACCACTCGGTAAACAGCTTTGACACTTTAGGCCTCTAAATGGTACTCGCGATGGTACTACGCTTACGCGCACGCGTTACACACACGGTGAAAACGGAAACTGGTTTTCCCAGGAACTCCCTGGAAATCGCCTATGCCTTCACCATTGGCTTCCTGGGAAAACCAGGTTCCGTTTTTACCGTGCAGGGCTTGCGTTTGCTGAGTACTACGCGAGCACACATCTTTAAAGACCTACTGGGGTCTGCCTTCGGCTTGTAGAAAACCGCATGATTACCATGTGAATTTAGACACAATCGTTCGCGTACGAAGTCTCATTCGTTGAAGCGTTGTGTTCTAGGGTTGAGCTATAGGGTGCCACATTCGTTTCATCATGGATCAGCATTCAAGAGCATGTGACATACCGTAGAACGGGGTAATATGAGACATGAAGGAAAATCGAGACAAAGCGCACTTTTTTCGGTTTTTGTCGTGTTGCTCTCTAGCGGTTGTTCAGAAGACTACCGTGAATTTTTTGTCGTGATCTAGGAGGCCGTGGCAGCTCACAGAAAACGCACGGAGGCTATCAGAGACTCGCCAGGGCTATTTAGAACCAAAGGTAAAAACTCTTAATTTTAACAAGTTTCATAAAGTTCGTAAAAACCTCCCCAGAAACCTCTGTTAGAATTTGGGTTCTCGTCCGAACGAGGTTTAAATCTGTAGGCAATTATGTCAACATAATCAGGACAAAATTTGGTTCCGTTATGTCTACTCTCGGGCTGCCTGTTCCAGATGGAATACAATTTTGTTACCTTGCACGGAAAATAGAGACACCTCTTTTCGCTTGAAATATGAGGCCAAGCATACTCCACTGTTAATAATTTCAAGTAATAATGATTTTAACACGAATTTGTTTTACTACCTGACCGGCATCTAAGCTCTTCGTTTAGTATTTTCATGTGACAGACACAACTCATCACTTCTTATACATTTTTGAGCTCTCTTTAGTGACACCCATCTTTCTCCCCTCCAGATTTTATATCGTCTCCATTATAGGTTCCAATCATCTTTAAAATGAATGAAAAGAACTTAAAAAGCTCCAAACCCGCCTAAATGATTTAATTATCCATACTTCTTTAACATTTCTTTCTTTTGTCTCATATTACCCCACATTGCAGGGAAATATGGGACGGCATTCCGAGAGTAATTGAAAGGTCCCTACTGCACCTAAAAATCTGAAATTTGGTGGCAGAGTAGCCAAAGGGTCAATGAACAAGTGATGAACACCTCAGTACCTCAAAATGAAATTGAAAGGGGGAAATCCACGATAAACCTCGAAATTTGTCTCATATTACCCCGTTCTACGGTATTCAAACGAATGTCACAAAATGAACATTCTAACGAATCTGACGTCACATTCATTGATATAACAGTGAAGGCGAAAGGCAAAAACGAAAAGTGTCCGAAAATTCACCAAATGTTTGAAGTACACGTCACTCATTCTAGTAGCCTGAAGGGGAGCTCTTTTCGGGGGCCTATACACTGCAAATGCAAAGGCGATACTTAAGTACATTTTTGGGGGATACAATTGAGTATCGCCAATACTAAAAGGCCTCTCGGAGAAGTATTGCCTTCAGAACGGCGATACACAGAACGCGTACGATAAACTATCCTTGCTTCCCTGGACAGCAGGACACACTATCCTGACGACAACCGGATTTCAGAGTAACAAGTGAACGTATAGAAGCATTTAATTATTTATGAATCGTTATTACAGTTGGAATGGTGAGGCAATATTTGAGGGAGAAGTACCCTAAGGCATTTTGTTGGCCACCAAAACGGGGCGCGTGCATCACGCAAGTCTTCACTCTCATCCTTCAATCGTCGTTATAAAAGTTCGTTAAGTAGCTTCATATATTTGTCTAGAAAAAAACGGATAATAATGTTTCCACAACACATAAAATGTTAATACGCTCGGCTAACAACTGTCAGTACGTTTTGTAACAAAAACTCAGTACGAGTCTAAGTGTGTTCTGTGGAGTGACGGAAGAGGTGAAAGGATAGTTGTCAGGGTTACTTCTCGGATTGAACATTCTCAATACTGTATCAAGAGAATTATCGCCTTCACGGAACGCACACAAAGAGCAAATAGGGGAGTTGAGAACTGATTCCCTCGTCGTCAAGCCGAGCATATGAGCTCGGCTTCCGTTTTAGTCCTCACCTGCGTTTCGGCCCTCTGCCACATCAGTCTCGTGTGACCTGCGTAACGTGGCTGTAAGGTACGTTAGATAAAGTTTATATCACTGCTAAGCCAGTAGTGAGTTTGTTTGCCACAAATTGGCAAGCCGGGTTAAAATCCCCGATTTGTCAAACTTTTACCTGAAATGTGTGATAGCTTGCCACACTGCAAGAAAAAGTGTGCATAGTACAACAAAAGTACAACAAAAACTGTACAATAAAAGTACAACAGGGATTGTAGAAAGTACAACGAGAATTGTACAAACCACAACCAGCCCTGGACTGCCCAGCACTCGTCATACCGGTTCCGTTGTACTATGTACAACAATTGTTGTACTTGAAAAGTTCACTAAATTCCTGATAAAAAAATTTGCCAGAAATTTGTGTACTTTTGTTGTGGTTATTTTCTGCAGTGCAAGTAGACCCTTTCGGTCGCCGCCGTGGGAAGAATAAAAGTGATCAAAAAGCAGGAACCAGTTGCGCGCCACATAGCGGTGACTGTTGTGAACACAGATAAATGATCCAGGAAGCGGAAGAAGGGGATAACTCAATTTTGGCCATTTTCCAGGAGAAACCAGAAACTGTTAGCAGGGAAAACTAAAACAAAACAAATGAATGTTGCAGATGTTAATAATTTCAAAAAGCATTAGTAAAATTTTGGAAAAACATCAAAAGTGTACACACTAAATGTCATGGGACTTTTTTTGTCCTACGGTTTATGCAATTTTAAGCACATCCGGTGGTGATGCAATTTTGTGTCCGCCAGGCGGGACATATTGTCTAGTGAAAGTACAAGTTGCAGCTGGCGCCGGACAAAATGTGTCACCAGACGGGAACAAAATTGTATCAGCGTCGGATGTCCTTAAAATTGCATAAACCGTGGGACAAAAAAGTCCCATGACATTTGGTGTGTACGGTAAAGACACAGGCGATTTGCAGGGGTTCCTGCGGGAAAAGGAGGTACCGTTTTTATCCTGTAGCCGCTCAGACCTCCGAAACATTGCAGGGCGTTTATCATCCTTCATCCGTTGAATCGACGAGCAGCTAAACGAGAGGCAGTTTCGGATTTGCGGTTTTATGGGTAATTTAGGTCGTTTCATTAAAACACTTTGCTCTCTCGGTTCAGTTCTCATCGGGCTCCATTGTTGCTGCTGCTAGGACCTCGGAGCAGGACGACTCCAAGCTAGAACTGCTTACCGCCTCAGCGTCTCGAGGGAAGGTGCCGCAGTGCTGCTGTTACAATGGACGAACCGGTAAGTCTTGCCTTCACTAACTCAAAAGGCCATCCCAATACTGTATTGATCGGATGTAAAAGAATGATAGATGGTTAATAGCAATGACTTCTGGGCAGAGCCCATCGTAATCGTAGTTTGGTAAAAGCTTGGTGAACGTCACGCGGGCGCTTTCGGGCTCATGATAGTCGGCAGAAATTCGAAGTACGAGTTCGTGAACGCCTGATACATGGTCTACGATTTGCTGGCTCGGCTGCATGATGACAAGGTCTGCTTTCATTTACGGTTTTGTTACTCGTACTTTCGCGTCAGAGTATAAGTGGAATATTCCAGGAATAGGATGCTTTCGTGGATCCTAGACCGGAAGTCAATAGTCACCATGTTGGCGGAAGAAGTCTATTTCCGGACTTGGAAATGTAACGAGTACGAAGGTCACAATCCTTCCCTGGAACTGTTCTTCGTACAACCAGTCTGCAATGCACGAGTGTTCTCAGACCTCAACTTGTACCGCTTGGATCTACGTACTTTAAGACCCCACACTGTTAAGAGAAGTCGTTATTTTACAACAGTAATCCCAACAATTAGTGTTGTAATTTTACAAATAATAATTCGTAAATTAACTACAAGATTCATGACATGAACAATTGTCATATTTTCGACAAACTTTACTCATAAATTTATAATTAAATTCGTAATTTTACGATGAAATCTTATTGTTACTGACGAAAGATCGTCGTTTTACTGATAAAATCGTTATCTTACGACTATTCTCGTTTTATAACGCGTAAACTTGTTTTCTTACAAATGAAGCTTTATTATTAAGAATAGTTGCCTGTTAAATTTGTACCACGAACTGCACTGTTTTTTTTACAAAGAAAATTGTAAATTGACAATCTGTTCATCATTTTACAAACTGCTTCTAAAATTTACAGGTGAAATCGTTAATTTAAAAGTATGATTGTAAAAGCAAGTCTGAAAAAGTGCGTTTTCGTCCGTTGTTTCCTTACTATATAGGAAGAAAAAATGCCTGAAAGACCAAAATTTGAGGATAAAGTTTGTAAGTTTAAGAATATTTTTGTAAATTGACGAAAAAAAGGTGGATGATCAGATCGTTTTTTAAATTTACGAGCAGTTCGTGGTACAAATTTAACAGACAATTAATCGTAATTTCACAAAATAATCCCGAACAGTGCAAGTGAGTTAAGGTGCGAGATCGCGGACCGGGGTCCAAGCAACGGCTAAAGGAACTTAGACCGTTGTATTGACCGGAGTCCTCTCATGCGAATACTCCTTGCCATTTTCGTTCAGGCAGTTCAGGCAGTGTAGCACTTTCCCGAGAGATGGCACCACAGTCGAGTACTTCCAAAAAATTAAAAGGTCCTTGTTGGGGGTGGAGAGTCCTATCCTCACTGTGCATCATCTTCGTGTCAATGCCGCCTGATTTGGCAGTGTAGTTGCCGGTGCGGGCGAGGCGAGCACCGGCACCCTCGTCAAAGTGCACAAAGACAGCTTGACAGGTGTCACTCAGCATGAGCACAGCAACGGGTGAACTTCTGAGATTTCAAATTTATCAAATCAAACTTGTTTTAGCCGTTTTCCTCGTCTCATCGCGGTGCCAGGGGTATATAAATTTATCCCAATAGTGCAAAATGAACGGGTAGTGTCCGCGGCCTAATCCTGTTGTTGGCCCTTCTGGGACTGCCCCAGTGGCCGAGTGCGCTGCCGGTCCTCGGCTGCGTCTCCAGCGGGGGGAGGGGAGGGGGCAGACGGAGCGGAGACAATAGATCGGAATGCAGCGAGGTGTCCATCATAAACGTGTCGCACCGACTCGGCCGTCCAGCACGCAGTTCCGATTCTTTCCGCCGCGCCACCCTCCGATGCCTCAGGATTCGACCGCCAAATTCAAAACGTGTGAAAAGGACGGAAAACTGAGTGAAACGGCAAGAACGCCTACGCAAAAACTATGATAGGTACAGCGAATCCGAAAACGGATCCGTGTAGGGGAAGGGTGTCCGGAGGGCAATTGATCAGTCTGAAAGTAATCCGACAATAATTAGTGTCATTGGGGAAGCGTCAAAGAAAAGAGCGAAAGTAGTCGGTTTTGAACACCTCACCAAACGTACAAATATTGATCGCGCGGCTCCCGGCCTGATCAATTGCCCTCCGGACACCTTTCCCCTACACGAATATGCTTTTGGTTTCCAGATCAGACGCATAGTTGAGCCGAAGGCGTTTTTTTTCCGCGAGCGCTGTTTTCACACTTACAACGTTCAATATTTTGGTTCAAAATTTTTTGAAAAGAAAATCCTTTGAATGGGGTGCTTGTATTGTCGTCCTTAATGCATGTACAAATTTTGAACGAAATCGGTGACCCAAAATTTACGCGATCTAGCACCTTAAGATTCTGCCCAATCTTGTCCTTTGACTTCCGTTCCGCGTTTCGCGTCGGTACCCTTACTTGAACAGAGGTTTTAGTTGTTAAACGGGGACGTCCAGTTTGCATTGCGGAGGAGGGTGTTCTCCTGTGTAAAGGTGTATAGCGTTTACATGGGAAATTTTCTGTCATGTTACGCCGTGGGAGAGGGTGGGAGCTAGCGTAACGCCGCGTCATATAGGGGGAGGGGTTCCAAAACTGCGTAACGTTATAAACGGACGGCCTCCAACGTGTTATTGCGGGAGGTGGGGCCAGCCACCCGGAACCGAACCACACGTTTCGTCCTCGGTTACGCCCACTCCACTGTTAAAAAAAATCGTAAATTTACGACATTTTGTAGAACAATTATGTCGTTTTAAAACGACATATTGTGTTACGACTCAAGTCGTAAATATACGACTTGAGTCGTAAATTTACGACATATTTGTCGCTAATTTTGATAGCGAGACGTTCCGTTTTGAAACGAATTACGTCGTAAATTTACAACTTAATCGTTAGTTTACGAACGATCGTAATTTATCTATTGAGTATGTCGTGCAGTTATGACTTCAGTCGTACATTTACGAATCTTGTCGTGAATTTGTGTAAAGAATCGTAAATGAACGACACAAATCGTAAATAAGCGAGCAAAATTGCAACTTTTCATCAACTTTTCGGGAATTTCAGATCGCGATTACGACATTGTCGTAGAGAAATGATTATTTTGTCGTTCAGTTACGACGAAGTAGTTTCAGAACGATTCTTGTCGCTATCAAAATTAGCGACGTTTTTGTCGCTAATTTACGACAAAATTTCTGACAGTGTCGTTAACAATTTTCTTCTAGAGAAGGCTTGACTTCTACATTGCACAGTGGGTTAGAAGTCCAGTAGAGGTGGTCATAGTCTGAGGGGGGACATTTCCACATTCATTGTACAAAATATGACCACATTCCACATTCAGGTGGCAAAAATGTCTGGAAGTAGGCAACATGTGTGGCCAAAACGCCAGAAATCTTGCACATTCTCACAATCATTGTACACAAAATTTTACAGTGGGTCACCCCTCGTCAAAGTCCTATTGTCGCTAAATGTGACTTGAACCGAGCCTGTGACCCCTTCATTGGATTGCTCTCAGAACGAGGAATCCATTGGTGGGCTTTTACTCTTGGTTGGCGTCTCATTTAGCGACTCGGAACATCTAAACGCGTTTTTTTTTTTTTTTTTTTTTTTTGCCGCCTCAACCGGTCTTCAGACCCTCTGTGCCTCGCCATGGGGATTCCATCCCAGATCGTAGACGTCAAGGCGGTGTCCCTTGCCCGCAGCTGCTGCTGGCCCTGCCGGACGACGCGCTGCTGGCCGTGCTGGCGTTCCTGCCGCCGAGACAGCTCTTGGACTGCCGTGTGCTGTGCCGCCGCCTGCGCGACCTGTGCCTGCACGCGGACCTATGGCGCCGCGTCAGCCTGACGCGGTGGAGGCGCCGCTGCCTGTGGCGCGCCGCGCTGCGCCTCGCGCCGTGCCCCCCGGGCCGAGCTCGGACCGCCCCTGGGGGACGGGGGGAGGGGGACCTGGCGGCCGCTCGCGAGGGGCCAAAGGGTCCCCGGGGCCCACCATCGTGGGGGTCGTGGGGGCCAAGTTTTCCCCGCTACAACGGGCCGTGCGACGGGGACGTCGCGCTGGGGGCCCGGCGACCATCGTGGAAAACGATGGCCGAACGATTGGGTTTGGGCTCTGCCCGGGTTCAGCCTTTGGGTGAAGACTACTCCCCTTACGGGACCGTGCTGGATTTTGGACCCGCCCCCCCTGGTGGCGCCTCACCAACGGACCCATTTGCCTTTGGAAACCCAAAGAGCTGCCAAAGCTGCCTCGCTGCCTGCGAGTTTGCGCCGACTGGGAGGGCGTGTCCTTGGTGAAGGCCTGACCCTCGCCTCGTGGCCCCGGGGAGGTGAGGGGGTTGCTGGGGCGCTTGAACGCCAGGCGTCCACCCTGGGGGGCGGCCTTTGCACCGGTCCGGAGCACGTGCCCCGGGGTCGGCGCTCGCCGCTGCCCAGGGCTCGCCGCGGGACCTGCGACCCTGACCGCTCCGAGGACGTGTCCGGCCCTGAACCGCCCTCCCCAAAGCCCGCCCGCTGGCCCTTCTCGGGGGATCGTGACTCGGGTCCCCGGGGCTTCTGCAGCTGCTGGGCGACCGCGCCGACCTCCGAAATGCGGTGTTGTTCCGGTCCAAAGGGCCTCCGCCCCCTTCGCCCGGCCCGCCCCCCGTCGGCTGCCTCCGGGGAGTCCCCCGCATCCACCCCCGCTCCAAAAGGACGGTCTCCAAGCCACGTGATCAAAAACCCCTACGGAAAATTCCCGTAAACAGCGGGAACCCCGTACCCCTTATCAATACTCCGCGGGTTTGGGGGTATTTTCTGTAGGCCGGTATTCTCCGTGGGACCGCACAGTGCCTCTCCGTGGCTTAGTTTCAGGCCGGCGAGGTGTCCCGGATTACGACTTACTGTGGGGCCCGCCGCCGTCGAAGAGCCTCCGGGCATAGAACCCGCGCTACGAGAATCCGCGGCTCAACAGGGCCGTCCTTTTCCAGGAGGCGGACTGTGAGTGGTGCCGGCTGGGGTGCCACACGGACCTCAGGGCGGCGCACTGTAGGGGCGAGGACTGCCCCAAGGACTGCCACAGGTGGGCGTGCTGATGTTGACTGGGTGCGGCTCTGTGAACTTCCCCTCGTCTTCCGTCCTCTCATGGGACATATAACTCTTGTGAACATGTTTTCATCCATAATCATGCAGCCACGCGCTTTGTACAAAATTACGCATCTTTGTATTCAAATTATTCACTCAGACACGTGGGATGTACGCAATGATGTATACTTTGCATTGTACAGAGCTTACCTAAGTATCTGTGCATGCACATTGATGCGTTAGATTAGTCCACGAGAGTTCAGTGTGTGCTACGTTAACTTTTTCAATGTGTTTGTTTTGACGTCGTTATGTTTGGACGTGTATCTTTGAATGCATGAAGGACATATAGCTCATCAGTTGTGTATATCTTTATTTTGATCATCATCATGTAAATCTCTTCTTTTTTTAAAGAATTTTTGACTAATTAAGGTGTTTTCTTTTTCTTTTTTTTAAGAACTTGTGGCTAACCTAAGGTGTCTCTGTTAATCTTTTGACCTGTGTGAGCTTTAATTACATTCATAAACTATGTAAATTTGTCATTTTTTATTGACACCCTGTTGGTCAAATCGTTTTGCACAGTTCGTGTCAACATCGGATCAAAACACCTTCCCGTTCCCTCCCGATCAAAAAGTTTCAAAGCATATAATTCGTAGATATATTTTAAAAAAAATATGAAAATTCAGCTGATTTCGCTTACTTGGGGGTTTTGATCGAATTCTTAAATGCTCGAAGATTAAGAACAACTGCGAAAAGTTTGACCTGATTTGAAATTGGAATTTAGACTAGAAGTTGAATTTTGAGATGGCATCCCAAATTTACATTGTCGTCAAATACTAAATTCATATTGTGAATCGGAAAACGGTAAAAAACGGGTCAATTTGTTTTTTCGATTTTAGAACTTTTATCACCGCTACTGTTGTTTAAAGAATATTTGTTTAGGGTGTAAAAGCATTAGGAGTTTCATCGCTCCGAAATGGCTTGACTCATCTCAAGGGGCAATGTCGCATGGATGACTTTGGACTAAAATTGCCACTGAAGGCGAAATTGAATTTTTCACAAACCCTTTTTAAGTGTTGTCTGAAAGGGCATTTACTTACCAAACAAGGTTGGTTAATAAGTGCGTAAAAGCTAAATACAAAGAATAATATTACTTAGGCATTAACACGGGCGGCGCGTGGTTGGTAAGGCCAGTCTCCCTCGCAATTCAGCAAAACCTCTTCCTTAAAGCCTTTCAAGGTTGTCAACTGCCATGTTCTTAACTTTTTTAGCCGAAACGATCTAGCGTCTACGATACCCTGAAATTCGCCAATATGTGTTTACTTACAATGGAATTTGGGCAACTGTCAATGTCTTTACCTTTCGGATAAAATAGGGCCGAATGGATTTTTTCTACAATGTTGAATGAAAATACATTAACGTTTGTCTGAAACTTTAAGACCGCGAAGTTAAAGGTTTGGTATGAAAAGGCAGATAATAAAAAGAGTTCTAAAAAATTATTTTTCAGTCCAATTCTTTTTTTAATCGTTGTATTTTTTTAAGGTTAATGACTTCAAATTCAAATTCGGAAATACCAATTTTACCGGGTTCCGTTTAAAAACCCCTAAGGTTCCTTACGTAACAGATCCGATTTCGGTCAACTTTGTATCTCAAATTGCTGCAATTTAAACTTACGAAGAATTTGTTCACTTACAAACATTTGGCTTGCTGCTTGCGAAGAATTCGCATTGTCGTGATTCAATGTAATTCGCAAGTTTTTTCATCAATGTGTTCGCAAGGGGTTTCAATTACAGATTTTGCAATTCGGAATTTCTTCTTTGTATTAACAATCGGGTTTTTTGTATTTCAAACAATCGGTTTTTGCAAGCTCAAAAGATGGTTTGCAATTTTAAGAGTGTAGCATTATTAACCATCGGAGGTTATTTAAAACTATCTTCAATATTCAAATAATTTCTTTATATTAAAGATAGTCTTATTATGAGTAGTATGAGAAATTTCCAGGCATTTCGATGGCAGGCAATTTTTTGGCAGGAAATTGCATTACAGATTACAAGCATCACACATTCACATTTCTCACACATTCATCTTTATAAAACCATTCTAGGACAACAAAGCTAGGGCAACATGAATAGACAAGTAGAACAATTCCAACTAAACAAGCCTAAGCATGAGGGTTGGGCGAAGATGTCTAAGGTAAAAAATTTAATTTAGTCACCTTTAAAAATTCCCAATCAGGCCTTTAATTCTGCATGGTGACAAAACTATGTCCGGACCTTTTAAATATGTCCTTGCACTAAATTTTGCCCATACCCATGTTTTATCATCCTTTTTACTAAGCTTCGCTGTTTTCAAATTGTTTTGGCCCCAAGTTTTGGGAGCCATTGTGGGTCAGCATTTGGAATAAATTTGGATAATTTACGAGAAAAATACTGGGAAATAATTTTTCGAATTTAAATTGCAGAATCTGAAAACTGAACAATCTGAGGGCAAAGAATCAATTGTGGGCCAATTTCGGCCTTTCGTCTTGTAAATTGAAATTTCAACTTTTGCGATATTTTCTTATTTTCATTAATAAAGGCCCGTTTTTCAATCAAACAAGGAAACGTTTTTCTAAAAGGAAAAATATAAACAGGAGAATTTCAGTGAAACGATGGATTAAACGAACTGATTAGAGACAATTGTTTTAGCCGTTGTGGCAATCCCGGGCGACAAACCCAAAACCACCTGCACAAAAGGTATTGCTATTCAGTTTATTATCTATTTCAGTAGAATATATTTTCTAAAGGGTTGACCCCTATAACAGGGCCGGCCCGACGCCTCGGGAGGCTAGCCCGCCGGGAGAGAAGCTTTCCCCTTTCCCCAGCCTGTGCCCCAAAACCCCCCCCTGCCAACAAAAAAGCCTAGGGGACTGTCAGTAAGAGGGTAGCTTAACATTACCCGCGTTATCGTAATACCAATGTAACAAAGGAAAAATGGAATATGGGATACTGTCATTCAGAAGCGCAAAAACAAAAAATACGAAAAATACCGGAAAATTCGTTTAAAATGGGTCTGGAATGAACGCTACTTTGCCACACCCGCGCACCATGGCATCGAATGATTTCGGCTGTACTAGCTATGGTAAATTTATGTTCCCTGACCTACTATGAATCAAAATCAGCAAGGGCGTCCCGTTTTATCTCGTAATAGCTTCACGGTGGCAATTTGAAAAACATACGATTTTTCGCCTCGTTGGATGGGCGCCATTTTCACGACATTTTGAAGGGCCTTCCTTTGAAGCCTGATAGGAGCCGTTACAGTCGTCGCTCGGACATACACGCTATTTGGGAAGACAAAGAAAGGTTGGAGGAAGGTCTACCGCGAAATTCAAATCGATTCAATCTCCGTCGGGTCTGCGGTGACCCGTCGAAAAAAATGACCCACAATTGATTCGTGACCCACAATTGATTTTTTACCTTAGTTATGATGCAAATGAATGTAAGGGAGAGTGGGGTACCGTGAAACGGGGTAACTTCGGACACTTTTGATATGTTTTTTTGAAATTGTGAAAGTTGTGGTGATGTCATGGACTTGAGGGTTAAAATTTATCATCTACCCACCTTTAGCTTCGTTTTGGCCCTTATTTCAATTATCTGCACCTCACCGTTTTTACAGTGGAGGGTCCGAAGCAGTGTCCGAAATTACCCCGTGTTTTGGGGTAATTTCGGACACCCCTGAAAAAAACGACTTTTTGTTCTGATTTTGGTCCCAAAATCGATCACTGTCTCTTTCTAAAGTGCCAATATGATTATACGAGAAATTCGTAAGGGTTGAGATGTAAAGGTAAGGTAGGGGTGGTCATACATAATTTGAAGTCATGTTTTTGCATTCATATGTAGTTTGATTTCAGGAATAGTGAGTGGAACTAGTAGAGCCATTTAGAACGCTTCTATTTTTAAATTTTTGACCGATTAGCTTTCATAGGCAACTCGGGCCTTACTTTATTACGCGAAAAGTGAATCTTAAATCTTCCTCTACAAGATTACATACGATCACATACATGCATATGAAAGGCAAGTAGTCGTGTCGTATGTACGGTTAGGAAGATACAGGGGCTCAGTGGAAAGCTTTGCATTTCAATTGTAGTGAACCGGCGAGCTATGCAGCCATTCGCCAAGGGCAACTCTCATGTCACATGAAAGAAAATTAATCGCAAAACAGTCGTTGACACTAAGGTAGGACATGCACATAAAACTAAGTATGAAAGACGTAGCTTTGCCCCATTGTTATGAAATTCGAAGTTTAGAAAAGCAACCGCTGTAACAATTGGGGATTATCTTTGTTATTGGATTCTCTTCAACTTTCAGAAGAGCTCTTCAGCTTCCACCACTCAAACCTTGCAAAATTGAAAGTGTTCAGGACATACCCCCTCTCCCTAGCGCACTGTGGCAAAAAGCTACGGAAAATTCTGTAAACAGCTTGTGGTAATTCTCCGTAGGCCCCTTATCAATATTCTCCGTAGGCTCTTACAGTATTTTCTGTAGGACCGCACAGTATTCTCCGTAGGACCGCACAGTGATCTCCGTAGGACTATACAGTCTTCGAGGTCCTACGGAGAAGACTGTGCGGATTTACAGAGAATACTGTGCGGCCCTACGGAGAATACTGTAAGAGCCTACGGAGAATATTGATAAGAGGGCTACGGAGAATCCTGGCAAAAAAATTAACAGGATTTTCCGTACCTTTTTGCCACAGTGCGTGACGTTTGTATGTCCGAAATTACCCCGTAAAGTAACATTTTTTCAGTTTTGAGCCCATAGAAACCATACTATTTGACCCAGGTGATTGAAAATTTGACACAGTATGCTCTTAACATGATCGAATCGACAAACAATCACCTCATGAACCGGCCATGGACAGTTTCGGCTTGCCAGTCAAAGTTTTTACGCATAAAGCAAATTTAGGTAAAAATGGTTGAATACAAAAACCACTCTTTCTCCTGAAGTTTGCCCCTGATTTGGCCTCCGGGTGATTGATCAGATGGTTTTAAGTGTGGCCGATGCGATGCGCGCAACGGGACAAGCCTCCAAGTTGGCCGTTAGATGGGAGCATCATTGCAATGCTTCCGGGCAGAGTTGTCCGAAATTACACCGAGTGTCCGAAATTACCCCGTTTCACGGTAATTCCGGACGCTTTTTTTTTCTTTTTGGTCTTTGAGCCTGAATATCCTTCTTGGGTTAAATGTTATGACAGGAGAGTAAAGTATGGACCTTTACCTTCAAAATGGTATACATGAAAGCCAAATCTCAGCAACGGTTAGGGAGATATAGGCGCCTAACAAAAGCCCTGCATTTGTCCGGAATTGCCCCAGGCTGGGGTAATTCCGGACGACCTATGGGGCAATGCCGGACGACCTTAAAATTTGACACTATTCGAGCTTACTTTCGCTTGTTTTGATGTGAGGCATGCTTTAAGAAGGCGTTCAAGGACATTTGCTGCGAACTGAAGTGTTTGATTATTACTCAAAGCATATTATAAGGAATAATTTCTATCAAAACCCCTAAATGGACAACACTGTCTTGAGTAAAGCTCTTAAACATAGCTGCAATGTTATCTTTCGTTCTTTCTTTATCCTTCTTAACAGTGGGGATGCATGTCCACAATTTTGAACCCACTACCTTAACATTATGCGGGAAATTGAAGAAAATAACCCTTATTGTCCGGATTTACCCCACAGGTAGTGAAAACCTTTGATGTTCAACTCGAAGAAAAGGGCGAGCCATACGAGCACTCCCGAAACGCCAAAGTAAAGTCCACTGACCATATAATATGATTAAATTTTAGTCATGGGACTGAACTTGACGGTAAGGTACGATAAGTACATGGAAATACGAGGGAAAGATGCAGCTTTTGCCTTTTTTTGATGGTACTCAAATTTCGTGAAGCGACCACAGGCAAACGGTTTGACCTCCTACTTTAGCGATTTGGAATTCTCCTTTTAAACTGATTATCTTCCTCTGTTAGGCGGGCTTTTGAGTAATCTTCACTCAAACCCAGTGAAAATCGAAGTGTCCGGAATTACCCCGTGCCCGGAATTACCCCTTTCTCCCTTAACCAGCTGTGCTTGCAATTTACAATAACTGTGAAAGTAAGACCAGATGTTTCAACGGCATGCACCAGCGTTGAGGTTTACAAGAGTTTGCTTTGTATTAGATCTGAATAAATCTTAGTAACAGTAAAATTGGATGCATTCAACTCATAAACATCAAGACATTTTGACATACATTCATTTATTGCTTGCTCACGTTTCACCTCCACGTCTCCCGATTTCACCAGTTTCTGATTGGCTTATCAGGTTTAGTTTCTGATACTCTAATCAGTTCCTGATACGCATAAAACTGAAAGCAAGGGTGAAGCAAACATGCATTTCGTTCTTTTCATTGAAGATCCGCACTTCCGGTAGGTGGACATATCCTTGACTGCCGTCGAAAATGCCGGACCCCGCGGTTTTTTGCATGTCCACCGTCGCGTTCCTCAACTTGTAAAGACCCTGCGACAGGATTGAAAAGTACGCTCGAAATTTACACACAATTACAGTGACGTGAACAAGAAGTCCTAGTCAGCGTATTGCGAGAGTCATTCCAAAGGAGGACTCAAAAGTCACTCGCCTTCTGTAAACAGGAGGATGTGCGTATCTTACAAATCAAGGGCTTGAAGCGGCAGCAGACTAACTCCGAGAGTAGTTTTCGTCTGTCCGTCTCTCTCGCACTCATGGGGCGTCCCGCATAGGTGCGTGAGAGACAGAGCGGTGAACACAACTCTCGAAAAACTTACAGTTTGGAGAGGGCAGCGAATCGGTGGTTGCATGGGAGCCAAAAACGTGGCCCACGGCATGGAAGGGGACGGGATGAGTTGACACAGTCCCACGGAGAACTTGTGCGTGGCCACGTACTCGCATGTGTTAAACGACACGGCGTCCGCGCACTTTGTCATGACCAGCTCCATCTCAAAGAAAGAAGGCACACTACAAACTTACACAGTACACACAAATGAGTGGTCATCTGACACAACAACGTGTTCACAGAAAATCCCATTGCAGATGCGCTGTCATATCCGATAGCTACAGAAATGAACATCTATTGTCAAGTTCACACAAATTCGTACTTGGCACGTACGCTTTCATAAGTGCATGTGCGTCGCATGCGGGGCCGAACATGTAGTTGTAATTGAAGAAAGAGTATTCCAGTGCGGAAGACACTATCTGCCATACAATCGGTTCAACCCCGATTGAATACCTTTGAAAATGTCTTGAGTACTTTGTGGTTGTAGAAGTCAGCACTGATGGCAGCGGCTCCTTGCTTCGAGCGGCTGATGGATGAGTTGAGCAGCTTGCCAGGAGTGTCTACGCCTTTGCACTGGTCAAAGGAGTGAAACTGAACCACCGGTCGGGGTGGACTCTTTGCTGCTCCCACCTACAGAAATTACAGAAACTAATGTGCACTGAGAAAACCTTACAAACTATTTTCGGCCTTACAAAGAAAATTAGTTTGTATAACAAAGTATTTTGAGCATACGTAAGCTTACAAAGAAAATACTTCGTAATTTACGAACTATTTCTTCGTATAACAAAGTATTTTAGTTTGTTATATGTATGCTCAAAATACTTCGTAAGGTTTTAAGAGTGTGGTCGGTGTGGCAGAGTCACACTGTGTCACACTGTACTGCGCCACACTGTGACACCGTCTGGCGTGCGCGAACCCAAACTGCGCACTGGTAGTGAACCTCAAACCGCGTCTTGAAGCATTTGGTAAAACCGATTCGTGGTGCAATTTCAAAAGCTAACACGCACTAAAAACAAGTTACCTCTAGATTTTTTTTCTGGAATAATTCGACAGGGCACTTCTTACTTGTCTATCGGCACACGCTGCAGTCAGAAGGAAGATGGCCCAGAAATACATCTCTGGACTGCGTCTCGCCGCTACGATGGATTTAAGTTTGATGGCTGTAGAGTAGACTCCTGCTGAAACAAGTGTAAGACACTTCAAATGGCCCCTCTGAAGCAAGATTATTTTGGAAGAGTACCGGTCGAAGTTAAGTTCAGATGTTTGCAATACGGCCATATTTTCCTGCTTAAACTTAAGACTAGTAAGAAAAAATCAGTCATGGCACTAAAATCGAAGCAAAAAATGGTCAAAATTGTATCAGAATAAGAACTCGGCTTGGCCGGTCGGGTGGCTCCAGCGTCGTCTACGCGAAGCCGACGCCGCGCGGTTCTCAGCAGAAAACTACGTCATCTCTGCTCAACCCTCCTCCCCGCCCCACATCATCTACCATCACTTTCCGTCAGACCCCCTCCCCCCCTAAACGGGTGACGTAATATTTGCACGCCGCCTAAGCAGTCAAAACCTCATTCATTAGCCACAAGGGGACTCTTACTCTTAGGATCAGCACCCACCTCCTCCCGATCGTTCCCGAAAAGTAGTCACTGGGTAGTGCTCAGTGTCACCCACGGAGGCCGCATACCAGACGATCGGACAACTGGAGGTGCTTGGACGGACGAACGAACATCAGCCCTCAGACTATGTTCGACATTCAGGATTTACTACGCAAATATTACGGCACGGTCCAAAGACGGTGTCCGCAGCAGTGCCAACTGCACCTCCTAAGACACGTGCTTTGTTTATTTGGATTTGGACGACATACCATGAACTGTAGAGAATGTAGAAAAACGTGCACTTCCGAGCCGGTGCACTGCAAAAAATTGTTATCCCTTTATGACAACTTGTGGATGATATTTTCATCAATTTCAAATTATGGCAATTTTATCACAAACTGATGAGACTTTCATCAAAGCATGGGCGTGACAACAATGTCATGAAATGTTTTGATGACATTCTTGTAAGGAAAATTAGCCTTGAAATTTTCATCACGTGACAGCTAAAATTTTCAGTGTGTACGACCTAAGGATCAGCAGTACGAAAAGGTAACCTCAACGGAGGAAAAACACCCAGCGAAACCCCGTGTTAGAAGACCAGCTCTGCTCCCTGTCGAGCATTGACGCAAACAAACATACTTAGTCCGGCAGGAGGCGGTCCCTGCAGCTGGAGTGCAATCATCGTGCTCTGGTCCCATTAGGCCGCTCCAATAACTAAAGGTCATCAGACCACAACTCTGTGGGCCACCGCCATCCGAATGTGTTGTTGTTGTTATTAACACATTGGGTGACAAAACACCTGTCACCAAATTTCGGGTGATGTCTTTGTCACCTCAAATTGGGCAACAAAGTTTAGGTGGTAAACGAAATGTAAAATTAAAAAAGCGAATGAACTTTGGAAGAAATGACGAGTTCGTTTACATCACTTATGCACTTGGTGCGATATAGCGCTTGCGCATATAATCTTTGAGGCTTAGATGGGATTGCAGTGTTTGGGATCTGAAAAATCCTAGTTGTTTGCGCAACCAAGTGAGAGACACTTTGACGCGTCTTGATTCTCGTGAGGTTCCTAATCACATTAGTTTTTGATACGCTTCACACTGTATGTGGCGGTGAAGCAGATATGCATTTCATTCTTCTCGTTGAAGACGCGAACGTCAGCTTTGTAGATGTTGTCGAACTTGCCGTCCAGGATACCTGGCCCCGCCAATTTAAAGACGGCGCTCATGTCAACTGTGGCGTTCCTCAGCGCGTAGGCACCCTGGACAGAGGAAGAAGGGGTGCTGGAGCAGCGGAGATTTAATATAGCAGTGTCAAAGATGCTGGACGTGCAGATAAACTGTGTAGTTTAAGACGCATCAGTTTGCATTTCTAACGTGAAGGAGGGTACCGTCAACGGGGGTAACTTGGGACACTTTTTCACGTTTTTTGAACGCCAGAGGCAAGATTCTCAACCCAGACCATTGGATCCTAACTATGTTAAAGTTTGACCCTTTCCCAATCATTTCATACTTGTCTGGTTCATTTGCCTCGATTATATTGTTTCCAAGCGGTCTCGAAAGAGTGTCCCAAGTTACCCCATGACCGGGGGTAACTTGGGACAGTAGGTAACTAGCTACATTTCCATGCATCTATTGATATTAATGGATGTAATAAATTTAAGTCACAACATGTAGACCAGCCTAGGAACTCTTGTAGGACCGATATTGGACTATATCTAGGGTTCTACGTGGAACTCTCTTTTCTACTGGTATTTTCTAGGCATTTTCTGAAAATTTCAAAATATGGATTACCAGAAGACAAATCTGCAGAGCAAGGCATCCCTTTCCATCATCAGCGTAAAATCCCAAGTTTATGTTATGTCTGGGACCGGGTCAGTCAACTCCTTGGAGGCTAGAACTGCTGGAAACATGAGGAAAAGACTGTCCCAAGTAGTGTTGGGAAGTTGGAAAAAAAACATGGAAAAATACGTTTTTGGCCCGCCCTTCTATTCAAAAATAGGGGGAGGGCCTATGCATTTGCCTTTGTGTCTGTGTGTTGTTGTTGTTGTTGTTGTTGTTGTTGTTGTTGGCGTCTGTGTACAAGGAAGGAGTTGAGCTAGAGTAACCAGATTTGGAGGGTACTTCAGGAGTACCGTCCAAACAAATAATCCGGTGGTGCAAATCCCGTCCGGGTCGCACAAGAGCTGCTGCAGGTGCATCATGGTTTACATGAGCGGGAGGGGGATTTCCGCCATTATTGGTGCTAGCAGGGCACATAGGGGTATTTTTGGAATCAGGGCGACGAGACAAGATGAATGGACCTGGTCTCGACCCCATCGGCCGCTTTTACAAGTTGGCCGGATCAGGATCTTCAAAAAAGGGGGTCGACCGACTAAAAAAATTTATTGCAGATTTCGATTGGTCTCAGCAAGATCTTTTCAACGAGGGGTCGGAAAGGGGGTCCAGGAGCCCGACTTCGTCTATTAGTCACATCAGGATCTTGAAAAAAGGGGGTCGACCGACTGAAAATTTTTACTTAAGTTTTGGGTAGGTCTTGGCAAGACCTCTTCAACGAGGGGTCGGAAGGGGGGTCCAGGAGCCCGCCTTCATGAGTTATGGGAAAAAGTGCGACGGACTCGTTTTGCGCTCCTGCTGTGCCTCTATTGCAAGGAGTTGCAGTAGCATGGCAAATATGGGTATTTTCAGAATGAGGGCGAAGAGACAAATGAAACGGGCATATTCTAAGGACAGTTGGAGTAAAAAGTGTAAGGACTATTGCATATTGTGAATAGAAGGGCAGGCCTAGGTCACGATGGTACATCGATAACTTTGCTTAACCCGCTCACGGTGTGTGTGATGCGAGCGGGCCGAAGGCCCGGGCCTTCGACTGGCCAAGTTGGGTCTGATGCGAGGGCCGAAGGCCCGAGGAAAGGCCGCCGGCAGGCCAAGCTGGGCCGGCCCCCTGTCGAACCGAGTTGCCAGCGCAGCGAAGCGGAGCTGGCAACTCGGTTCGACGGAAGGGCGGGCCCTAGCTTGTTTTGCTATGTTTTTTTCGTTTTTTTCCATGGCTATACTTTTCGTTTTTTTCCAATTTTGAAAATTTTTTAACTTTTGAGTGTTTTAACTAGGTTTTTTTCTTTTTGTGATTGGGAAGTATTTAAATGAGAAACATCTTAATTTATCTAATACCCCAATTACCTCTAAAGCCCCTCAAGACTGTATGGTGTGGGAAATTAAATTCTGATAAATACGAATAAGGTTTTCAAGTATTGATGCAACAAATATTTTTTTCTGAAAACACTTTGTTTTTATTACAAACGCATGAGATAAAATAAATTTTTATAATTCAGAGTCACTTATATCGCTCTTGTTATACATAAGATAAAATTAACAATTTTAATCATACAGAGTCACTAATATCACTCTCTTTACTATTATATAGAATAAAATAACCAATTATGATTATTCAGAATCACTAATATCACTCTCAAATTCTGAATCAGGATCAGAATCAGTACAGTATTCATCATCACTATCAGTGGTTTCAAGCACAATATCAGGAGTAAGACTAGCTGTGGGATAAGATTTCATTGTTGAAACCCTGTGAGCCTGGCTCTCTTTCATTTTTTCAAATTTCTTATAAAGTAGCTCTTCATTCAGGTACCACTTTGTAGCAACAAGTTTTCCTACTCTCTTATTCAATAACTTATTTCTTTTCTTTGTATGAATATTTTCATAACCAGCCCAGATACGCTCACAACTGGTAGAGGTGGGGCAACATGTCATAATTCTTACAGCGACGGGATACAAATACTGTTCGCTGCAAAAATATTGCCACCACTTGAGTGAGTCAGTAGTGTGTGACTTGGACCAGAGGGTATTGTTAGCAAAATGACCACTCTTGGAGCGGAAATCAAGCAGATTTGAGACGACCTTTTCCTCATCACAGTCTAACTGTAAAGCAATGTTTTTGATTACTTCGGTTGCCAACATCACTTCATTGTCAGTTAAGCCTTTGCCACAAAAATTAGGGTCAATCAAATATGCAGCCAAGTGCAAGTCAGTGAGAATAAATTTGATAGCACTGGGAACAATACTTCTTATTCTATCGGTGTCTATAATATTGAAGGGGTTGATGGTATCTAAGTCACCATCTTCATCTACAAAGTTATCCCAACAGTGCCTTATGTTCATCAAAATGGGAACAAGATGAGACAGCTTAGCATCATTAGCTTCAAGAATTTGAACTCCCTCAGCAACAGGCTGAATAAGATCACATAAAACATTAAGATGATTCCAAAATCCATCATTATCTAAAACCCTTGAGCGAATGTCATTAGGAACGTCAATACTTTCTAAAATCACAGTGGACTGGAGGGCTGCCTTATTTTTCCGAAGCGAATCCAGACAAGAAAAAGCCCCAAAGAATCTTGTCGGAGAAGGTAGTATCAGCTCTCTGGTATCGGAGCCATATTTATCCTCTTGCTGCTTTTTGAAGAGCGCATGAACAACCTTGCGCCTCTTGATGTACTTGATCACATATTTAGCTTGCTGATACAAAGTTTTAGGTGCCCCCTTCTTAAACAAATGTTTGATGATCAAGTCAAGTCCATGAGCCCCACACCCAGCTGCAAAAATTTTGGGATACTTCCTTTGAACTTTCTTCCATGCAGCTCGCATGACTGGGGCATTGTCTGTTATGATTATGAACACTTTAGACGGGCCAACCTCTTCAATTGTATCAATGCACAAGGAAGCAACATAATCACTATCTTCTTTGTTGGCACCCTGCTCAATGGTTTTTAAGAAAACAGGGTACGGAGTAGCAAGGAGAAAGTTTATAAGTCCATCCGACCTGCGATTTGTCCAACCATCACACATTAAGACAACACACACAGCATCATCAATTCTCTTCTTGTTGCTTCTCGTTGCTTCATCATATTCAGCGTCAAGAAGAGGCCCTCCCAATTTGCAGTGGTCTGGAGGCTTGTAAGCGTTGTTCAGGTTAGAAATTGCTTTCAACATATGGGGTCCTTCAAATATGGATAAAGGCGCACCTTTAGCAAACACAGCTCTAGCCATGAGTTTATCTTGATATTTTTTCTGATCACTGGTCATGTAATGAACATACGAAGAAATTTTAGATTTACTGGCAGGAGTGTTTTTCATGGAAGAGTTAGTCGCCTTGGGTTGGGATTGCGATTGAGATTGTGCTGCAGCTGCAGTCTCAACAACTTCTTCGACATCATCCTCTTCCTCTTCTAAATTTGAACAAGGTAGGTTTACGCCAGACCGCGTCTTGTCGTAACAGGCTTCGCGATGTCTCGCTGCCTGTTCCTCAAATCCGCGCCTGGCGTACCTACCTTGGCCTGCGGCGCTAGCCTGCCTTCGGCAGGCAATGGCTTGTCAATCGTCGGTTACTTCTTACTTGTTGCATACTGGCGCCCCCCAGACCCCCTTCATTTTAGATAGAGTTGCTTCATCTAAAGATAACACGATCTTGACCCTTGTAACTTTTTAATTTGACGAGGCTGGGGGGCTCCGCCCCCCAGACCCCCTACCTTCAAGACAGTAGTGATCTGCCAGCAGAAAACTCGATTTTTCGCCGTTTTTTAGGTGTTTTTCGGCCATAAAAACTGAACCACGTGAGCTAGGATAGTGAAATTTCGCGTGTGCCGAGCCAAGAACATACCTAATGGGCCTGCAAAATCTCAGCCAGATCGGCCGAGCCGTTCAGGAGGAGTAGTGTACACAGACAGACAGACAGACAGACAGACAGACAGAAAAAACTTTTCAACCGCACTGCAGTAACAGGCTTCGCTATCGCTCAGCCAATGACCTGATAAACAAAATATAAAAGCTAATTAATTTCAATGGAAAACAAAACAACGGTGGATTTTAGTGTTTGATTAGCAACTAAAATAAAATATTTATGATCAAGTTCTAACCTTTCTTAGGAGCAGGAAACTTCTGCTTTATATAGTCTGGGCACTTAGGACATTGACTGATGTGGGTTTTCATGCGACTTGCATTTGGAAAGTTGTATTTGGCATCTGTGCAATACTTGCATATAACAGTTTTTATCTTGTCTTTGTCTGTTTCGTCCATGATATGCTCGAAGTGCTTCCATATTGCACTTTTTTGGGGTGGCATTTTAACAACGTATCAACGTGAATTTGATGCTGAAAAAGACAAAAGAGCAGGAAAATATCAGTAAATGAACATAGGCTCACAGAAACCTAACCTCTTTTGAATGAATTTGACTCCAGAGATTATGAAAACCAAAACCGTACTCTAAATCAAAGCTCTCTGACCGTTCGTAACTAAACTCTTGTAATTTTCGCTATTCATTCATGGTTGTGTCTGTGTCATTTGACTTACCGTTAAAAAAGCCACCGACTTATTTACTCCGCACCTCGCCCGCTGCGACCGCTTGCCGCCTAGCCACACCTGCTCGCTTCTGGGTGCTTCTGGGAGGGAAGGGGACGGAGGGTTGGAGGGAGCAGGAGGGAGATATGGAGCCTAGTATAGACCAATCGGGAGAGACGTGTCATCAAGCGGGAACTTCAAACAACCCCAAACGTGAAAATGCCTTCAGGGCCCACGCAAAGTAGATATTGCGTGGACATACATCGTCATATTTACCAAATCCGAGGTTTTAGACACGACAATCTATTATCCAGTAATATTTTTAAACTAAATTACGCTTTTTTTGAATTTTTCATACTTTTCCATTTTTTCCGGAAAAAAACATGGAAAAGTATGTTTTTTTCCGGCTGATTTAATTTTTCCGGAAAAAAACCAACACTAGTCCCAAGTTACCCCGTAAAATTTCGATTTTTGATAAAATGCAGGGTGGACCGAAGATGGGCAAACTATAATCAACGCCCTTTTGCGAACGTTATTGTCTGTGTATGATCTAACAGCCCAGAGAGACTAATCGGCCAAATATGCATTTCACTCCTCGCACTACGGTCAACTTGTTAAGGTTTGACATATTTTGTCAAAAACCCTATTATGTAGTTTCCCGTTTCTCAAATACTAATTGTGATGTTATGCGCCTTTTCTACCTTTCCGCGCGTGCCCTGAGGCCTCTGAAACGAAACCCTGCCGCGGGTTTGACGCTAGGAACCCCCGTCGCTGAAAGGCAGCACCAACAAGCTGTACAGGGCAGACTGTCCCAAGTTACCCCCGGTGTCCCAAGTTACCCCCGATGACGGTACACTTCACTGAAACCCAGAGAGCGAGACCAATTTTCGGCGATACAAAAAAAATACATATCAAAACATACATAAAAACAAGACAAGGTCACAGTATCGATACTGCAATATGTATAGCCGAAAAACAGGCCACACATTAGCGAGACTGGGACTGGCCATTGATTTCTTTCAAGAAATATCACAGGTCTATTAAAGGTGACGCAAAAAATCACCCTTTTTTCGGTCGTACGTAGTATCACAGTACGCGGCCGTCATTCATTTTGGTATCACCCTTTGGGGTCAGGCAGGTACGTAACACCCGTTACAAGGTGGAGGCTTACGAATCACCTTTCGATTTTCATATGTTTAAAACACTCACGGTTGCGAGAGGGCAGCGAACCGGCGGTTGCAGGCAGTTCACGGAGGAGGACCACGGCATGGTTGGGGAAGTGATGAGTTGACACAGTCCAACGGAGAACTTGTGCGTGCCCTCGTACTCGCATGTGTTGTATGACACGGCGTCCGCGCACTTTGTCATGGTTATCTCCAACTCAACAAGAATTGACAAATTGCTGCAGTTGTCGTGATGATCTTTGCTCTTACACTATTAAAAAAAACTACTTCGTTACATTGAAGTGAAGATGTAATAATTACAACGAAGTTTAAGTTTTCATAACATGGACGTTATTAAAATTTGCATTCAGGGGGTCTTAGTGTAAGACGAGTCTAACCCTCCTCCTTTAGGTATTCAGGAACTGCCCCTCACGGGAACCATAGTTGAGGCGGGTGAGTCTGAGTCTACGAGGGCTGGGGCTTTATTTTTAGGGGTTCCCAAGAACCCCTATTGTCCGAGGTCCGTGGATTCTCCCCCCCCCCTCTCCGATTTTCAAATAAACAACTCTAAACTATTTCAACCATGAAAAAAATGAAAATTCCATTTTTTTTCGAAAATTCATCGTTGAAATTTTCCGTAAACGCGAAAAACATAAATTTGCAACAATCGAAAACGAGAACCGTTAATGATATGAAAAAATGATTCAAATAAAAAATGTGCCACTCCTCAAAACTAAACCTCCTGGCTCATCAAAGTAACAAGAAATCGTATATGTTCTGAGCAAATGGTCAAAACATGAAAAAAATTCTCCATGGCAACGGCATGGTCCCATCGTACCACCCGTCAAAATTTAAAGTCACCCATTAAAAAAAATCTAAACGCCGTGAAATTTGAAAATGCTAATGCTAACACATTGCACGGTGTCTCAACGTTGGAACATCTTTAAAGTCTGTCACTACTAAAAAGTTCGTAGCAGAAACGACGCATCAAATTAATTTTCGTGGGTTGGCACCAATATGCTTCCCGTCTGCGCCCTTTCGAAAATCGCGAGGCTGAAAGAACGAACAGGCGCCCATTGAAACTGCCCCTCCATTGTTGCTGAGTTTGGATTGTTTGGCATGCTCTCAAAGGCTGCGGTTGTCTTGTCATGTTTTCCTCGATTTTCAACCAGTTATGGAAACGGGAACACCGTGCAATGCGATTAGCATTGGAATTTTTTTACCTAAGTCAGCTACAGTTACTGGATCAAAATGGTACCTAGGTACAGTTACAGGTACTGGATCCAGCTCACTACCTAGGTACAGTTACATGTACTTAGGCAGAATACCTAGGTACTTTTCAGGTACTTCAGATATTTCAACTCAACCGGCAAGTAACTCAACCAAAATCAAACCTCGCGCGACTTTTTCGTCCCTTTAAACTTTTTTGCATCAACGACCCTTTTCATGCCAACGTGTGGTTCCGGTAACGCATTTTAGGGACAAACCCTCAGAGCCCCGCTGAGATGTGTCCATTAATTCATGGTGCAAGTCCTCTGCGTTCACCTTGGGAGTGCATGCGGTGACCAGACCTGCCACATGGAGCCCTGAGGAGACACATATAAAGGGGAGGGGGGCGAATATTTGTTTCTTCCCCGAAAACAGGCAGTTCTCTTAGTGTCTTTCTTTATCCCCGCAATGTTTTGAGTGTCACTCATTACTCGTCCTTCACTCCAAATCCAGTGGCTAGTTTCCTCGCCACTGGAGTGGCGTCTTTTCCAAAGCGCCAAAATTTGGCGTTGTCATCCCTGGTTTCCGGATTCCATGCCAAATTTTGGCGTTCCACAGAGAGCGCCAAAATTTGGCGTTCCATTCCCCAGAGCACCACAGACCAGAACGCCAAAAATTGGCGCTGCAAAAGAAATGCAAAAATTTGGGTTGGAAAGCGATACCCATTCACAGAAAAATAAATGTGCATACAATAGTTTTCAGTGCTTAGGATCCCCAGTTCAAATCACAGCAATTATACTATGAAAAGTAGAACTGGACCAGTAAAATACAAGACCTGCATTTGCATTTTCAGGTTACGTGTCAATGCCGCTGACCAACTATTGAATCACTTCGGTTTGGCCAGCGATTCCTGAGACACTTGGAAAATGGTACTCACATCAACACAAAAAGCTGGATATCACTGAGTCACTCTCTCTTGATAAAGGGTTGACACAGCAAGGGGTCTCAGTCCATTCTCAAATCAGGAAGACTTGAGCTAGCCTCAGAGCCCTAGCCTGGCCCTGCCGCATCACACCACTCCCTCTTCAAAATCTTCCTCAGAACAACACTTGAATAGTTTTGAAATGGCCCGAGAGCACTCAGGCCTTTCGAAAGTACTGTGACACGATAAAACATGACTGACACACACTATCGTTGACCGTGGCGAGACGAAATGCACACAAAAGTAACAATTTGAATGTTTCGTTTGTCTAAGAGGAGTAGCCATGTTTACTATTTTTGTTGTTTTGCTTTTGTTGATTGCTTATGCGCCCTAACCTGTTGAGTGCGAATAAAACGTGGAGGGCGAATAACATGTTATTCGCACGCATTATGTTATTCGCCCTCCACGTTTTATTCGCACTCAACAGGTTAGGGCGCATAAGCAATCAACAAAAGCAAAACAACAAAAATAGTAAACATGGCTACTCCTCTTAGACAAACGAAACATTCAAATTGTTACTTTTGTGTGCATTTCGTCTCGCCACGGTCAACGATAGTGTGTGTCAGTCATGTTTTATCGTGTCGCAGTACTTTCGAAAGGCCTGAGTGCTCTCGGGCCATTTCAAAACTATTCAAGTGTTGTTCTGAGGAAGATTTTGAAGAGGGAGTGGTGTGATGCGGCAGGGCCAGGCTAGGGCTCTGAGGCTAGCTCAAGCCTTCCTGATTTGAGAATGGACTGAGACCCCTTGCTGTGTCAACCCCTTATCAAGAGAGAGCGACTCAGTGATATCCAGCTTTTTGTGTTGATGTGAGTACCATTTTCCAAGTGTCTCAGGAATCGCTGGCCAAACCGAAGTGATTCAATAGTTGGTCAGCGGCATTGACACGTAACCTGAAAATGCAAATGCAGGTCTTGTATTTTACTGGTCCAGTTCTACTTTTCATAGTATAATTGCTGTGATTTGAACTGGGGATCCTAAGCACTGAAAACTATTGTATGCACATTTATTTTTCTGTGAATGGGTATCGCTTTCCAACCCAAATTATTGCATTTCTTTTGCAGCGCCAATTTTTGGCGTTCTGGTCTGTGGTGCTCTGGGGAATGGAACGCCAAATTTTGGCGCTCTCTGTGGAACGCCAAAATTTGGCATGGAATCCGGAAACCAGGGATGACAACGCCAAATTTTGGCGCTTTGGAAAAGACGCCACTCCAGTGGCGAGGAAACTTGCCACTGGATTTGGAGTGTTCGCATAAGTTCCGCTCAAAAGTACCTCTAAAAGTACCTGCAGTTCTAGGTAACGTTACTGCCCCAAAAGTACCTTTTTAAAGGCACAGTTACAATTGTGACTGGAGCACCTAGGTACAGTTACAGGTACCAAAAAAGTACCTAGGTACTTTTTACCTTGGTATTTCCCAGCCCTGGTGTCTACCTGTTTCAAGCCTGATTGAAAACAATCGAGGGTCCATCACAGTTGCGTTCTGGAGCATGCTCACTTCAAATTTTAGTTCACACTCTTAAAACCCTACGAAGTATTTTGAGCATACATATAACAAACTAAAATACTTTGTTATACGAAGAAATAGTTCGTTTGTAAGCTTATGTATGCTTAAAATACTTTGTTATACAAACTATTTTTCTTAGTAAGGCCCAAAATAGTTTGTAAGGTTTTCTCAGTGCACCCACACCCACCTGACTTTCTACGTCGTCTACCGTTTCCTTATCTTGACGTCACCCGCACTGTTAGAAATTAGCTCCGAAATTTTATGGAGAAAAACCCTATAATCACGTTCATGGAGACTCCATTCATTTTCTTTTTTTTTCGGAGAGATTTTCTCAGGGCTTAAACAGATGTTCTTCAGAGCATTCCTTGGGTCCAGATGGGAGGTAAAATGCAAGCCTTTTCTCAGACATATTAAAGAGGACTTTGCTGAAGCATTTTTTAGTTTGAAATGGTCAAAGAAGGGACAATCTCATTCGAGCTCATTTCACTTATATCCTGTAGCTTTCCCTTAATATTATGAAAACTGAGCTCAAGAAGTAGGGGTTCACCTTTCCCTCAAATTTTAACTGGTTGCAAACCTTTTTTTCGTGTTTTTGTGATAGTGAAGCATGCATTTTTGTTCAAAATTCCGAAATTTTTCGGAGAAAGCCCAGAATTTGCATTTATGGAGAGCTCCATGCAGAAGTTTCGGAAAATCTCCATGATTTTTCCATTTTTTTTCGGAATTTTCTGACAGTGCGGGATAAAGGGCCTGTCGTCAAAAGAATACCAAAAAGAGTGAACGCTATGATCGGATCCGATACCCGAGTCCGGTATAGATACCTTTGAAAAAGTCTTGAGTACTTTGTGGTTGAAGAAGTCTGCACTGAATGCAGCAGCTCCGTGTCTGGAGCGGGTGATCGACGAGTTTCTCATCAGAAACGGAGTTTCTACGCCTTTGCATTGTTCAAAGGCGTGGAACTGCATCGCCGCACGAGGCGGAGGAGCCCTTGCGGTGCTCACCTGTAAAAAAAAGGCTACTTCGTGCCTAAAAAAGTCGCCGATTAATCGGTGACTTTGGTCGGTCCGTCTCGCTAACTCCTCACGCGCTTCTGCCCTCAAATACACAGTGACATCCAAAACAGTATGACACCAGACTAGTCACTCTGGGTCACCCTGATTCCTGATATTCTGAGATCAGACTTAGGTTATCAGAGTACTCACTTGTATTTTGGCGTGCGCCGCGGTGAAAATCAAAATGAAGGCCCAGAAATGCATTCTGAATTCCGCGAAGAGCCTCTTGGAGTGGTTGGTGAAGATTAGTTAGCGTAGTTGGGTTTAGAAAACCAGAACTTCGCATATTCTGGGATCTTTTGTGGTGAAATTTCAATCTAGCCTGTTCGCAGCCTGCAACACTGGACTCTGAAAACAGTACACAGGGACAAATACCGTACACTCGTAAGTTGATCTGATTATGGTTCGGGCAGTTTCAATAGATTATTACCAAACGGCTCCGCAAACAGCCTATTTTCTTAGGTTTAAAGAAAATAGATATTGGACCTTCAACTGCGCTTCAAGGAGATAGAGAACTTCAGTCTGAAGAAGAAGAGCAGGAATAACGGATGTCGGAGCGGCAGAACATACACTGCAAACCTAACTGTCTACTAAGTACACACTTACAGATGCATGCTTGCAAGTACACACTTACAAACGCATGCTTGGCAAGTACACACTTACAAACGCATGCTTGCAAGTACACACTTACAAACGCATGCTTGACGCCGTATAACTCCGTGCGTCAAGCATGCGTTTGTAAGTGTGTACTTGCAAGCATGCATTTGTAAGTGTGTACTTGGCCAAGCATGCGTTTGCAAGTGTGTACTTGCAGGCATGCATTTGTAAGTGTGTACTTAGTAGACAGTTAGGTTTGTAGTGTAACAAACCCTCACTCGTTTTGACCCCCCCCCCTCCAAAGCAGCAGACGGCGGTGGCCCAATCCGGGTGGAGGGGGTAAAAACAAGTGAGGGTTTGTTACGTTCTGCCGCTCCGACATCCGTTATTCCTGCTCTTCTTCAGACTGAAGTTCTCTATCCCCCCCCTCCAATGCATTTATATAGGAGGAAAGGGGATGGAGCTCTTGTACGCTTCAAGAGGGGTGCACAGACTACGCTTTACGAAGGGCGTAATACTACGCCTGTGTTTTACCAGTGGGCCAACGGCAGCAATAAGCAGTTGCCTGTGAAGCTATCAACTCGCTCCAGTCGCATTTGCTCAATGAACAGAAAGTCACCGAACACAGTATTAACTCATCAGACCCCAACCAAGTGCGCGACACGGAAGAGTCATCAACGCTACACTGATGAGTTAGTCACTAATGTGTTCAATGCAACAATTTTTGAAGTGATCATCATTATATCGTCGGAAAGAGAGGGTCAAGGACAAAGCGACGGACGCGAAAAGATTTGAACAGGACCGTTCTTCCGCGCTGACAAGAACACTCCTGAAGGCACATGCTTGGCAAACAGGAGCATGTGTTTATTCAAGCATGCATCTCAGGCTGTTTAGCTCAGAATAATATATCCGTAGGTTCAAGCTAAGAATACACTTGAGTTTTAAATGTTCACAAAAGGAACATCGGAAACACTAACTGCTCTCTGAATGCCTTTAGAAACCGTTTCGCCCTCAATCCAAATATTTTCCGTTGAAGGAAATTGCAACTGCAGCTTACAGTACACTGGTAAAACTAAAGCGTAACTCTATGCTTGAAATCAAGCATACTCTGGAAATTCCCCCATGCAATAAGATAGGAGGAATCTTGGCGGATGAGCCTGTTACAATTGATTTCAAGCGTAAACTGATAACGCATGAAAACAGAGGGTAATACAACGCTTTAGTTTTACCAGTGGAAACGTCGCAATAATCAGAAACTTTTAGATTTGAACACAAGAAAAGGAGTTCGTCAGAGCAGCTTTGCTAGTTTTCAAGATGTGAGGAATACATAGTTTCTGTTCTGCTCTTATTGTGGAGGAACACTTTATTGTTTCACGCCAGGTACACTCCGATATCATTTTAGTGTACGTGTATTTCAGAAATCTGCCATCAAAAATCTTTCATCGATTTCTTGAACGCACAAAACTCCATGTGACGAAGAAGCACACGTGCAGGTCATTCTTTTCGTTGAAGCACCGGACCTCCGTTGTGTACGTACTCCCGAGATATTTTTCCAGGGCGCTGGCTCCCGCAAACTTTGTCACGGAGTTCATGTCAACGGATGCATTTTTCAGTGAATAGGCGCCCTGCACAGTGTGAGAAAGAACATAAACTTGACGGTTTCAATGCATTGAGTTAACACCGTTATGTGCAATATTAAATGTTATAATAGGGATGCAATCACATGTCGCGCCGAAAAATCGGTTGATATGTCCGGAACTTCTAGCGATTTGATCTTGCTAATCAGTCTAAAACTTCTAAAGCGGTTTTAGCCTTCGCGCCTCTCACTCAACAAAAACAATAAAAAAGCTTCAAAACTCAAGCAGCGTGTAGCTTATTTTTTAGTTCCAAATTTTTGAAAATTCTGAAACACACTTGCTCTCGCTTTCCGATAAAGAATCTCTTTCTGTCCGGTGGCCCGAAGAAATCATAACTCAGCGGGTGGAAACTCCCTTAGCGCGGCTGGGGCCATGTCTCGGGCGGCTCGCCACGGCCCGGTCGGCCGCCCGGCGCCCGAGAATGGGCTGCACCGGCCCCTATTATTGCTTAGAAATCAATTAAAAATTTGACTTTTTGAAAAAGAGGCCATGCTAAGCCACAATTTAAGGACCAAGGAATCGTTTTCATTCATTGGATTTGACCAACAGACATGTTATAACAATGAATTTCTCCCCGAAACTTTTCGGCGGCGACGCGCTATCCTGCGAGCTACGGCCATCCTACGCATAGCAAACTTAATCCGTTTCGTTCTCAGCAATCGTTCATCGCATTGCAAATCCGAGGACAGATTCGGAATCTGCGTGAAATTTCCTGTGGCGTAGGACATATCGTTATATTTGAAACTCTCAAGATGAAGTGTAGTCATAAGAGGGAAAATAACCTAAAATGACCTTGAAAAACCGGCAAATTTAACGTAGTTTTCTCATTATAACTACACTTGATCTCAAGAGTTTTAAATATAACGATACGTCCTACGCCACAGGAAATTTCACGCAGATTCCGAATCTGTCCTCGGATTTGCAATGCGATGAACGATTGCTGAGAACGAAACGGATTAAGTTTGCTATGCGTAGGATGGCCGTAGCTCGCAGGATAGCGCGTCGCCGCCGAAAAGTTTCGGGGAGAAATTCATTGTTATAACATGTCTGTTGGTCAAATCCAATGAATGAAAACGATTCCTTGGTCCTTAAATTGTGGCTTAGCATGGCCACTTTTTTCAAAAAGTCAAATTTTTAATTGATTTCTAAGCAATAATAGAGGCCGGTGCAGCCCATTCTCGAGCGCCGGGCGGCTGACCGGGCCGTGGCGAGCCGCCCGAGACATGGTCCCAGCCGCGCTAAGGGAGTTTCCACCCGCTGCATAACTTTACGACAAAGTAGATCACTTTTGAGGAGTATACCGTGAAACGGGGTAACTTCGGACACTTTTGATAGGTTTTTTGAAATTGTGAAAGTTGTGGTGCTGTCATGGACTTGAGGGTTAAAATTTATCATATACCCACCTTTAGCTTCGATTTGGCGCTTATTTCAAATATCTGCACCTCACAGTTTTTACAGTGGAGGGTCCAAAGCAGTGTCCGAAATTACCCCGTGTTTTGGGGTAAGTTCGGACACCCCTGGTAAAGACGACTTATCGTTCTGATTTTGGTCCCAAAATCGATCACTGTCTCTTTCTAAAGTGCTAATATGATTATATGAGAAATTCGTAAGGGTTCAGATGTAAAGATATGGTAGGGGTGGTCATTCATACATAATTTGAAGTCATGTTTTGCACTCATATGTAGTTCGATTTCAGGAATAGTGGGTGGAACTGGTAGAGCCATTTAGAACGCTTCTATTTTTTAATTTTTGACCGATTAGCTTTCATAGGCAACTCTGGCCATACATTTTTACGGGAAAGTGAATCTTAAATCTTCCTCTACAAGATTACAGACAATCACATACATGCATACGAAGGGCAAGTAGTCGTGTCCTATGTACGGTTAGGAAGATACAGGGGCTCAGTAGAAAGCTTTGCATTTCAATTGTAGTAAACCGGCGAGCTATGCAGCCATTCGCCAAGACTAACTTTCATGTCACATGAAAGAAAATTGATCACAAAACTGTCGTTGACACTAAGGTAGGATATGCACATAAAACTAAGTATTAAAGATGTAGCTCTGCCCCATTTAAATGAAATTCGAAGTTTATAAAGCAACAGATGTAACAATTGGGGATTATCGTTGTTATTGGATTATCTTCAACTTTTAGAAGAGCTCCTTCAGCTTCCACCACTCAAACCCTGCGAAATAGGAAGTGTTCAGGACATACCCACTCTCCCTGGCGTGTGTCCGAAATTACCCCGTAAAGTAACAATTTTTTAGTTTTGAGCCCATATAAACCATACTATTTGACCCAGGTGATTGAAAATTTGACACAGTATGCTCTTAACATGATCGAATCGACAAACAATCACCTCATGAACCGGCCATGAACAGTTTTGGCTTGCCAGTCAAAGTTTTTAAGCATAAAGCGAATTTAGGTAAAAATGGTTAAATACAAAAACCACTCTTTCTCCTGAAGTTTGCCCCTGATTTGGCCTCCGGGTGATTGATCAGATGGTTTTAAGAGTGGCCGATGCGATGCGCGCAACGGGACAAGCCTCCAAGTTGGCCGTTAGATGCGAACATCATCACCATGCTTCCGGGCAGAGTTGTCCGAAATTATACCGAGTGTCCGAAATTACCCCGTTTCACGGTACTATTAATATGTGGATGTTCCACGAGAGTGTTTCACTTTAATTTTGAACTATTTCACCGGGAATAGGTGTGCACGTCAACACTGAGATTCCAAACTCTATGAGTATAGCACGTATGGTGCAATGCATATGGGAAGGGGGGGCATTGCACTTCATGTGCAATGCTTTAGCATCGCACCAATTGACGCTATACTCGTAGCGTTTGGATTCTCAGTGAAGCGTTCATCAATTGCGTTGTCTCCAGGAAACTCACGGTTTGCAGAGGGCAGCGTAACGGAGGTTGAAGGCTGGTCATGAAGTTGGTCCACGGCATGTTTGCCGTTACCAACAGTTGGCACAGCCCCACAGAGAACTTGTACGTGCCCTCGTACTCGCACGTGTGCGTGGCGTCCACGCATTTCGTCAAGGCCAGTTGAATCTCAACAAGAAATCAAAAATTACGCCGGGGAACCTTATTTTGAAAATGTGGGCAAAGTATGATTCACGTGTCATTTACTAACAGAGCATGTAAATGCGGCTTTTGCTGATGTGCTTGCTCTTTGTACTTAGTAAGACAGATCACGTACCTAACTGACCTTGGAACTATTTAACTTAATCAATACGTCATAAAAAGAAAGTAAAGGCACTCATTGTTTTCTCTCCAATTTCGTGTCAAATTATTCAATAATCCGAAATATGTGAGTCAGAGGTGTGTCTGGTCGGATACCTTTGTAAATGTCTTCAGTAATTTATTGTTGTAGAACTCGCCACTGAGGTAAGAGACTCCTTGTTTCGAGCGACTGATGGACGAGTTTAGGAATGCAAATGGAGGCTGCTCGTCCTTGCATCCTTGGAAGGCGTCAAACTGCAGCAATAGGCGGGACTGGCCCTTCGCTGCGCACACCTGCAAGAGAACGCTTGTTAAAGAGATGTTAAAACTTTCGAGCTTACTATCATCCTATATGAGCATTTCGTTGGTTAACCAATAACCATTGGGGTTTGGGTTATTCATTACCAAGATTTTGTTTGTAAGACAGATAAAAATGTCAACAAGTTATCGATTAAAACGTTATTCATGATCACAAATTTGTTCATTGCCCTATTAAAGCACCCAAGCGCCAATAGGCTACACGCGCTTGAAACCTTACGAAGTATTTTGAGCATACCTACAAACTAGTTTACTTTAATACGAAGAAATAGTTCATAAATTAATAATTATTTTCTTTGAAAGCTTATGTATGCTCAAAATATTTTGTCATAACAAGCTGCTTTTCTTTCTAATGCCTTAAATAGTTTGTAAGGTTTTCTCAGTTGAGACAAAATAATCGGTACGAGTCTGAGAGTGTTGCACGGGGAAGCCTTGTGGGTCAACTGCTTACTTGTGTTCCGGCGCACATCGCAGTGAAGACCAAGAGGGAGGCCCAGAAACGCATTATGAACATCGCTGTTCCCGCTCCTGAGGTTGCGAGGCTTTGTGTCAACCCACTCAGGCCTTGCCATCGTAGTGCGGAGGTTCAGACACGTGCGGTGACTACAATTGTCGCAACTATCTCCGCCTCGCCATCAACTCATCAGCAGCGCGCCCAAAAAAAAAGTGTTTAAAAAAATACACAGTTCTAATTGATGATATTTCTGTGCAGAAATTCTTATTTCCTTAATGGTTTGAGGCAGAAAGGTTATACACAAGGAGGATAGATTTCTTAAACTGAATTTATAATGAGGTCGTCCCTATCCTTTTTATCGGTAGCAGAAAAAAAAGGGAATTACAAGAGTGTAATGTTTGCACGCCCTGATCATTAGGCCGATCATCAACGGCACTGCAGGGCCGTCATAGTGAAACTTATTCGCTACTCATTACTGTAATTGCACCAAAACTGTTTTTATTTATGAACAATGTAGAATGTATTGGTGACGAGAGCTCAGCCACTAACGTAGGTAATATTCAATGTAGTGAGTGGAGATTGGTAGTGAGTTGGGCTATTGCCTACACACGTTTATACCGCATTGTGTACTAACAGGGGTTTTTGGGTAAAATTCCCTTGAGGGTGAGTTTCAGCCTTGGAGGGTTAATTGGGTGTAAGGGTTAGAGTATGTAGTAAAACACGCTGTGACATTTGTTTCACACCTCGCAAGTCTGGTTTCATATTGTCTGCCTCGTTTTCTTTCTCCCAGAAAACAAGTCGAATCTTTATTAATTTCTCAAACGGATGAAACTGTACGTGACAGCGAAGCAAACGTGCAGCTCATTCTTTTCGTTGAAGCACCGAACTTCCGTCATGTAGACATTTCCGTAATATTTTTCCAGGACGTTGGATCCCGCGAATCTTAACACGGAGTTCATGTCAACTGAGGCATTTTTCAGCGAATATGCGCCCTGTGCAGTGTGAGAAAGGATACACTGATAGAAAAGATGCTGTTAATTAACAGCATATATCCTGTTAAGTTTTTTAGCAACACTTGTTGTAGAAGAACGGCATATTGTTGGAGACTGAGTCGTTATCCAACAGCAGTGTTGTAAAAAGGGATGATGGCTCTCTGTATCTGATCTCTGACAATAAGTTGTTGTGTAACAGAATTACCATTTTCAAATGGCACCAACCTGTTCATAAACTACACTTTTCTGTTTTCAAACAAAAAAGTTGTTATACATTTACAAAAAGAATGTCGAGGGTCCTAATAGTCTTATCCAATACTAGCAGTCATTCAGAAACGCTCTTTTCTGTTTACAAACAGCACTGTTCTTCAACGCGGTCTCTCTGTTATTCACAAAAAGGAAATAGGAGTTTCCTGACGGCTCAAACAAGACATTTGTTTTGTAACAGTTCGTGCAGTTCTTGGACAGTTCACCGCTGTTTAAAAATTGGAAGTGTTGCTAAAAAACTTTACAACACAAATGCTGTTCAGAAACAACAGAATTTATTTTGACATAGTTGGAGTTTGATTTGAGCCGTGAGCTGCAAAATGCTCCGGCAAATCTTCAATTGAATGGTGTTGTTTTTAAATGACAGGATACCGTTCCAAAACAGCATATATCATTAATTTTACAAACAAGATGTTCTGTTTTCCAGCATTGGAAATCGACTATATTTGTTGTTTTCTCCAATGATGAAACTTGCTGTTTCCTAACAGCATTTGTGCTGTTTTAAGTTCCGATGACACGTGCTGCTTAAAAGCAAATCACTCGTTGGTAAATGTGCTGTTTTCCTACAGTTTCTTTTAACAGTGTATTCCTGAGGCAGTTTCAGAGAAGTTACACCGACAACTAAGTACAATACAAAAAGCTAACTAAAAAGGAGGAAAAATAAAACATTGCGAATCCATTGGTAATTTCCCTGCAATTTCAGCGGCAATCCCTTTCAAATGCCAGAAAGCCCTCTGGGAACGACCAAATTTGCCCTCCGACAGCTTAAAACATCAAATTTGGGCATCGCCACAAGCCAATCCAGCTGGCCTGACGGCCAAATTCTGGCATTATGAATGGAGCTTTACCGCCAGAGCATTGTAGTGGCAAGGAAACTTACCACTACATTTGTTATGAATTCATGCGCCATTTCAAATAATTTCACCAGGTGTAAAGTCTATTTATCAGTCTGATGGAATAAAGAGACTCACGGTTTGAAAAGGACAGCGCACTGGGGGTTGCAGGTTGGTCAGGAAGCTGGACCACGGCATGTTTTGAGCGGTGATGAGTTGACACAATCCTACGGAGAACTTGTGCGTGCCCTCGTACTCACACGTGTTGTATGACACAGCGTCCAAGCATTTTGTAATGGTCAGTTCCATCTCATTATGAAAAAGAAAATCACGTCGTGAGAGCCTTGTCGAGCAATATGAGCGATTACATTTGTAAATGTAATTACAGCTCAGAAAAGAGACTCTTGCTGATGCAATTGTTCGGCTATGTATGACTGACACCACAGAACGGCTAGAAATTACAAAGCTCAGCTTTCATTTACGGAAGCAAAGGAACACACACATTTCCCACGGGTTATGCAGTTTTAAGCACATCCGACAATGGTACGATATAGTTCCCGCCTGGCGACACATTTTGTCCGACGCCTGCTGCAAATTGTACTTTCACTAGTTTGTCCCGCCCGACGGACACAAAATTACAACACCGTCAGATGTGCTCAAAATTGCATCATTGATGGGACAACAGAAAGGTCCCATAATTTTTTCTCAATTTTCCTTTGAAGTGTATAAGCGGTGATGAATGTCAAGTCGAATACCTTAGAAAATTTATTCACTACTTTATGGTTGTAGAATTCGGCACTCATGAAAGACACTCCTTGTTTAGAGCGACTGACGGACGAGTTGAGGATGTCAAGATGAGTCGGCGCACCCTTGCATCCTTGGAAGGCGTGGAACTGCAGTGCCGAGCGGGGCTGCCCCTTCGCTGCGAACACCTGCGAGAGGACGCTTCTGCTTACTGTTGTGGGTACACTGTTCTTGCGTCGTCTCGTTTGTAAATAAGATGAACCGTGCAACATTTCTTCGAACGTTGACCCCAGGGGATATCACTGTGAATTTCGGTGTACAAATCCAAATAATTTAAGTCCAATTTCGATGAGTTTCAGTCAAATTTCGGTCGAAATTCGATGAATTTCAATCAAATTTCGATGAACTTTAATAAATTCTAGTGAATTTTACAAGTTTGATGAATTTTTTGGTGTACAAATTTGGCTAGAGTTATTTTAGCGTTTACCTTCGTTCAAATGAGTGTGACGTACTTACAGATAGAGCGCGTGTCACGTAAAAATGAATGTGACGTCATATTGAAATGAACGTGACACCACTTGCATTCAAACGAACGTGTCGTCACATTCGTCAGAAAAAAAAAAACTACTCAAGGAATTTGAAATTTGAGATACACAGCGCACTTTTCATGGCATGAGTTCCATGATCATGCCAAAGAGAAAAGATGTTTGATGTGCATACGCTCCTAAAATTAATGGTGTACCTCCGAGGCATTTTTGTTGCTAATTGAGGTTAGCAAGGCTCAAGTCCTCACAGAGTGGGTCAGGCTGGGAGACACGCTCTACAATCGCGTACTTAGAAATGCCGTACAGTCAGTCTTAATGCTAAGCTCGTTTTCAGTACACTACGACACAAATGTATCATAATCTAGAGAAATTTGTTTGTAATATGAAGAATCTGAATTCAAGTTACTGAGCGATTCTCACGTTTCGGGGTAGTTTCGTTTCCTCTGACTCCTGTGCCCAAACGAGCGCAGATATCGACATGGGGCTTGTTTCTGATGTTAGGGAGGGCCATTGCCCACTAAACGCACACATTTCGAAAAGTTCACGTTCGTTGGATTGGTCTACGTAGCGTTTGGAATACCCTAAATGTAACTTCCGTGATTGTCCAAAGAGAACATACACGAACTTTCCGCCCCCAGTGCGGCGGTGTGGTTCGAAAATGCTGCCAACTGTCGATGGGGATTCGAAGCTTGGCATGTCTCGAGCTAATTTCAACTGAAGACCAATACGCCAGACTTCTTTCAAAGGTACTTCTGCTGCAACGAAAAATGTCCACCGTATATTCAATTTCACTACACAAATTTCGAAAAGGCAGCTCTGGACTTCTCCCCAAGCCAAACTTTAAACTTTCCATGACACAAGCCATCAAAGTGGAGTCCCTGGGATATAATTGCATGGGTCGCGGAAATCTAAAATGCTGTACACGGTCTCAAAGCGGGCTAGAGCATTACAAAATGGTGTGTATCAACAATTACCTGTAACTTCCGTGGCACCCTTTACCCAATGTTGCAGCAGCACTAAGTGAAAAAATTTTCCGCTTAAATGTCGGGCTTAGAGTATCATTTGACCCTGGAACGACTGTTAAGCCACAGCAAGCCCGAGTCAGCCGTTAAAGCCGATTTTCACACTTTGTAACTTCCGTGATAACGTAATTTCCGTGATCAAAACACCCACTAAAACGTATGGGAATACCTTATGGCTCATGTTTTTAAGAAGGTAGTACAAGGTCTTTACTATAAATACCATTGCCATAACTCTAGTATCATCCAGGACCCCAATAATCAGAAAAACTTAATTGGATATTTCTCACTTTCGGCAAATCAGAGACGCCAAAACTACCCCGAAACGTGAGAATCGCTCTACTGAGAACTTTTTACCATAGGTGAACCTTCCCTGTACTAATTAAGCTTTCCGTTCGTATAATAGGGAAAAGGCTAAGGAGTGTGGAGACAAGATGATGGAAATATCTGTTTCTGTTTTTATTGCAAGGGAAGCCGAGTGGCTTGTCTACTTACTTTAACATCAGTGTTTATCGCAGTGAAAATCAGGAGGAAGGCCCAGACACGCATAGTGACCATCTCCAGAACGGCTCCTGCGGTTGCGAGGCGTTGGTAGAGGTTGTTTGGCCAGTTCTGCTGGACTTAGACTCCCTGGTTCGGTGGTCCGAACATTCTCTGAAAGCTGAAGAGTGATTGTTAACAGAACTCATCCCTTGGATGATCCGGGATGATCACAACAATGCACTGCTAATGCAAGCGTGGACTTGGTCCACACTTGCATTAGCAGTGTGACAGCGTTAGGATGCTAACATGGGGAAGGGACACAAATCCCGACACAGCACAGCCCGCACGGTTGCTGTGCTAGTCCAGCCGATGGCTGACGTTCGCCGGCGCCGCCATCGCGGTTCAGTCACTTGGCTGCAACAGGCGCAACTATCGCACCCAGCCATCGACTCATCAGACCGATCGGCAGCACGGAAGCACCATTAACGCGAAACGAATTCGATGCTCATTAATGCTACTGCGCCGAAAGTGATTTAGCTCGGAAGCAATCACTGGTAAAACTGGAGCATAGTTGTATGCTTCATTCAAGCATACAACTACGCTTGAAGACTTTACGCTTGACGTCGAGCGTAGAGAAGAAGTCCTCCCATGCATTTAGATAGGCGGGAGAGGGGTGAAATGGATAACTACGCTTGAAGCCGAGCGTAGTTCTACTACGCTTGAAAGAAAGGCGTAAAAGTACGCTTGAGTTCTACCAGTGATGTGGGGTGGCCAATAATTCACGCCGATCAGAATGCATAGGTTAAAACTGCACTGAAAAGGTGAGACTTTTGACTCTCTAAGGGGTAAAACTGAAATTCATGACCCCCCCCCCCCAGAAAAAAGGTCACACTTAAATGTATGACCGAAAAATGGTGTCACTGATGGTTGCACGGTAAAAACGGTACCTGGTTTTCCCACACTGTGGCAAAAAGCTACGGAAAATTCTGTAAACAGCTTGTGGTAATTCTCCGTAGGCCCCTTATCAATATTCTCCGTAGGCTCTTACAGTATTTTCTGTAGGACCGCACAGTATTCTCCGTAGGACCGCACAGTGATCTCCGTAGGACTATACAGTCTTCGAGGTCCTACGGAGAAGACTGTGCGGATTTACAGAGAATACTGTGCGGCCCTACGGAGAATACTGTAAGAGCCTACGGAGAATATTGATAAGAGGGCTACGGAGAATCCTGGCAAAAAAATTAACAGGATTTTCCGTACCTTTTTGCCACAGTGCAGGAGGCCTATGGTAGAGACATAGGCGATTTCCAGGGAGTTCCTGGGAAAACCAGGTTCCGTTTCCACCGTGTGATATATCTCCAAGCTGGAGAAGGGTCATTCTCCCTGATGTCTGACTTTCACTGGTAGAACTCAAGCGTACTTTTACGCCTTTCTTTCAAGCGTAGTTGAACTACGCTCGGCTTCAAGCGTAGTTATCCATTTCACCCCTCTCCCGCCTATCTAAATGCATGGGAGGACTTCTTCTCTACGCTCGACGTCAAGCGTAAAGTCTTCAAGCGTAGTTGTATGCTTGAATGAAGCATACAACTATGCTCCAGTTTTACCAGTGTTTTTTCGGTCAAACATCTAAGTATGATTCTTTTTTGGTCATACATTTATGTATGGCCCTTTTTCGGTCATACTTTTTGTATGGCCTCACTTTTTGTATTGTCTCGTCCTTTGAATTTTGGTGTGACAATTGTTGGACCGAAGGATTCGACCATAGGTCAAAAGACGCGCAATAGACACTCAAATTTGGGACAGCCATTGGATTAAAGGAGCCATAGTTCAAGCGCATTGCATTGAAGATATCATCGAATTTTTTAATGTTGAGAATAGATTGCACATCGAATGCCAATTATATGCGTTATAACTTCACTTTAACTTTAAGTGCTAAGGTGAAAATGTTGTAAGATCTGAACGAATCACAGTTCACATTTGGTGTTGAGCTACTAGGAACAGCCTGACTACAGTGTTGGCCTGGGTTTTTTATTTCACATTATTGGACTTCAGAAACTTTCGCAAGATTGGTGTTAGTTCCTGATGCGGATGAAGCTGTACGTGACCGTGACACACACGTGTACTTCATTCTTCTCGTTGAAGCACTTAACGTCCGCCATGTTGACATTCCCGAAAGTGGTTTGAATGACTCCCGGGCCTGCGGCTTTCATCACGGCCGTCATGTCCACCGTTGCATTCTTTATCGTATATGGGCCCTGAAACGTACCACAGAGATATTTCACCCTTTCTCCACGATACAAACAAAGTTTGTAGAGGACCGGAAGAGGGTGATACTCCACTGTATGACCGAAAAAGAGGTCAGAAGTCCGCGAGACTGACCCTTTATTGGTGATACAGAAAAATGTATCCTCCCTTTTCAGTCATACATTGAAGTGTCCCACTTCTACGGTCATACATTTCAATACATCACTACTTTTTTGGTCACACAGATATGCCTCAGCCCTTACAGGGTGAAACGTCCTCCTTAAGATTTTCAGTGGGAGATAGGAGACAAACTCACGGCTTGAAGAGGGCAGCGCAGCGGCGGCTGCAGCCTGTTCATCGTAGATGCCCACGGCATGGTCGGAGAGGTCAGCAGTTGGCACAAACCCACGGTGAACTTGTGTGTACCATCGTACTCGCAGGTGTTGTACGACACGGCGTCCGCGCACTTCGTGAGAGACAACTCCATCTGTACATGAAGTAGGTAAATTATACTCACGTGAATAAAGCGTAGCATGTGAGAACTCACATGAGTAAAATGTTGCTGACTGAGAATTTTGTTATTCCCAGAGACTGCGGGGAAATTCAAGGCAGTCCTGCAGTTCTGTTTAAATTTAAATTAAGAACTTGCAAGAGAATGCATAAAGGACTGAGTTCCAAGAAATAGAAGCATTCTGATATTTAATGCTTCAATAATGTCCGAATGCATAGATCTTTGGGTCCTTAATAACCATCAATAAATGATTGTTTCGAATTTCACCGATATTTCCTATTGTCTCGTCGTGCATTACAGTGAGATTCTTTCAGTCCATCTTCCGGATAAATTGATATCTTTGGAATGAGCAATTCCAGTCTTGGAACAACATGGCAAATACTTTGAAAACACTGTGAAACTATGAAAAATTATGAAAACACGCATACTTGTACCTAATTCAGATCGTATACCTTGGTTATTGTCTTCATAACTTTATGGTTGTAGAAATCGACGCTGATGAAATAGACCCCTTGTTTGGTGCGACTTATGGACGAGTTGAGCACCTTGAAAGGAGTCTGCACGCCCTTGCATCCCTCAATGGCGTGGTACCGCAGCGCCGCGCGAGGCTGGCTTTTCGCCTCTCCTGTCTGCAAGACAGGCACACTCTAAATGTCTTCAGTGAAAGGCTGCACCCACACAGTAAAAACTCTACAAAGAATGGCTTCGTAATACGAAGAAAATGAAGGCATTGTCGTAGAGGTGCTTTGTGTCGCAAAATCCTTCGTAGTACCAAACATTTCTTCATAATACGAAGCAATTCTACAGTTTCCTCATTTTGTTCGCAGTTATGAAACAAAATGCTTCGTAGACTTTTTTTAAGCGACATTTTCTTCACATTACAACAGAAATACGACAAAATATCTACAAGGTAGAATGCATTTTCAAAGGCAAGTTTCAACGTCATTTGCACCACCATATTTTCAAGAATTTTCACCAAGATTTGGAGACTCTACCGTATGACTGTAAGAGTGCACAGGCACACGTTGCGACACAGGACCAGGACGATCTATAGGCAAGATACCTTAAACGGATTTTTCTTAAGGCAAAAGCCTTTATAGGCCTTACTCACGTGTATATCGGCCCCAGTGAAAAATAACAGCAATGCCCAGAAACGCATATGAAGTTTCGCAGATGCGTGCTGTCTGAAGATACTACTCATTATTCAGACTTGTCACCCGCATGGACCGATACCGAACACAGCTGAAGAAGTTCAATTGCTTGATGTAAAAGTCGGCTGGGTGCACGTTCCTAAATGTGAATGTTCTCGGTTTTAGTCTCTGAAATCCATGATAGGACTGCTCACTCTGAGGCAGTGCCACCAAAAGAGAGCACAAGCCCCACGAGGAAGGCCTAGTGCGACCTACTGCAATGGAAGCCGAGTGGAGCTGGTGGTGGAGCCATCAGCCAACTCGTCATGCTGTAATTAACGGCCCGGCCCGGATAAAAAAGGAAATGTTTCGAAAGGCTCGCCACTGTTAACGGGGTACTTCGGAGAAGAGCTGCGCTCAAAATTTCATAAATGAAATTTGAGTTAAAGGCTACTTTGGCACAAGCTCAATACGAAGCAAATTTTTCATCATGTTAATTGTTTTTGTATAATATCTTCGGAAAATGGAAAGAAAAACCTTTGAAATACGAAGAAAAACTACGTTCGTATTATGGGAAATTTCTTGGTAAGACAATCAGAGTAAGGGGAAGTGGGAAGAAATCAACAAGAAGAAAGTATGAGAGATTCGTGTGCGCGAATGAGCTTCTGCTTCGCCGTTCTTCCGCTCTTGCATGGTTGTATTCTCATGTTACGCCTGGATTTTGTTCCTTTTTCATGTATTCTCTTCAACCTCCGAAGACTTCGGACGATCTTATGAATGATCGCCTGTCAGGGAAATTCTTGTGTTTGGCAATCTAACCTGAATGTCATCTGTTTCGGGTGAGTTCATTAAGTCATTTTTTTTATGTATTATGTGGTTAGTATCGGAAGAGCACTGCGAGAAAAAACTACAGAGAATCCCGTTAATTTTTTCACAGCGTCGCTCTGTACCCACAACTACAGTGATCTCTGTCTTTTAAAAGACGGAGCTCACTGTTGTTTTTTGGGTTCATCTCTCTGTTGTCCGAGCGGCCAATGCCACATCGGGACGGCATGGCCAAAGCCTTATAGGTCACCGTTGGGTCCCCGGGGGCGTCGACGGGCACTTCACAGGGTCCCCGATGACGATGCGAGCATTTTAGACCTAGGTTCCGACCATTCGTTGAAAAGGTCTCGTCAAGATCTACTCGAATCAAGAATAAAAAAAATTCTTGGTCAACCCCCTTTTTTCAAGATCCAGTTGACCAATCAGGATCTTGAAAAAAGGGGGTTGACCAAGAAATTTTTTTTATTCTTGATTCGAGTAGATCTTGACGAGACCTTTTCAACGAATGGTCGGAACCTAGGTCTAATATGCTCGCATCGTCATCGGGGACCCAGTGAAGTGCCCGTCGACGTCCTCGGGGACCCAACGGTGACCTTTAAGGCTTTGGCCATGCCGTCCCGATGTGGCATTGGCCGCTCGGACAACAGAGAGATGAACACAAAAAACAACAGTGAGCTCCGTCTTTTAAAAGACAGAGATCACTGTAGTTTGGGGTACGGAGCGACGCTGTGAAAAAATTAACAGGATTCTCTGCAGTTTTTTCTCGCAGTGAGTTCTGTGGTTTGGGAGATGAACCAAGAAAAAGGGTTCAAGATATTTTAATACTTTATATATTTGCGCACCATTACAAAGCCACTTGTCGTACAATTGGTGAACCACAATGCATCACGGTGACAGGACCGGCACACAGTAAACATTTTTGTGGAATGGACCTTTTTAACATTCGCCGTCAAATGTTAACAAAAAGAAATTTTCACACATTGTGTCTCTCCGTCTCTTGCTTTGCTTTTCAAACACTAATTGGTGTTAATTTCTGACGCGCATGAAACTGTATCTGACGGTGAAGCACACGTGCAGGCTTCCCTTTTCATTGAAAATCCGCACCACTGTCATGAAAATTTTTCCGAAAGTTTGTTCCAGGTAACTTGTCCCCGTAAATTTAACAACGGAGGTCATGTCAACGGTACCGTTCCTCATCTGGTATGGTCCCTGGAAAAATAAAGGTCGGATTGGACGTTAGGCATGCTGGAAAATGTCAACTGTGGTAACTGCCACGGCACGGTACACTGAGAAAGCAAAAGTCTTGATCAATACCCAATTTTGGGTGAGGTATACGTCATCACACCTAATTTGGGTGAAGATTTTATTTGGGTGATAAGGGAGCATCAGCTGCCTATATGGCCAGCATTCTCATCCAAATTCCTGGAAACCTTCCTCACCCAGATTTGGGTGATAAAATGATTCTCACCTAAATTTGGGCGAAAAACACTGCCTCCCCAAAAATTTTAATCGTGATTATGACTGTCCTTCTCAATGTAAACTCATCTCCTGGGATTCCGATCAATATCGGTCAATGCCCAGAGGATGCTTTTACCGAGACGGCCACGCGGGGACATTTCAGCCAGGCTTCTGACACTCATACTGGAGGCCCACCCACCCTGCCTGTCTCAACTTCTTCGTTCCGTCCCAGCTACAACTCACAATCAGTAAGGGGCAGCGCGCCGGCGGATGCATGGAGGAGAGGATAGAGTACCAGGGCATGGTCTGGGATCCAATGAGTTGGCACAGTCCCACGGAGTACTTGAGCGTCGCCTCGTACTCACATGTGTTAAACGAGACGGCATCGGAGCACCTGGTGACGGCCAGCTCTAACTCAAAGAGGCACAATGAACTTTATTATTCATGCCACATCAGCACTCTCATTCCAAGAGCGAGACATCGCGTCGAAACGAATGCGACAAGTCACGTTCCTTTGCACTCCCAATATCCTACTGAGCTTTTTCTTCGTAATACGAACAAAAAGCTTAGTACTATGACTGCGCTGCGCAGCGAGGGCAAAGTTAACTATGCTGAAGAGCTCTCAGTGAGTCACGACCAGTTTCTTCATATTACGAACAAATTTCTCTGTATTATGACATATTTGTGTCGTAAAGTACTGAGAAGTAGCTCAGTATTATGACTGCACGGCATTTCTCAGTAGGGAATCGGGAGTGTGAGCATTGAGTCTCATTCGTTTGACTGCGAATAAGCTTATTTATGGCTGATTCACACCCAAACAGTACGAAAGGCTCACTTCCGCCCATATATGTTCACTTTTTGTTTTGACTTCGTATTTCATTTGCTCTGATCAAAATTCTGGCTTGATGGCAAAGGCTTAGTAGGGTATTCTAAGATGCCAGTGGTATGTGTTATGGAGGCGTTTGCATCCGATATCCTTCTTTCAAAAAGTTCTTGTAAATGCTTTAACAATTTAAATGCATTTGAGTATCTCTTCTGGATCTGGGTGAAATTTTAAGAAACGCACCCATGGGGTCACTGATATCTTGACATTGTTGACGTTAACAAAAGAGTCTTAATAGAAACAAGTTTTTACTTTAAGGATACCTTCGAAGCTGTCTTCATAACTTCTTGATTGTCGAAATCAACATTTATTGAATTGGAGCCAAGTTTGGAGCGAACAACTGTAGCGTTTTTGAATTCGAACGGAGGTTGCACACCCTTGCACTTCTCCATATCGTGGAACTGCAAAGCAACGCGGGGCTTCCCGGCCTCGACCTGCTGCAATAAAAGCACACTCTCTTTACAGGAACGTGACGTCTCGTTAAAATGCATGTGACAAAATCTCGCGGGTCTTTGGGCATTGTGTCACATCCGTTTGGAGGCGAACCAGCCAAAAATGAGCCTTTTCACAATTTAAACGAATGTGACACGACGCTCAAGGAAACGTGTCATTAGGCCTGACTTGCTACGAGATTAAGAACATTTTTCATGAACAATTATTTTTGTGCTTTACAACTTCGACCCTGCTCACTTACTTGCGCTTTCCAAGAAATTGCAATGAGAATGAAGAGCGAGGCCCAGACTGCTATAGAAGTGGATACGAACACGGCCATGGCGGTGAAGGTTCAGATCTGACAAACGCATACAGTTCAAGTCTCATTGATGGGTCAATCTTCCAAAAAAGCACTGCATTGACTGCAAGCCTCTCACGCACAGACTAAATCCTCATGCATTACAACGTGATTAAAATTACGCGTTGTCATGCATAATATCACGCTAAATGGTGCTTAATTTAGGCAATGTAAGCAGGGATCCTTAACTTAACATTTAACTAACACTGCTTTCATAACGTAACATAAAATAATGTTTGCTAAAGGTTAAGGGTATACTGGTATTTTTAATGTGATAAGTTTCATACAATTTGCTGCGATAAAAAGGCTAATGTGATTCCTTCAAATTATCGCATCTGTGGCAGCAATAAAAAAAAATTATCGCAATAAAAATGCAATAAGTCCCTTAGGTTTTGGCCGGTCTGGGCCCCAGATTATCACAGTTTTGGTGTGATAAAATGATAACTACGCTAATAATGCGATAAATGCGCTAATGCAATACAATAGTTATTGCACTTCTAATGCAATAACTTTTTCATGGTGCAACTGATGGAATAAAAATGTTATTGCTTTTTAAATTAGTTCATCATCACACTTAGAAAATCAGTGTACGGACTTATGAAAGTACTTGCAAAAGTATATCCACACAAATTCGAGACATTAAAAAATAACCTACCCTTTTGACAAGATAGATAGTTAAGGGTAGTAACTGTAACTCTTATGATAACGTTATGATGCCCTTATGAGGTAAGTTAAGGATCCCTGAATGTAAGGATTAAGAGAGATTTGCCGTGCACGCTCCATCGTGTTGTTACCAGGCCACCGCACAGTGGGCTGAGATTCGCAAAACCGACATATAATCCAGTTTTTTCAAAGTTATTTTTTGCATCGGATTTGTACGAGATGGTGTTCGAAAAGGTTCAGGCTTCAAGGAAATGAACATACCAGCTAGATATACTAGCCGTATCACAGTGAGAATGGCACCTGAAAACTTTGTATTTTGAGGCTTTTGACGTTCCGCTTGTGGATCATAAAAATGACACATATGCCGAAACGATTTTCGGCCAGCCTTGTCGTATTTTTCGTCCCGGTTTTCAACGTGACCTCTTGTTTAGGTATCACACTGAACATGTGGACATAAACTAGACTAAATTTTTCCTCGGTGGCATGTGTTCACACCTATTTTAGAAACTAGTTAAATCTGCGAATTTAAGGTTTTTTCTTAATATTGAACTTGAGTTTCAAAACGACTCCTACTTGTCCCGACGGAGATCTCTACGCCTAAAGCTACATTGGACCCTCCTCTACTAGGGCCAGTTTCAATCAAAGGCTCATCGAGGCTCCAACGGGAATGCGACTCGTGTAACCCCACCACTTTTTACACAAATTCACAGATTCTGTCCTTATTTTTGTTCATAATCGCATATTTTTGCGTATTTTGTCGGTGTTTATGGCATTGGAAGCCTTTTGCTTTCAATCTTCATTGTTTTCATGTAAAATCTGACGGTTTTTAAGAATTTGTTAAATAACAATTTTGAATCAAAATTTACATTTTTTTACGTTTTTTGCTAATTTTGGTTTTGGAAGTACCCTGTTAGGTCTGCTGTCCTATTTTTGACCTGGACTCTGTTTTCAAATGGGAACTGATGGCAAAAAATAAATTTTTGAACACTTTTTGTCACTATTGCAAGATACACTACCCTGTACACTAAAAAACGTAAGCAGATCGATAGAGCGTCTTAAGACGAATCGATCGGTACTAAAATGATAGCAAAAGTGCAACCCAGTCGGTCACAATCGAATTAAATGTCAGATTTTGCTCCGCCAACCCACTGTGCACCGCGCTGTACCGTACCGTGCCCTCTGCCTCGGCCGCCCTAGTGCCACTAGCTGCCGCTGGGTACGAGTAATTACTGCACCAAATCACACCGAGCCACGACTCATCAGCACACAACCGACGGTCGTGTCGAAGGGCCTAGGTACGGAAAATTTGTGGAGCGTATTTGCTCGTCACGGGAATGGCTTTACCGAGGGGTCGTGTAATTGTTCGGTCGCTCTTCCCATAATACCACGCGTTATAGCCGCAATCAGGTAAATTTACCTGGTTTTGGTTGTTTTGGTCTGTTTTTAGCCAAATCCTGATGATTCTGAGGCGTAATAGAGCTTAATTGGCGTGATAGGGTGAGGAAAGTCCCCCCTCCGGCACACATCTCGGCAAATCATATAACCATGATTTTACTGTCAGTCTTTTATTTCTTTTACACCACCACGTGGTGATGCAATTTTGTGTCCGCCAGGCGGGACAAATTGTCTCGTGAAAGTACAATTTGCAGCGGGCGTCGGATAAAATGTGTCGCAAGACGGGAACAAAATTGCATCTGTGTCGGATGTGCTTAAAATTGCATAAATCGTGGTACAAAAAAAAGTCCCGACATTAAGTGTGGAAATGCAGTTTTAAAAGTGCAGTAAGTAGCAGTGTCCGTTTGCCCCTCACTTCGTGCTGTGCTGTGCCCCCGAGCGCTACCGCCTTGGGCGACTGCCGCATGATTACGTTCTCGCTGCAATCGCACCGGCAGAGCTCGTCCGAGTCTCCGCCCGGCTCCGCCTGGCGCGGTGGCTGCTTTCGTTCAGTCACCTCAGCTCGATACGAAGCGGCGCACCACTGCGAGTCTTCCACAACGCCAAGACGGATCTGGAGGGACTCCGTCATGGACGACGAACCTCAGCTGGATAAGATGGAGAAACAAATCGAGGTAGGATATACTGACTATGCTCATGCATCCGAAAAAAGTCTTTTCTTGATCGAAGATAATATTTGACTTTATATGAAACGTTCTAGTAAATTTACTTTCCAAGTAAATTATCTTGGCTAAGCAAACATGATTGGCGACGCAAAAAACTGAAATTTTCAACGCTCTTTGTTGATGCTAGGAAATGATTGACCAAAAGGCAATAGTTTATGCAAGTAGTCAACTCTGATTGAACTTCTACAAGTTTTAACACCTAACATCAATGCGAAATGTATGTTGATTCTACTTAAACTTTTCATTGACAAATTTAATCGAACCTTACTTTTTTTATTTACATCGTAGAAGTCAGCCAGGGACAGAGAATTTAGCTGGTAATCGACTGCTCATAGTTGTCAAAATTATATGGTTACTCTCTTCTCTTATCACATATTCCGCCCCTGGGGTCCACCCCTAGAAAACGATGGAGTCTTGCAGGAATGACGTTCTTGCACGAGCAAGAAAAATTTCTAAGAGCGAGTAAGAATCTACACACATGCCTTAAACGTCTTAAATAAACTTTATTTTTTGAAGGGTCACCTGTCTCCATGGCTGATGCATTTTGTTTGTGTTCTAAAGGCGTTTAAAGACTAATTGAGTACTGTCTTATTTCTTCGTCAATATCAGCAGCACATAACAATTATAAAAGTACGTCGACCAGATCGATGCAATGTTCTGGAATATCGGGGTTTTCAGGAATGGGCCCATTACAGAAAAAATCCTGGGATTCACGGGAATATCGGCCAGTGCCTGGAAGAAACACCAAGAAAGAATCAAAGAAACACTTCTTTTTGTTGTTTTTGTTTCAGGCTCCGTTGAGGTACCCGCGCTCCGTCTTCTTCATCATCGTCAACGAACTGTGCGAGCGCTTTTCGTTCATGTCGATGCGAGGTACGTGTCTGCTTTGACACACAGCGCTTTATCGCTTGATAGTAGGCCAGACAGTCACGTGGCAGACATACCGACCGCCAGAGAGTCAGTGTAACAAACGATTAAAAGATTGTCTCCGTCGGCCTGATAAAAACTCTAATCCTGTACGTGTGCCACAGAGGCTAAAAGATCATCATCGGAGCGATTAGGAGCAGGAGGAGATGAAAGTGTGGGTGTCTGAGGGGGAGAGTGTGAGAGAGAGAGAGAGAGAGAGAGAGAGAGAGAGAGAGAGAGAGAGAGAGAGAGAGAGAGAGAGAGAGAGAGAGAGACAGAGAGAGATGTATGGACATGTTCGCCGAGAAAAGCTTTACAATTTCATGACAACGCTATTTCCCATTGCTGTCCATCATAACACAGAGAAACTTCTGCGGAATATTAAGAAACTGGTCACAAGAAGTTGTTTACCTGGTTATTAGAGACCACTAAATTATGCATATAGAATCATCATTTTATGCGCCACATTTTGACCCATTTATGCGGACTTTATGCGCCTAAAAATGTAGTTTTATGCGGGGTTTATGCGGGTAAAATTGTGGTTTTATGCAAAAATATGCGAAGGAGGAAAATAGGAGCGGAATGACAAAAAGTAGAATTAGCTCATAAAAAAGTATTTAATGTTATTATCACATTAAAATTATTCAAGTTAACACACTTTAAAATTCAGTCAAGTAATGAAATGACTAGTTTCATTCAGATCAGATACAGAGATACAATAGAATGAATTTATCATTTTCACTCATTTTTTAATCATTATTCCATGCCATGTCCTCAGCATCATTATAATACACAGAGTGGGTGCCTGCACCACCGCCACCAGCCACACCTGCACCGTCCACTATATTTTGTGCATTTTGATCATAATCATCGCCATCATCAACTTGCTCAGAACACTTATCATTATTATTCAAGTCAACTCCATTACAGAAATAAATGCACATCATAGTTTCCCCTGCCTTTTCTCATTAGCCAAATTTGTTCTTTTGGGAGAAAATATGTCACCATATGCACTGAAACCCCTTTCACTGTCAACATTTGCCACACTCACATGTAGTACTTGCAAACAAGAAATAGCAAAGTCACTGTGGTCTTTCATCATAGAATTCAAAGCATTTACAACAAGGTCCTCCCTATGAGGCACTTTTTTCATAGGATCAGCATTAGCATTATTTTCCTTTACATGGTCAGAAAGTAATGAATGCCAAATTACAAAACAGTTTGTTGGAATGGAATCCAAAATTTTAATTTTCTCTTTTGCCTGTGAAATCTTTTCATGAGAAAGAGAAGCAGCTAACTTACTGGGATTAAAGAGCAGCCTAGATGACTCAAAAAATTCTCTAGCAGTGTCATCTTTCATCTGAGATTGCAACAGACACACACCTGCTTAATTCTTTCAAGCAATGTTTTTTGTTTAGAGGAAGGAACTAAATCAACACATGCTTTTGTCTTCTCAAGTAAAACAGACTTGATGTCTTTAGAACTATCCCCGGCTTTTGCCACACTTGACATAGTCACACTCAGCTCTTTTACCTTTGCATACAATAAGTGAGACATTGGATATTTAGAACCCTCTACTAGCAGCTGCAAATCACAAACAGGGCCACAATAATCTACAACAAATTTTGCCTCTGCCTTAATTATCAACAGGTCCTCAGGTTTCAATTTCAAAAAATATTTTACAGCTTTTGTTTCATTCTTCTTCCCAGTCAACTGCTTTTTCACATATTCAGCTACATCATCAACATATTCAGACAAATACACAACAGATTTTTTCCATGTTCCCCATCTGGTCATGACAGGTAATGGAAATTGTTTCACTTCTTTAGCTCTAGAAAAAGAATACTTTTCTTTTAAAAAAGTAACATATCTGTGTTTCCTTTTTCGGGTGTTTTTGAAAAGTTTCTTAGTATTGGACACACATTCATTAAGTCTATACAGTTTCTCAGGGAAAATTTTCACAACCTTATCCAACTTGTGGGCCCAACACTGCAGGTGTATCAAACCAGGATTATCAAGGAGTGTCCTGAGAAGACGAATACCATGTAGGCAGCACTGTCCGAACCGATGGCCACTATGTTCAGATGGGCAACTTCATAGTGTTGAACAGTCTGAAAAGAGAGAGAGAAAAAGTTAAAGACTTAACTCTCAATCTAAGTACACAATAAAATAAATTCTAATACTATACACAAACCTGCAGTATTGCCTTTGAACATTCGTCTGCATTGGCATTCTCAAGAATTTTCACTGAAGCCACAAACAGTTGGGATGTAGGATTCTCTTTAGAGGGTAGCACCTTGAAGAGGGTTAGGAAAACCGCCTGGCCTCTCCTATTCGTTGTTTCGTCACACAGCACAACAATTTTCTTTCCCTTCACTTTATCTTTGAGATAATCGTCGTATTCTTCTTTCAAAAGGGGAACATATTTGTCTCGAAGCTGCTGAGCACTCGGCAAATCACCGGAACCTGAAAAGAGAGGGTAAAAAATAAATATACAGGGTTGTTTACTTGCAGTAGTTTGGAGGTTAGGTCCAGTTCAACCGGTACCAATACACATAACGACGAGTGTAAGCTCCTCGTTTTAGAAATATTTTACTCACCAGGAACGTATTTCTTGAACCACTTCCTCATTTCAGGCTTGTCAAGCTTTTCTAGTGGTATGTTAGCGTTAACAAACGCTCGCACTGTCGACTTAATGAACTCTTCTCTATCTTCCTTTACCTTCTTGGCGTTACTCATACTTTCCGAAATAGATGCCTGCCTTTTTTTCTTCGCAGCCGCCTCAGCCTCAACTTTTTTCCTGTTGTTTTTGTGCAAATCCGCCTTGATGTGATTGTCAATGGTGCTCTTGCGCTCATGGTCAACTCTCTTGTCGCAAAATTTGCACATCAAAAATTTCTTGTCAAACACGTACATACCATCATCATGATATGCAAGCGCCCTAGCTGCCGCTGTTGCAGGGGCCATTGTAATGTTGATGCGGCCGGCAAAGCCGTGCCCCCAAAACACCACCACAATATCAACAACACTTGCGTCTGTCCGCAAACTCACTCACTACTCGAAGTCCATAACCTCGTCGAACATGCTGGAACGGGCGAGAACGCGAGACGGGTGGAGGGGGCGGGGCGGGGCGGTGGACTGCGCGACGTGACGAGTAGAGAAGGCGCAGGAATCAAAGGGCGCGTATTTTTAAATCGGTGGCGCGTCAAAAGCTGTAAATCGGCGTATTTTACGGGATTTTGGAGGCCTCATAGGTAGTTTATGCGGGAAAACGTGACTTTATGCGCATAATATGCAAGTATGCGTTATGTTGCGTTTGTGCTTAAATTATGCGTCATTATGCGGTCTTGTTTCCGGTGTAGACCTACCTAAAACATGTTAAACTGTCTTTCTTTGGTCTTTTTCTCATACTTTAACAAAATATGCGATTATGCACGCGCATAATTTAGTGGTCTCTACTGGTTATTGAGCATCCTTCACCAAGTTCGAGCTGAACTGTGCAATCGTAATAAGCCCCTTTGTCCGTATTTGAAAGAAACACACTGGGTAGGGACCGGAGGGTGTAATCTGACGGGATGCATTTGGTCATTTTGGCAGCTGTCTTGGTGTTGTTTTTGAAGGACGAACTTCGCTTAAGTGAGGACGACGCCACCATCGTGTTCCACACCTTCAACATGACGTGCTACGCGTTCCCCATCGTCGGCGGCATCGTGGCGGACTCCTGGCTGGGCAAGTTCAGGCACGTCATTCAAACTTGAGTGTCTAATACGCACTATCAAACGCATGCCTGCAAGCACTCAAACGCATACCTGGCCAAGTGCACACTTTCAAATGCATGCTAGCCAACATATAAATTCATGCTGCCAAGTTTGCATTTTGCAAGTGTGTATACTTTGGCTAAGTATGCGCTTGGAGTTGTTTGCTTGCAAGCAAGAATTTGTGTGGACTAACTTAGTGGAGTTTCGTAGTAAGCCCTCCGTCGGGGCGAACGTAATCTGGACCTCCGGCCACTTGTTTTGATGAGAGACCGATGCATGCAAACTTGACAGTTGCCGAAAATCTAAATGTGTTCTAAGGTACAGTCTTTTGTAGTAGAAGTGCGTAGCTCGGTACACACCTTAGTGTGTAAGTACTCGGAACGCACTGTTTTCAGTGTGTGTACACAGAAAAGTCGTCGCAAGTAGTCCTACCTTGGACTCGCGTGTATCAGATACGACAGCAAAACTTGGACTATAACCCATTGTGTTCCTTGCAGGACCATCCTTTACCTTTCGCTGGTGTACGCCTTGGGGAACATCGTGCTGTCACTCTCAGCTTGGACTTCGCTCGGTCTGCCTGGGTTGTAAGTAAAGTGTGTCAAGTCAATTCGTGTCCATATTTGTTTACAACCTGCGTTAGAATTCAGTGTACCCAATAGATAGTTTGTCGAATTTTATGTTATCATGGAGAAAATCTTCATCACTGTATGGCGCGGTATGGCGAAACTTCTTCGCTTGATTCACCTGAAAGCCTCAGAAACTATTTTAGGCTTTTCAAAGAAACGCAGTTTGTTATGACAAAGTGTTTTGAGAATACATAAGCTTACAAATAAAATATTTCGTAAGTTACGAACTATTTCTTCGTATAACAAAGTAAATTAGTTTGTACTACACTCTACCAAAAATGTCCTGTAAATGCCGTTAATTTATTACCAGTTTTCACTGTAGGTCGATTCACAGCGTTTACTGTGATCTGCTCACGGGATTCACTGTGATCTTGTTCGCGGTGTTCACTGTGATCTGGTCCCCAGTAAACACTGTGAGTTTGACGCCGCTGAGCACCGAAGTACTGCAAATCAGGCTCCAATTCACGGCGTTTACTGTGGCCAGATCACAGTGAACACTGTAACCGAGATCACAGTGAACGCCGTGAACTAGTTCACAGCAAACGCCGTGAATTGCATAACAGCAAATGAGCAGTTCTCGCGAAATGGTTAATTTTGGGCCCTGAAACTTTTTGAAAAAAAGTTCAATTGAAACCGGGTTTTTTGCATTTATCTTGTTAAGAACATCACTAGGGATCATGGATTCATCGGGGCGAGCTATCACCCCAATAATATAGGAAATATCGCAATTTTAATTTTTTTGCCGTCCACGGAAATTACACAGCCTCAGAAACTGTCCACGGAAATTACATTTTAATGGGCCCTTAGAATAGGTGCGATACGAACGCAAACGCCTGGCAGTTTAGGCAGCTCCCTGCACATCTGTGCATTCTGGTTCCATGTTGCGTACCTCACAATAAAATTTCGGGCTAGACCACAATTTGATCGTATGCCGTTTCGGGCCCGACACATGCCCGCGTGCACTGCCAAACGGGACACGGCAGCCCTTACTGGGGTGCCACGTTATACTCGCGAAGAACCTCGTGCGGCTACAAGGTCCCACTCGTAGTGTGACCAGTATGTGACGAGGTGTACATTCCGCCGCCCCATGGGGGGGGGGCACCCTAGTACAGCCTCTTTGAGCAGGACTGGGTCCGGTGTCCACCTCTCCCGGCTTAATTCCCTTGTCTCGGGAACAACTGTGAATTCATTTTCTTCTGACCACGGTTGCATAGTGTTTACCTCCCAGGCGGTACCTCTCACACTTGGCAAATGATGGGCCCTAGAGTGGACAACGGAGGAAAGTTTCTCTTGATCAGTTCCTGCGTGTCTATGTTCGGAAGATATTAAATAATGGGTGCGATCAGTTGAGGAAAAGTTGATCGGCGGGTCGAGACAGCGGCCCGCTCGCGGTGCGGTCTATTTAGCCCTCCTGGAAGCATATCTGGCACCCACGTTTACTAACCTATTCGGAAAGATTTCTTTTTGAGTTTGAGGAACAGATTGCTGCAATTTATTCGATAAACTGGGTCTTAGCATTCAAACGGAAAGCTTAGGAAAAACGTCATGTTGCTTAACATATCGGTCAGGTTAAGTCCACCGCAAGTCTTAAATGGTCAGCTAGATCCCAAAATACAGCGAGCCTATTTTTCGCAAGACATTAAGCTTTCGGTTAAGCTTTCCGATCTGAATAATCAACGTTGAACGGTTTCACTGACTCGCAGTCACAACTGTCAAGGCAGTATGCCGGCCGCGCCGAACAAAGCAGCATAAAACCGCTTGGTTGTCCAGAAAATACAGTGTTTGACCAATCTGATGAGTGGAGTCGAAAGCTTAGACTCTTCCAAAAAGTCGGCTCGCTGCTCGTTTGGGTCCATTTTGTGACTTGCGGCGGGTTTGACCTGATGGATGTTGTGTTAAACTACGCCACGACTTTCCTCAGCTTGCCTTCCCATTCCCCATGCCCATTTCCCTCCAGGATGGCATTCCCTCCATAAGAGAGGTTTAAAACAGAAAAATATCGACATACTTTAGAGCTGAGGCCCCTTGCGAGGCCAAAATCACGTGAAACGCAACGAAAACCTCATTTTGTCCACGGAAATTACAGTCCACGGAAATTACATTATTGCATAAAATGGGGTGTACAAGCCAAACCAGAAGTGCCACCGGAACCAAAATTTTACTGGAACAACTTGTCCACAAGGCAAACACACAAGGATTGGTTCGCAATCAAAATTTTGAATGGTCTGCAAGCAATGGGTGGAACGGAAATTACACTTATTGCTTGCTAGGCCAATTTTTTCGCCGCTTTGGAACTTATTTAACTTTATATTTTCCGTTCTAATGGTGCCACATTACTCCTCCACTTTGCAAATTGTGTAGAAAGAATGCACCAACAATATGAGAAAAGTTTCAGAACGGTCGCACATAAGGTAGAAAAACCGTCCCAAAAAAACCGATTTTAGACTTTTTGAATTTTAGTTGTGGAAGACAATTTTCGGAATCATCTTGTGTCTGCAAATTTTACCCGAGAGATACGTTCTACACGTCAAAACGTAGCCTCACTTGCGTAGAACAAAATGCACTTAGCGAAAGTGATTTCTCATACTCCCTTGGGCTGTAGTAGAGGCGGGAAGCCCCAAATCTGGAGCGTAGGACATCAAAAAGTGTCCACGGAAATTACATTCTAGGGTAAAACTTGCAATTTAACGGTGGAAGGAGGCCAAATTTCATCTTGATGAGAGTTGTACCTTGTCCGCAAGGTCAAAAAACATAAAGGTAGGAAAAGACCCGGTTAAAATCGACTTTAGGTTGGAAGAACCAGAGAGAGGACACGAAATTATCACATCTCGCGAGAACTGCTCAAATATTGGTATTAAATTAACGGCGTTGACAGGACATTTTTTGTAGAGTGTATGAATGCTCAAAATACTTCGTAAGGTTTGATGCGTGTTCAAGAGTACAACTACCAAGTGTCCCGCGTTTGTAAGCATACACTGTGGCAAAACGGTACGGCAAATTCTGTTAATTTTTTTGCCTGGATTATCCGTAGCCCTCTTATCAATATTCTCCGTAGGATCTTACAGTGTTCTCCGTAGGGCCGTACAGTCTTCTCCGTAGGACCTGGAAGACTGTATCGTCCTACGGAGATGACTGTATGGTCCTACGGAGAATACTGTAAGAGCCTACGGGGAATATTGACAAGGGCGCTACGGAGAATTACCACAAGCTGTTCACAGAATTTCCCGTAGCTTTTTTGCCACAGTGTACGATGTATGTCCCACGTTAGTGCATACCTGCACGGACGTCCTTGCAAGGACTAAGGGCTCCCCTTCCTTCCAGCCCCTTGACGTGCGTGGGCCTGCTGCTCATCGCCGCCGGCACTGGCGGCATCAAGCCCTGCGTGTGCTCCTTCGGCGGCGACCAGTTCCTGCTGCCGCAGCAGCGCCGCCAGCTGGAGGCCTTCTTCCGGCTCTTCTACTTCGCAGTCAACGTGGGCGTCACGCTGGCCGGGCTGGTGACGCCGCTGCTGCGCACCACGCCCTGCCTCGGCCACGACACGTGCTTCCCCGCCGCCTTCGGCCTGCCCGCCGCGCTCATGGTGTTTTTCTGCGGTGGGTGCGCAGTGGGCCAGAAGACCGGTGTGGAGGAGGCCAACTCTAGACACGTTTTGAGCTCTAAATAGGTGTCGAACGGAGCGTGTGACCATACTAATGGATTGCTCTCCGAACGAGGAATCCATTGGTAGGGTCACACGTTCGGTTCGAGTCCCATTTCACTGGTTTTTTGACAAAGGGGCGTAAGTCCACAAATTGGCAAAATCCACTTTTTTCCAGAAAAGACTTTAAAATTAAATAACAAGCCTACTGGTTTTCGAAAAATGAAAATATCTCAATTAGTTCAGAAGATAGAGAAGGTGTCCAAAGGGCGTAAGTCCATTGCATTTTTGACAAAGGGGCGTAAGTCCACCTGTGTTTTGACAAAGAGGCGTAAGTCCAGGTGGATTTTTGACAAAGAGGCGTAAGTCCAGGTGGTATTTTGACAAAGAGGCGTAAGTCCAGGTGGTTTTTTGACAAATAGGCGTAAGTCCAGGTGGGTTTTTGACAAAGAGGCGTAAGTCCATTGGCCATTCTGACAAAGAGGCGTAAGTCCACAGGCCATTTTGACAAACAGGCGTAAGTCCATGGGTCATTCTGACAAACAGGCGTAAGTCCATAGAGCATTCTGACAATCAGGGGTAAGTCCATGGGCCTTAAGTCGTAAGTCCGTGGCGTAAGTCCACAGACCATCCCAATTAACCAACCACTCATGAGGTCACTGAGTGGTTTGCAACTTGCGAACACTTCCAATCAAATAATAATGACTACAGCGCAAACCTAACTGTCTACTAAGTACACACTTAAAAATTCATGCTTCCAAGTACACATAAACGCATGCTTGGCCAAGTACATACTTACAAATGCATGCTTGCAAGTACACACTAACAGACGCATCCCTGGCGCCGTATAACTCCATGCGTCAAGCATGCGTTTGTAAGTGTGGACTTGCAAGCATGCATTTGTAAGTGTGTACTTAGTAGACAGTTAGGTTTGAAGTGTAACGTGTCCTCTCATCCCAATCGCATCAGGCTTACAATACGTATTTCAGAACGGACTCTTACATCTTTGCGAGGATCAACAGATTTAAAAGAGCAGCATTCTTCCTCACCGGAGTCCGATGAAGATGGTGATTGGCGCATTAATCTTCTGCCGCAGGGGAGAACTTGGACTCATCCATGCTGATAACCTCCATGTAGCACACTCTGTGTTGGGCCCACGACTTTTAGGCCAAGTGCTGCCTAAGAAGACAAATGCCCCATTCACCATCGTCATCGGACTCTGGTTTCACCACCGTCATCGGACTCAGGTGACGAAGAATGCTGGTCTTTTAGATCTGATGCCCCTTGCAAATATTTTAGAGTCCGTTTTGAGATGTATTGTTAGCCTAATGGGATTGAGATGAGAGGAACCATTAGTCATTTTTATTTGAATAGAACAGTGTTGACATGTTGCAAACCACTCTGTGACCTCATGAGTGGACATTCGCCATTTTCACCACATTAGCTGTGGACATTCGTAAGTGGTTAATTATAAATCATAACTAGTTTATCGGGATAGTCTGTGGACTTACGCCTGTTTGTCAGAATGCTCTATGGACTTACGCCTGTTTGTCAGAATGGCCTATGGACTTACGCCTGTTTGTCAGAATGGCCTATGGACTTACGCCTCTTTGTCAGAACGGCTAATGGACTTACGCCTCTTTGTCAAAAATCCACCTGGACTTACGCCTCTTTGTCAAAAAACCTCCTGGACTTACGCCTCTTTGTCAAAAATCCACCTGGACTTACGCCTCTTTGTCAAAAATCCACCTGGACTTACGCCTCTTTGTCAAAAATCCACCTGGACTTACGCCTCTTTGTCAAAAATCACACCTCATTTTGAAGGGTTTTTCTAACATTGCAGGAGTTACAGAAGAGTTACACACATGAGATTTTTACCAAAAGATGCACACTTTCTCAAAGAATTTGTCACAAAAATTTGAGTGTTGTGTGGGAATTTATAGATCTTAAGAGCTAAAAACAGTATGTTTTTTGGCCGTCCTGAAAAATTTGGTTCAGTGGACTTACGCCTCTTTGTCAAAAAACCAGTGATTTAGCGACTCTGGAACTGAAAACGTGTCTGGAGTTTTTGCCGCCTCCGCCGGTCCTCTGGCCCACTGTGAGGTGGCCACCGCACTGTCAAACTTTGTAGTTACTTTAAGACGAAAATGTGGATGATATTTTCGTCACTTTGAAATGATGACGATCTCTTCACAAATTGACGACGTTTTCATCAAAGCTCCTATACCTATATGGTCGTGACAACAATGTCATCAATCGATTTGATGACATTATTGTAAGGAAAATTAGACTGGAAATTGTCATCAAGTGACGACTCAAATTTCAACAGTGCGCACTGCACTCCCCCATTTTCCTACTGAGAAATGCCGTGCAGTCGTAATACTAAGCAAGTTCTCAGTACTATACGATTCAGGCCACTCATAAAAACGGAGACATTTGTTCGTAATATGAAGAGATTGGTCACAATACGCTCAGCACGCTACTGACTATCAATTTTTCAGAATTATGCAAGTAATTTATGCAAACATGCCAGCGCAAGGGAAATATTTTTTTAAAAAAAGGAGGGGGCGGAGATAGGTTTTAAGCATGAACTTTACCTTTGTGTTACTAATGTGTCTGTGTGTTTGCTTACAGGCGTCTTCGTAGCGGGCAGGCCCATGTACATCATGAAGAAGCCTGAGGGGAACGTCCTGGTCCAAGTCTGCAAGTGCATTTCGGTGAGCATTAACCTAAAAGGGAGTCCCTGCGAAAAAGTGTCACGGCACAATGGAGCGTTGACTCTCATGGGAGCGAGTCAACCTAGTTGACGCTTATAACAGTCTGAGAGCAAAATCAACTAAGACGGACCACTTCTTCCGGTGACCCTCTCCGATTTGCCTAATTTTTTGTAGGCTTAGGAACTAACTAAAGGAGAGTCTAAAGCCAAAATATTAGGTCTGGCAAAAATTTATTGCCCGAGATATGGACAACTTTAGTTTAACTTTTGGAGAAAAAACACGAATTTGGGTATTTTGGACTTATTTTACAATTTTCATAGTAGACGGCTAAAATTTGGTCACTTTATATAAAATTGGCCAAGGAACAAGAATATGACCTCAGATTTGACCGCCGACGAATGCCTGAAGAGTAAACCCCCCAAAACACCCTAAAAACACATAAAAAACAGTTTTTTCTTGGGGTTTCTGGAAAAAATATGTGGACAAAAATTTCTAATGATTTTATCTTGTAGAAAATGACGTGATGAATCGAATGAGACCACGCGCAGATTTTTATGTCAAACCGCTTAGGAAATATAGCGGTTCAAAGTATGAAAATTTTGCCATTTATTTTTTTAAAAAATGCAGATTTTGAGCATTGTTTCACGTTTTTTGCCTCCTTGGTGCGTGTGGGTCTTCTTATCCTGTGGAAAAAGACGCGCTGAATCGAATGAGACCACGCACAGAGTTGTATCTCGAACCGTTTAGGAGATATAGTGGTTTAACTCGCGCTGCTCGCTGGGGGCTCCGCCCCCAGACCCCCGCATGTGTGGAGCGCGTGCCGAAGTATTTTCAGTAAGTCCATGGTGACCAAAGGCAAATTTTCTAAGGAGGTAAATGTCCTGCTTCTTTGAAAGCTCTATTTAACCGCTTTTGACCATATAATAAGGCTACTTTTACTGCCCAAATAGATAGCTTGTATTGCATTGGCTACTGTGGCAGTCAATGGGTGCACACAAGGTCCGGAAAATATTGAAGACAGCTTTGACAAGGATAGAGGTGAAAGGAAAAAAACCTAAGGTCTCTACGACCACTCCTTGACCCCAAACATTTCTTTGAGTGAGTAAGTGAGTGAGTCAGTCAGTCAGTCGGATTGGGGCTATAATGATTCTTGATGATGATTGCCCAATTGCCGGTGGCGGGGTCCCGATTACGGCACAGTTTCGGAAATTCTCGACCAGACCTACCGATGGGGCGAATAAAAATTTTTAGTCATTCGGTCCCCTTTTTAGAAGATTGAGTAGGTTTGCTCGGAAACAGTGAAAAATTTTTAACTTTTGAGATTATTCTCAATTTTCCCATTAAATTTGGAATCGAATGGAAAAACCCGCAGGTCTCTACGACCACTCCTTGACCCCAAACATTTCTATGAGTGAGTAAGTCAGTCAGTGAGTCAGTCAGTCAGTCGGATTGGGGCTATATAGGTTCTTGATTGATGAGTGAGGGAGTCAGTCGGATTTTGGGGCTTTACAGGTTCTTGATGACAATTGATGATTGATTTTGAGTATGTTGCCGGTGACGGGGACCCGATTGCGGCACAGTTTTGGAAATGTCTCGACCAGACCTACCGATAGGGCGAATAAAAATTTTTAGTCGGTCGGTCCCCTTTTTTGAAGATTGAGTGGATTTTTTTAAATTTAGGCCTATTTAATCTTTTTTGAGGATGTTGCCGGTGACGGGAACCCGATTGCGGAACAGTTTCGAAAATGTCTCGACCAGACCTACCGATGGGGCGAATAAAAATTTTTAGTCGGTCGGTCCCCTTTTATGAAGATTGAGTGGATTTTGTTGAATTTAGGCCTATTTAATCGTTTTGAGGATGTTGCCGGTGACGGGGACCCGATTGCGGCACAGTTTCGGAAATGTCTCGACCAGACCTACCGATAGGGCGAATAAAAATTTTCAGTCGGTCGGTCCCCTTTTTTGAAGATTGAGTGGATTTTGTTGAATTTAGGCCTATTTTATCGTTTTGAGGATGTTGCCGGTGACGGGGACCCGATTGCGGCACAGTTTCGGAAATGTCTCGACCAGACCTACCGATAGGACGAATAAAAATTTTTAGTCGGTCGGTCCCCTTTTTTGAAGATTGAGTGGATTTTTTTAAATTTAGGCCTATTTAATCTTTTTTGAGGATGTTGCCGGTGACGGGAACCCGATTGCGGAACAGTTTCGAAAATGTCTCGACCAGACCTACCGATGGGGCGAATAAAAATTTTTAGTCGGTCGGTCCCCTTTTATGAAGATTGAGTGGATTTTGTTGAATTTAGGCCTATTTAATCGTTTTGAGGATGTTGCCGGTGACGGGGACCCGATTGCGGCACAGTTTCGGAAATGTCTCGACCAGACCTACCGATAGGACGAATAAAAATTTTCAGTCGGTCGGTCCCCTTTTTTGAAGATTGAGTGGATTTTGTTGAATTTAGGCCTATTTAATCGTTTTTGGAGGATGTTGCCAGTGACGGAGACCCGATTGCGGCACAGTTTCGGAAATATCTCGACCAGACCTACCGATGAGGCGAATAAAATTTTTTAGTCGGTCGGTCCCCTTTTTTGAAGATTGAGTAGGTTTGCTCGGAAACGGTGAGAAATTTGTTCCCCTTTTTTGAAGATAAAGTAGGTTTTCTCGGAAACGGTGAGGAATTTTCAACTTTTGGGATTTTTCCCAATTTTCCCATAAAATTTGGAATTGAATGGAAAAAACCGCAAGTCTCTACGACCACTCCTTCACCCCAAACATTTCTATGAGTGAGTGAGTGAGTGAGTGAGTGAGTCAGTGAGTCAGTGAGTCAGTCGGATTGGGGCTTTATAGGTTCTTGAAGTATTGAAGTATGGGCACGGGAGAGCTCCTGCAAACACCCGACAAGGCAGAGCCGCCAAACACGCCTGTTAGGCGTCAACCCGCGTTGACGGTACGCTTTTTAGTTTGTAAAGTGGCCAGTGATTTCCTTGGACGAACCTGACTCTGCTTTCATGGCATAAAAGGTGCCTGGTCTTCTCAGAAACCGATTCGAAATTGCCTGGGCCTTCAATATAGACTCCGATAGTGAAAGCCAGGTAGCTGTTTCTCACCGCGTTGTTCCGAATCCGCTCTTAAAGCCCTTGAGGTCCGGTGCACTGGTTGCTGTCTGTCTAACGCACTTCTTCCTGACCTGCAGAGGGGCCTGTGGCGCCGAGTGCGGCACGGCCGTTCGACTGGGTCCCACTGGCTGGACTCTGCCGGCCCGGACAGCCTGGTGGCCGACATCAAGGTGCTGCTGAGCCTGCTGGTGCTGGCCCTGCCGCTGCCCGTCTTCTGGGCCCTTTTCGACATGATCGGATCGCGATGGACGTTTCAGGTGAACAGGGGCTTTAAAGACTGCACTGACACACTTTAGTAAGAGATTCTCCCTTCTCGTCATTGGTCTGCACGATCGCCTACCTGTATTAGTAAGTCTCAAAGCACGCGTAAAACCGTTCGAAGAATATTGATCATGCAAGAAAGGAACAAAGTGTTTACTTTGTGAAACAAAGTGTTTACTTTGTGAAACAAAGTATATACTTTGTGAAACGAAAAATTAGTTCTTTAATCACGAAATATTTCCTTTCTGAGGTTATGTATTATGTATGGTGAAAATACTTTTTTATAACATGATTCTTCGTTTATGCGGCTCAAAAGAGATTGCAAGGTTTTGATAGTCTAAATATGGGGCGTCCAACATTTTTCCTAGCCCGGAGGTGTTCGTTTCTTCCTCGCACTGACCCTATTGTCACCCTTTTTGTCGGCTGCAGGCGGTTCTGACCTGAAATTTTGCAGTCTGAAAACCTTACAAACCATTTCAGGCATTGCAAAGAAAAGTAGCTTGATATATCAGTGTGTTTAGAGCATACATAAGCCGAGGGGTCGTCAACTCACATCGCGCTTGCACTGCAAACCTAACTGTGTACTAAGTACACACTTACAAATGCATGCTTGCAAGTACACACTTACAAACGCATGCTTGACGCATGGAGTTATACGGCGTCAAGCATGCGTTTGTAGTGTACTTGCAAGCATGCATTTGTAAGTGTGTACTTGCCAAGCATGCGTTTGTAAGTGTGTACTTGCAAGCATGCATTTGTAAGTGTGTACTTGGCCAAGCATGCGTTTGCAAGTGTGTACTTGCAGGCATGCATTTGTAAGTGTGTACTTAGTAGACAGTTAGGTTTGTAGTGTGTACGAAAAAATATAGTAATAGATGGTAATATTCATCCCATATTACCGTTTTTAGGCCGATTTTTCATGCTAGTAATGCTCTAAGTAGCCTAGTAATATTTATAGACTTTTAGCGGTAATATAAGAGTAATATACAAGTAATATACAGCCTGTGTACGAAGTAACATGCAAGTTGACGACCCCTCGACATAAGCTCTCAAAGAAAATAATTCGTAATTTACTTACGGGCTATTTCTTCGTACAACAAACTAAACACTTTGTACCTTTACGTATGCTCAAAATACTTGGTAACGTCGTGTGGGATCTGCCAGATTGTCTAACTGGGCGACCCCCTTCGTTTCCCCGCCCCGGCAGGCCGTGCAGTTGAACGGCGACCTGGGCGGCGGCGTCACCCTGCGGCCGGACCAGATGCAGCTGGCCCTGGGCCTGTGGGTGATGACGCTGATCGCCGTCTTCGAGGTGGCCGTCAACCCGCTGCTGGCCCGCGCGCGCCTCCTGGACACGCCGCTGCAGCGCATGACGGTCGGGGGGCTCATGGCGGCCGTGTCGTTCCTCTGCGCCGCCGTGCTGCAAATCTACGTCGACAGGCTGGAAGAGGTCGGGGGGCAGGTGAGTTCAGTTTCCGGCCCTCCGTTGGTCGACCCAGGGCTTATTACGCCGAAAATAAGGTTTCGAGCGACATTTGGCTTGAAGCTAGGCCAGGGGTAGGGTAATTTTACCGCTCAAATATGTCCTCAAATATGTCACACCGTCGAGGGTTTATCTCGTGTGATGATTGAATTTGTACAACGATATTACTCCTCGATTACTATTTCATCGGCAATACATTATTCGTAAAAATTTAATTCATGAAATTTAACAAGTTAATCGTTTTATTTCTACATTGCCATTTCTGTCTTTTCAGGCGCACGTGCTTTGGCAGATTCCGCAGTACTTCTTCATGGCTTTGGGCGAAGTCTGGTTTGCCATAGGAGTGCTGGAATTCGGCTATAAAGAAGTAAGCTGTATTCTTACAACGAATCGTCATTTCACAAGCTTATAATTTGCATGCATAGTATATAGACGCCCCCATCGGTTGAGTTGAAATCTATGTTTGGAGCAGGGCGTGCTGACTCAACATCTTTTGTGACCTTTGAAAATTTATTTCGTAAACAGCTTGTATTTCAAAAGTTACGCATGAAGCAATTGAAGTCCAAAATGAAACTTTAAATTGCCATGTGCATAACTTTTTATCCCCATCTGTTTACGAAATATGGGCATCGGAAATCCGAATGAATGTTCAGTTAGCACTCACTGGTTTGGACGTGCTCTGGCCTTAAATAGATCATAGGAGGCCATAATGAAAATATAGTGGAGTGCCAAATCTGCAAGCATGCTTTTCTGATAGCTTTGGAAGTGCACTGTTAAAAATAGTCGTAAATTTACGACATTTTGTAGAACAATTATGTCGTTTTAAAACGACATATTTTGTTACGACTCAAGTCGTAAATATACGACTTGAGTCGTAAATTTACGACATATTTGTCGCTAATTTTGATAGCGAGACGTTCCGTTTTGAAACGAATTACGTCGTAAATTTACAACTTAATCGTTAGTTTACGAATGATCGTAATTTATCTATTGAGTATGTCTTGCAGTTATGACTTCAGTCGTACATTTACGAATCTTGTCGTAAATTTGTGTAAAGAATCGTAAATGAACGACACAAATCGTAAATAAGCGAGCAAAATTGCAACTTTTCATCAACTTTTCGGGGATTTCAGATTTCAAAATATGTTATCGCGATTACGACATTGTCGTACAGAAATGATTATTTTGTCGTTCAGTTACCGTAGAACGGGGTAATATGAGACATGAAGGAAAATCGAGACAACGCGCACTTTTTTCGGTTTTTGTCGTGTTGCTCTCTAGCGGTTGTTCAGAAGACTACCGTGAATTTTTTTTCGTGATCTAGGAGGCCGTGGCAGCTCACAGGAAACGCACGGAGGCTATCAGAGACTCGCCAGGGTTATTTAGAACCAAAGGAAAAACCTCTTAATTTAAACAAGTTTTATAAAGTTCGTAAAAACCTCCCCAGAAACCTCGGTTAGAACTTGGGTTCTCGTCTGAACGAGGTTTAAATCTGTAGGCAATTATGTCCACATAATCAGGACAAAATTTGGTTCCGTTATGTCTACTCTCGGGCTGCCTGTTCCAGATGGAATACAATTTTGTTACCTTGCAGAGAAAATAGAGACACCTCTTTTCGCTTGAAATATGAGGCCAAACATACTCCACTGTTAATAATTTTAAGTAATAATGATTTTAACACGAATTTGTTTTACTACCTGACCGGCATCTATGCTCTTCGCTTAGTATTTTCATGTGACAGGCACAACTCATGACTTCTTATACATTTTTGAGCTCTCTTTAGTGACACCCATCTTTCTCCCCTCCAGATTTTATATCGTCTCCATTATAGGTTCCAATCATCTTAAAAATGAATGAAAAGAATTCAAAAAGCTCAAAACCCGCCTAACTGATTTAATTCTCCATACTTCTTTAACATTTCTTTCTTTTGTCTCATATTACCCCACATTGCAGGGAAATATGGGACGGCATTCCGAGGGTTATTGAAAGGTCCCTACTGCACCTAAAAATCTGAAATTTGGTGGGAGTGTAGCCAAAGGGTCAATGAACAAGTGATGAACACCTCAGTACCTCAAAATGAAATTGAAAGGGGGAAATTCACGAAAAACCTCGAAATTTGTCTCATATTACCCCGTTCTACGGTACGACGAAGTAGTTTCAGAACGATTCTTGTCGCTATCAAAATTAGCGACGTTTTTGTCGCTAATTTACGACAAAATTTCTGACAGTGTGCAAATGAAATATTCGTTCTAACCAGTCAATATTCCAATTTTCTGATATTGCTCTAAGCTTGTCTTGATCTTTGTCTTAGGCACCGCTCTCAATGAAGTCAACCATTCAAGCTGTGTTCTTGCTCACTACATCCATTGGTGACACCATAGTCATTATAGTCACCAGTGCTAGTTTGTTTGCGAGCCGAGTAAGAAGGTTTTCTGTTACCTATCTTCGAAAAAAAATTTTTTTTACCTCACTGCAGTTTTGTTTTTTGCAAAAAAAATTGCCAAAAATATTTTTTGTTTCAGACTACTGAGTTCTTCGTGTACGCTGGCCTCATGGCGGCGGTCATGGCCGTGTTCATGGTGCTCGCCTCACGGTACACGTACGTGGGGCAGCCCTGCACACCGGCGAAGCAGCGGGCCAGTTTCGGTGCCAAACGACAAGTGAAGGGAAGTGACAGTGCAATGACAGTGGAATCGTAGTGGCGTTTTTAACTGAGTTTATTGCAGCTTTCACACTGTTTCTTCCATGATTGTGAGGTCACAGTCATCGTGTGGTTGCAATCAGCAACGGCCGCTCTGGACAGCGAGATCAGTGGCCCTTGCTGATCTGGCCGTTGACGTACTGAACGGCCTTGTCGAAGTAGATGCCGGCCTTCTTCTTGATAGCCGCGACCACCTGAGGAGCCTTCTTTTGCCACTCCGCGCCAAACTTCTGCTTCAGCGCCTGCAGTTTGGGCACGACGGTCTTGTGCCATTGCTCCTGTGTGTCACCAATCGATAATGAATGAGAATCCTATTTATCTGTTGGGTTTAAATTTGACAAGAGGATTCGGCTTTCTACAAACCCCAAGCTTGGCCTTTTCGTTGTGGGCCCACTGCTTCAACTGCGCCCCTTTCCTGTGGGCCCACTCCCTAACATGGTGTTGGCGACCCGGTTGGGCACCTTGCGGGGGATTACCAGCGACAACGGCCTGGGAGGACAAACAAATTGTTCACAAATTCGGCCCGCATTACTAACGAGTTTCTTTGTAAAATTGCGAACATTTAGTTCATGGCGTTGTGGGCGAATTTGTACGTAGTGCGAACCAAGTTACACCGAGTAACCAAGCATTACAACCTACACACAAAATCTATGTGTGTACTCAGTACACACTTCTAGGTGCGTGCTTACAAGCATGCACTTCGAGGTGTGTACTTGCCTAAGCACGCACCTAGAAGTCTGTACTTGAATAGTACACACTTTAAAGTGAGTACTCAGTGGTACACACTTGCGAGGTGCATGCGCTGCATAGGGAAAACGCATGCTCTTCTATGTGTGTACTCACTGAGTACACACTTCTAGGTGCGTGCTTAGCCAAGTACACACCTCGAAGTGCATGCTTGTCAGCACGCACCTAGACGTGTGTACTGAGTACACACATAGATTTTGTGTGTAGTTCTTCGCACTTTAAGGTGGAGCGTAGATGAAAAAGCAGCTAAAAATGCCAAAGTAAAAAATAATTTGCCTACATTGTTTTGAAGGAATCCGAAGTACCTGAGTTATGACTCTTTTTAAGTTAAAGTTGAATGGATTAATAAACATCGAACAAGCACAAACAAAGTTGAAGTATGCCGTTAGCTTTTAGCTGTCGTAAACTGACAACAATAAGTGTTTCCTCTCCAGAGGAATTCTGCATAACAGCTTTGATTTCATTGCTCTCATTTTTGGCGCCTGAACTGTCTAGGATAGTTGTCTACAAAGTTACATAACAATCGAGATAACAATATTGGCGGCATTGGCCAATGTTCTGGAGTAAAAATACTCTATCTATGTGTGTACTCAGTACACTCCTCGAGTCGCGTGCTGACAAGCATGCACTTCGAGGCGTGTACTTGCCTAAGCACGCACCTAGAAGTGTGTACTTGAATGAGTACACACATAGAGGTGCATGCTTTTTCCCTATGCAGCGCATGCATCTCTTAAGTGTGTACTCACTGAGTACACACTTTAAAGTGTGAACTCATTCAAGTACACACTTCTAGGTGCGTGCTTAGGCAAGTACACGCCTCGAAATGCATGCTTGTCAGCACGCGACTCGAGGAGTGTACTGAGTACACACATAAATTTTGTGTGTAATTTTGTGTGTACTAAAATGGAACTCTGCTGACGGGACTCAACTCACCGCGATGGCGGCGAGGGCGAGGGCGATGAGGCAGAGGCGAGACATTTTCGGCAGCAGCTGTCAGTGGACGCTCGCTGGGCGCGGCGCGTAGCTTCTTAAAGGCGGTGCGTCGTGACCCGAATGCGTTTAATTGCCTTTGCGTGTTTGGCAAGTCACGGATCGGCCATAGAGCAGAGCACGACGGACGTCACAAACAAGCACATGAAGTCAGAATAAGAACAGCCGAGAAGAAGATGATCGAATAACGCAAACGCATCGTAGTGATAAGCACGATTTTCGAGGTAAAAAGAAAATCCTTTGAGGGGGAATATTACAAACTAAATTCTTGTGGACTCTTTTTCATGCACAATTATGCATACACATATACGTACGTTAGGTGTGCATAATATCATGCATTACTGTGTACATTTTATGCAGGAAAGTGCATAATATTACCCACACCTTCGGTTATGAGTCTGTGCAAGCATGATCATGCATAATAAGTGCATACTTATGCATTGAAAAAGTCCTCAGGAGTTAAGTGTGTCGTAGGGGCGCTTACGATCAGTTCGGCCTCCTTTGAGGGTAGTGTTACGCCTTAGTTTACCAATGAAACTCAACTGTGTTCAAAGAGACACCCTGTTGACACCATCAGCATCGAGAGTGGGAACTATTGCTCCACTAACCCATCAATGTCCTGCGCGTGGTGAACTGAACGTGCAAGTGTACGTTCATGCTTCATTTACACTGTTAAAGTTTCCTGTCACGTTACGTCAGCAATCCACTAATGGGCATTTGACCACGAATTGCCATTGCAGGACTTTGACAACGTTCCGTGGCATACTTTAAGGGGGGACCCTGGTGAAACTTTCAAGTAGGCTTCAAAATAATCCCAGGAAGTTGAAACTTTGCTTAATTATTAGGTTCATTATGGTGAGTTCCCAAAACAAAATTCAATTCAAAATGTTGAACGGTCTCTGAGAAAAGTGGCTTTTTTGTGTTTTTTGGAGCGTTGGGGAAAAATCTTCCTGCGTCTTTCATTGGGACGGAAAGTCTTGAAATTTTTTTTGGGTTATCCTAAAGATGTATAGAAGAGATTTTAGTGACGGAATTTTCAAATTCAACTTCTGTCCTGAGATATGAGTTTTCAAATTTTCACATTAAAAAAAAGGGATTTTTTTCCCTTTTTTCAAACTTTTAGGTGTGTTTAAAAAAAAAAGTAGGGCTGATATCAAGATTCCATCACTAAAATATGTCGACAAGTCATCAATGAATAGAGTCCATGCAAGACGACTCATGTCGGTGTCAACCAGGAACGCAGGAAGTCTTTCTACGACCAAATTTTTTGTCGACTGAGCAAAGCTGTGAAGTTGAGCGTAGAAGCCAACGACAGCTGATCTCAATGTTATTTTCTTCCAAATGATAAAGAAACTACCCACTTAGCTTAAAGGTGTTCAACCTGTTGAGTCTGAAACCTTCTATGCACATTTTTATCTATGAACTTTGAAAATACAATTTATTGGAATTTTGGCGGTTTTTTCACCAGGGTCCCCCCTTAATAAATTAAGCCTTAATTGTTTATGTTGCAAACTTTGTGCATGGAAACAAGATGATTTTACTGGTGAAACTGCAGCCAATTGTAACTGCTGACTTTGAGGGAGTGGACATTGAAGGAGTAATGTGGAAAAGGAAAGCAGGCACTCGGAATTCATCAACACTTCATTCATCAACAATTCATCAACAAATTACAAGACGGTGACCATTGGTATGGGTGTAAAGTTCATTGCTGCAAGTGATTTATCCAATCAATTCTTTATTTTACTGTTTTTTTATAAATCAATGCAACATGATTCGGAGATTTCCATAAATGGTGGGAAGAATCAGTGGATTTTTTTTCAGTGGTGTGAAATAAATACTAGTTTGTTTTCAACACACATGCGCACAAGAACGTCAAGTGATGACGCGATACAAAGTACTAAACCAACACAAAAACGTGCCGACGTATGACATCACACACACACACACACACACACTTACAATAGCGGACAGGCAAAGGAAAGCCAACGACTTGAGAAAGAAAGAATGTGGTTGTCACGAAGGCGGATGCCGTAAAGACGTCAGGTGACGTTTAAGGTGTGATTTCAGTTGATCCACTCGGCTAAATTCTTTGTTGCAAACAGTGCATTGCATACGGGGCTCCCCAGTATGAGCCTTTAGGTGTCTACGGAGGCCGCTAGCAGCAGTGAACCTGTTATTGCAAACGACGCATTCGAAGGCCTCACTGAGAGTCCAAACGCTATGTGTATAGCGTCAATTGGTGCAATGCAAAAGCATTGCACATGAAGTGCAATGCCTTCTTATTCCCATGCATTAGCTTAGGGCATTTTTGGGACGTATTGCACGTAAGGTGCAATATGGTTGTCGTATTGCACGTGTGGTGCGATATCTCAGCTGCATTGCACTGTTAGAAATTCTGTCGTAAATTAGCGACAAAAAAGTCGCTAATTTTCATAGCGACGGAAATCGTCCTTAAACTACTTCGTCGTAACTGAACGACTAAAACATCATTTCTCTACGACAATGTCGTAATCACGATTACATATTTTGACACCTGAAATCCCCGAAAAGTTGGTGAAAAGTTACAATTTTGCTTACTTATTTACGATTTGTGTCGTCATTTACGATTCAAAACACAAATTTACGACAAGAGTCGTAAATGTACGACTGAAGTCATAACTGCACGACATATTCCAAAGATAATTTACGATTGTTCGTAAACTTACGATTAAGTCGTAAATTTACGACTTAATTCGTTTGAAAACGAAACGTGTCGCTATAAAAATTAGCGACAAATATGTCGTACATTTACGACTCAGGTCGTATATTTACGACTTGAGTCGTAACAAAATATGTCGTTTAGAAACGACATAATTGTTCTACAAAATGTCGTAAATTTACGATTATTTTTAACAGTGTGCACCATACGTGCTATACTCATAGCGTTTGGAATCTCAGTGCTTCTCCCTAGAATGGATTGCAGCATGACCTCGTAGACCACGTCGTTCGCTAAAGGCTTTGTTGCAAATGGTGCACTTGAAAGGCCTCTCCGCTGAGTGAATGCTCAGATGGCTTTTTAAACTACTTTTTGCAGAGCAACGTAAAGTTATATCGCTATTCCTATCGCTATTTTCCAGAAGGTACCTGGTGGCGAGGCTAGCGCGCTCTCCTATGAGAAATTAGGTGTGGAGGGGGGGAGGGGAGGAGAGGAGGGGGAAGGGGAGGACAGAGGCATGTTAAGCTGTCATTTCAATAATATAAATCACTTTCTCCATCCATTAAAAATTGGTTATTCATTACCTTGTTTTTTGTCTTTTTGAAAAAAATTTAAATGAGGAGTTGTCTGGCGCAGCCCACTATGGCATATAAGTTACGTTTAGCAGAAACCAAAGACCATAAAACAGAAATGTGATCAATCCCAGGACAATTACAATACACGATAGTAAGTCGAGATTCTCAGTGGAATATTACCAGCAGAGAAAGACTTGATTAGGAGAACAGTGACTAACCAATTAATGTTGTCTGTATGTGAAAAAAGGTCAAGAAGTAAAATTGTGCCAACAAAATATTTTTTTGTAAAACTTCGTACAAAACTATGATCTTAGGACACACATCAAAAATATCTCATCAACGAGAAATTAAATATTAAAAAGGAATCAAAATGAAAATTGTGTCAGGATAACATAAAAATTAAGCTTTAGCAGCAACAGCAGCTTTAGCAGCAGCAGCTTTGTGAGCTTCTGTAATAAAAAAAAATATTGTACACATATTTTTTAAAAACTTCAAAAAACATATCTTGGTGACTCACAAGCATTACCGAGGCTTTTTTCCCAGACGGAAATAATGGACTCCTTCTGTTTGAGCTGCTCGATGAGTCGTAGCTCCTCCCTTCTGCCATAATCTGCATCAACCATTGCCTGGTGCATCCTCAATCGTAACATGGGGTCTATTTCAACAATATGCATCCATCGGACTATTTGGTCTAAGCACGCCTCCATACAATCTTTCTTTGCTTGCAAGAATGCCCTGCAAAGAAACAGATAAATTAAATCGTGAGAAATTTCCCTTCAAGAGGACCCATCCCTCTTGACATTATGGGACTTTTTACCTCTTTTACCCGTAAAAAAATTGAGAGGAAATAACTTGACACTTATTTAAAAACATTTTAGACTGGGCAGTTTCAGAAATGTTTTTTTTTTTTTAGTCCAAGAAAATGTTCAGCAGGTAAACGTAAGATCTTACATGCGTTCAGAGGGAAATTTTTGTTCAACAAATATAAGAAAAACTAAAAACGAAAGACAGATAGTGAATGAATTTGCCAGAAATGCAGACAGAAATAGGGAAAAATATTTAATAGATTTTGAAAAAGTCATGAATACAGAGGAATTCATTTCTGTTTTGCAACCAATATCAGTTGCTCCACAACCAATTCAAGGTCAAACTAGCCTGATATTTCCATGAAACGTTTGTAAAATGCTAGTGAAAAGTTACTTGACTTAAACCCTTGGCCAAAAGTGAAGGTTTTAGGTGAAATTTTGAGGGCCCTGTCAGCAAAAGTTTCTTGACACACAGGTACTTACTGGTCAAAATGGTACATGGAGGTACATGCACTCTACAAAAAATGTCCTGTCAACGCCGTTATTTTATTACCAATATTTGCTGTTATGCAATTCACGGCGTTTGCTGTGAACTAGTTCACGGCGTTCACTGTGATCTCGGTTACAGTGTTCACTGTGATCTGGCCACAGTAAACGCCGTGAATTGGAGCCTGATTTGCAGTACTTCGGTGCTTAGCGGCGTCAAACTCACAGTGTTTACTGGGGGCCAGATCACAGTGAACACCGCGAACAAGATCACAGTGAATCCCGTGAGCAGATCACAGTAAACGCTGTGAATTGACCTACAGTGAAAACTGGTAATAAATTAACGGCATTCACAGGACATTTTTCGTAGAGTGTGGAGGAGTCGACAGCTTTAGCCCTGCCTTTGCCGCGGACTTCCTTACGCGGAACTCGCGCTCCCGCAGTTTCTCCCGCATTTCCATGTAGGTATATTTGGCAATGTGGTGCTCCACCACCTTCTGGACGACGGCGGCTGCCAGAGGGGGGTAACACCCCTCGCCAGCAGGTCAGAACGCATTGCTTCTTCCGCCTCCTTCATCTGCTGCTTACTGCAGGAAATCACTGTAAAACACGAAAGTGAAGCAACAGTCAATATCGTGTTCACGTCGATTCGGAGATGGCGCCGTACGGATAGGCCACCCTTCCAGCTCCAGCGGCAAAGATGTTGCCGTGCTCCAGCCCTAGCGCAGCGGGTCCCTATCCAGCCCACGTAGCTCGAGCCACTCGGCACAGCGCACAACGATGTGGCATCCCCTTCCGGATGTGTATGTACGCGATCGACAAGGTACACTTCGGACGCCGCTTCCTGCAATAATTTTAGCGATATCGCTATGATATGGGGATGACGATATCGCTATGGTAAGGGGATGGCGATATCGCTATGATATGGGGATGGCGATATCGCCATAGCTAGCATTGTCGACCTTGCAATGTCAATTGAAAATACTATGCTCGCTACCAGGGAAGGAACTAGCTTCCTATAATGCGCCTGCGCACTGCGTGTCCGCCCATTTCCAACGTCCCAATATTGGCCTTTCTCTAGTGAATAGTACGAAGGTAATGGTTTAAAAGGGTGAATGATAGTCATTTACATTACACATGTTATTATTTGTTAAAATTGCGCCAATCATCGAAAGATGGGCAGGGTCGGACACTCATTGTAAAGGCCACCTTCACGAACCAGAGCCGCACGGCTCTGTCACGAACCAATACCAACACCCTCGCACTCTGCGCCTCATGAACGATCATATAACTTGTTTTCAACGGCATCGCGTACACTTACGTATCTACAGTACATCCGTCCATGGTGGTTCAATCAGCGTACAGCAACTCAGCAACAGAACTCTATGCGCCTCGCGTTACTCCACCTTCCGCCTAGCCGGAACTTGTAAAATTGTAAACAACAATCAGTAGCGGAAATAGGAAGTGCGGTTGCGACAGTGCAGGCAACAACGCGAGGGCCCCAGTTATACCAACACAATGTGTCCTTTGTGAACGCTGGAGGGCAGTCTCGAGGAAGCCCCCTCAGAGGGCATAAACGCTGAAATGCAGCATTCAATCGTCTTCAAATAGATTTCAGTGATGTTTAATTTATATTGTCCTTTGGTCGGAGTCCTTTATATTGCCTGACTAATGTCACCGACCTCGCCGGAGTATAGACAAACCAACTATATACATCGACCGCCTGCTGCCTTAGGGGCCGTTCAAAAATGACGTCACACTTTTAAGGGGGGAGGGGTCCGGAGAAATCGTGACCAAATGTGACATGGGGGAGAGGGGGATGAAGGCATTGTGACATCACACTTTCAAGAAGTGTAAAATTGCCAAATATGAATGGAGTGAGCCACTAAAAAATAAACTGAAATCAGCAATCCCCGCCTACTTCAGCTTAAATTGTCACTGGCTTGGGTATTTTAACTGCACTTTCCTCAGATTTTTCCGAACAAGTTAGCGTTAGACCAGATTCGACCGGATTTTCAAAAATACAATCAAATTGTTAGAAATTTCCAATTAAGGCACCTCATTAAGACGATGTAGTCGCGTATTCCCGTTGCCAAGAATAATGATTTGGACAATGTGACGTCACGGGGAGGGGAGGGGTGAGTCAAAATAGTGACCATTTGTGACTATAGGGGGGGAGGGGTCAAAAAATGAGCCTAAAAAGCGTGACGTCACATTTGAACGGCCCCTTAGGTGAATTGTTGTTGTTGGTTGATGCCAAGTATAATTCAAGAATAAATATTGCCAAATTGATAAATGATGAAATCATGTAGCGCCAATGCTTCCAGGGTGGGTTGGACGGTGGATGGCGCGGCGCCTCCGGCCATAAACAACCGACTACATACATAGACCGACTGCTCCATGTACGCCGCCGCAATTGAGAATTTTCAACTTGACAAATGTTAGTTAGCCGAAACTATTCTTTGTCCAGTTTTAACCCGTCAAATGCGAGCTCAAAGTATTCCGACCGATCGGGAGGCGGCGTAAGACATAAGGGGCCGTTCAAATGTGACGTCACGCTTTTTAGGCTCATTTTTTGACCCCTCCCCCCCTATAGTCACAAATGGTCACTATTTTGACTCACCCCTCCCCTCCCCGTGACGTCACATTGTCCAAATCATTATTCTTGGCAACTGGAATACGCGACTACATCGTCTTAATGAGGTGCCTTAATTGGAAATTTCTAACAATTTGATTGTATTTTTGAAAATCCGGTCGAATCTGGTCTAACGCTAACTTGTTCGGAAAAATCTGAGGAAAGTGCAGTTAAAATACCCAAGCCAGTGACAATTTAAGCTGAAGTAGGCGGGGATTGCTGATTTCAGTTTATTTTTTAGTGGCTCACTCCATTCATATTTGGCAATTTTACACTTCTTGAAAGTGTGATGTCACAATGCCTTCATCCCCCTCTCCCCCATGTCACATTTGGTCACGATTTCTCCGGACCCCTCCCCCCCTTAAAAGTGTGACGTCATTTTTGAACGGCCCCTAAAAAGTACGTACCTGGTCGAGCAAGAAGAGTCGCTATCGCTCAGCCAAACTTTTCCCTTCACCCCCTCCACTTCCTTGCGGTTTGGTTGGATTGGCTAGTGATACCGTCATTCCTTTGTTGGCTGATTCGAATTGCCACTGCTGAGGACTCTGCACCATCACTGGCGGTCGCGAAGCGCCAAGGCACACTGCAAGAAAAAGTGTGAATAGTACAACAAATGTACAACAAAAACTGTACAATAAAAGTACAACAGGGATTGTAGAAAGTACAACGAGAATTGTACAAACCACAACGAGGCCTGCACTGCCCAGCACTCGTCATGCCGGTTCCATTGTACTTTGTACAACTATTGTTGTACTTTGAAAGTACAATAAAAACCTGATAAAAAAATTTCCAGAAATTTGTGTACTTTTGTTGTGGTTATTTCCTGCAGTGCACAGGGTCGAGAAAGACGCAACAGGTTTATTAGCTTCAACCATGTCTGCTGATGAAGATTCAGAGAAAACTAAATATGAGAGGAGTGAATCAGTTTTCAGTTTTACTGTTTCCAAGAGTAATTGGTGGAATGCCTTCTACCAGCCAGACAAAAAGAATTTGAAGGGAGGCTGGGCTGATAAGCTAAAGGCCAAGTTCAAGCAGCACAAACCTCAAGGAGTTTTTTGCTCCCTCGCTCCGGAAGGAAATTCAGTGGTGCATCCGAAGGCAAAAGGAAAGTCTGGTTACCCCTTCAGTGGACGGATGCATTGCACGTCAACTGTGTGCACAATGAGGTGGTTCCTCATGATCGAGGATTTTGATGAACTAAACTCCAATTCGTCGAAAGTACACATCCACGTTTATGGTGAGTAGGTTTGTTTCATTTCTTCGTTGTCTTCGGGTCATTCTTCCTTCACTTGTCTTGACTCTGATGTCACGGATTTGAAACTCGAGTCCCTACACTTGTCACCTGAGAATTTAGTTCTAACATTATTTGTATTCTGTTTATTATATTATTCTGAATAAAATTCAATACGCTTTGTTTAGAATTTTTTGGGGTGAAATGTGCTATGATTTGTGTTAACTACTAAATTACCTTGATTCTAATGATGGTAGGAACTGTCTGCATTAAAAATCAACAGAAGCATTCTGCAGAGTGAAGCTTTCGCAGCAGGTGCCTACCTAATCGTGAAAAACGTTATCAGAAAATATCAAAGTCTGGCCCTCTATTTATTGGTCAAAATAATAATTCTTGCACGCATAACTTTGAAGATTGATTCTTTTAACCGATGCACACAAAGTAGTGTGTAAATCTTGTAAATATGCCACTTCTTATGCACATTTTTCTTTGGAAAAATTTAACTTGTGCAGTTTTTCTGCAGGCCTCATTTTATAAATATTTATTATATGTGTTGCCACAACGTCTTGCTTGATTTTTTTTGTAACGTTTTGTTTTAGGTGAAGGGATCCACAATCACACCAAAAGCAATCCTGTAAGAGCAAGTAACAAGGGCAAGCAAAGGAAAGAATTTAAAGACAGGGTAGAAGCAAAGGGTGCTGCCTCCACCTAGAGGGATTTGCTCTTGGAAAAACTCAACAATGAGAAAGGTGCTGCAGAACTGAATGCGGGCAATTATGATGACGTCCCCACAGTGGAAGCCTTGAGACAAATGCTGAAAGAAAGAAAAGGTGAGGATGACCTGCATAGAAATCCCTGGATCAACCTAAAATTGAGAACCATGGCGGTAAATTTGGAACATGGACAGAATAGTGTGTTCACATTGAGTGACACACCATTTCAAATAGCCTGGGCAACGGATAGCATGCTTGAGTATCTGCACACCATCCACAAAAGCACTGAAGTTGTAATAGGAAACTTTGACAACACAGGTATGAAAATTATGTGAATTTCTTTTATGTATTTGCAAACAGTACACTCGAAAAGCTTCTCCCCAGTATGCGTTCTAAGATGGTATTTGAGATGGCATCTTTCACCGAACTTCATTTTGCAAACTGAGCACTCAAAAGGCTTCTCTCCTGTGTGGATAAACTGATGGCGTTTGAGATTGCCCACTCGGCGAAAAGTCTTATTGCATAAGGTGCACTCGAAAGGTAGCTCCCCTGTGTGAACTCGAAGGTGCATTTTGAGATTACACCCTCTAGAAAACTTCCTTTTGCAAACAGTACATTCGAAAGGTTGGTCTCCCGTGTGAATTTTCACATGCGTTCTAAGATTCTTTTCTGTACGGAACTTCTTGTTGCACACTGCACAGTTCAGTGTCAATTGCTCTTCGTGGATCCGGGCATTAGTTTTAAGTTGATTTTCCAGAACAACTGTGCACTTTGGCAGTTTTAGCTCTACGCGAATTTGAAAATGCCTATCGAAATCGACCCTTCCACTTAACCTCTCATCGAATATCACAGTCTCGAAAGAGCCGACCACTGACTGAGTCAGTGCACCACTTCTCAGACATTCCCCGTCATCGCCTTTGTTTTCCTTTGCATCCCGCGACCACCTGAATTGCTCTTGGCTAGCTTGCCCATCTACAGGTTTCTCCCCGGTGTGAGTTTGTTGAGTGTGATCTGAGCCGTACTCCGCGCGAAAGTTGCTGTCAACCTGACTCTGTGCCATGATCATAATGTCGCAATAGGCCGAAACACACGTCAGCATTAAGACTTCTCTTCGAGGGCGACACAATGCAGCAGCCCTGTTTACGTATCGCTGGAGCGGCCTGTGGAGTTGCAGCTGAAAAGTTCTCGGCGAAAAAGACAGAAAGCTCCAGGTTCTTAAGAAAAACAGAAAAACAATCCAAGGACATCATAATAAAAGCCTTTTCATAAAGATAAGTGAAGACCAGGTAACATGAATCTAAGGGAACTAAAAGAACAGAACATTTCCAAGACGATACTTGCCTGTGTTTGGCCGAAAAATTCTGCGTTCTGGTACGCAGAAAACATTAAATGAAATGTGTGCCACGCCAAAGGTTTGAGGAGAGGAAAAATAGATCTTGTGGAACGATGAGAGCTGATGGCCGTTGCTGTCAAGCTGACTGCTGTTACGCTCTTCCGAGTAAAGCTCCCAGAAACCTGAAATTGAAAAATTATAAGGGGATAAAGGACCTCAAGTAAAAACAAAAGGTACGGTTGAGGAGTTCAATTTTTGTGCATGACAACACTAGTCATTTTTTCGGAGAAAAACCGGAATGCTTTGGGCTTGCGCCGCGTACGTAGGCCACCCATCGTCCACAGCATCTTCAACTCCACTAGCGTCACGGGAAAAGCCATTTTTATACCGAATAACAAGTGTCAAGGACTTGGGCACCGGCCATCTGTTGCTTAGACCCATGGCCACGTCCCATGTGAATTTCAGACAAATCCGAGGTGTTCGACCATTTTCGTCGAAAAAATGTTAAGGCTATACATCATGGTTTTTAACCGTTTTCGGACAAAAAATGAAAATGGCCCAAATTTGATTATATTGTGCTTGAGCACTCCCTTGCGACTCCTGAGACTGTTTCGAGGTCCATTTATACCTTAAACGGCCTTTTTCTGGCGAGAAACTGGAATGCTTAGAGCATGCGTCGCGTAGGTAGGCAACCCATCGTTCACAGATTCTTCGACTCAACTAGCGTCACAGAAAAAAGCCATTTTAACGCCAAATGAAATGCGTCAATGACCATTGGGCACCGGGCATCTGTTACTTAGACCCATGGCCTTGTTAAATGTGAATTTCAGACAAATCCGAGGTGGTCGACCATTTTCGTCGAAAAGGTTTTTTCACGTTTTGGGCTTAAAATTTAAAATGGCCCAAGTTCGAGTATGTTGTACTGGAGCACTCCCTCAAGATTCCTGACACTATCTCGAGTGCCATTTGGGCCCTGAACGGCCTTTTTCTGGCGGAAAACTTGAATGATTTAAGGCTGCTCCGCGTAGGTAGGCAACTCATTGTCCACAGCTTCTTCATCGCAACGAGCGTCACGCCAGAAGTCATTTTCACACCAAATAAAATGCGTAATTGTCCATTGGGCACCGGCCATCTGTTTCCTGGACCCACAGCAACGTTCTCGGTGAATTTCAGACAAATCTGAGGTGGTCGACCATTTTCGTCGAAAAAAAGCTAAGGCACATCATGGTTTTTTACCGTTTTCGGACAAAAAATGAAAATGGCCCAAATTCGAGTATATTGTGCTTGAGCATTCCCTTGGGACTCCTGCGACTATTTCAAGGTCTATTTCTACCTTAAACGGCCTTTTTCTGGCGAGAAACTGGAATGCTTAGAGCATTGCGCCGCGTAGGTAGGCAATCCATCGGTCACAGATTCTTCATTTCAACTAGCGTCACAGAAAAAGCCATTTTTACGCCAAATGAAATGCGGCAATGACCATTGGGCACCGGGCATCTGTTACTTAAACCCATGGCCTCGTTCCATGTGAGTTTCAGACAAATCCGAGGTGGTCCCCCATTTTTACCGGAAAAATGTTAAGGCTACATCATGGTTTTTTGCCGTTTTCGGACAAAAAATTGAATTGGCCCAAATTCGAGTATGTTGTGCTGGAGCACTCCCTCAAGACTCCTGACACTATCTCGAGTGCCATTTGGGCCCTGAGCGGCCTTTTTCTGGCGAAAAACTACCTACTGTAAGTTTGTGTAAGCACCGGTGAGGTAGGCTACGCGCTCTGAGCCTGTTTTACCCATATCTCCTAGCAGGTGCGATTCTGATGACCAGACCAGCCTCTCAAGTGCAAGTTCGCCTTGAGCCAAACCGGTGCTCTGGCACAAGCACTGCTCGGCGACGGCAGTACGATGGGTAGCGCGCCCACACGGGACTCGCACTCTACTCTAACACCAGCACGATAGGTTGCCTATCCACACGGGGCTTTGTGCGTCCGAAGCGCACACGCACCTCGTTCTGGATCTTGCCGCTTTGACGCCGCGCTTCAAAACTTAAGAACACACTCTCATTCCAAGTACGTGACATCACGTTGAAACGAACGTGACAGGATGTCACGTTCGTTTGAGCATTGTGTCACATTCGTTTAGATGTGAATCGGCCAAAACTTAGGTTGTTTACATTCAAACGAACGTGACACAATGCTCAAACGAACGTACTTGAAATGAGAGTGCACGTTTGCCTTCGGGCTCTACTACTATTGGAAATCGGGAACCCCTGTAAAATTGTTATATTATTTTTGAAGACATTGCCACTTGCTGTAGCGCATTTTGGAGATGCGTTATTAACCGTAATATGTATCAATTTACGTAAAACAGAGGGTAAAAATAAATCTCTTACAACATGCGTCACTCTGCCAGAAAAAGTGCGAGAAGTGCAACGAAAGTGGGGCGAAAACTGCGAAAAAAGTACGTACAACGAGGATTGTAGGAAGTACAGCGAGAACTGTTAAAAAGAACAAAGACGCCTGAAATGTACTGACTGCACTAGTGATACCGGTTCCATCACTCACCTCCCCTTCCACAAACAGTTGCAGCGTGCTGGCACCGTGGTGCGGCGACGCCTTGACGCACTGAACCACACTGGCACACTGGCGCTGTGATAGTGGCCAGTCAGCATGCACCGAGCGCGATTGGGAGGGGCAGGTGCAAGGGCAACAGTGGCGGGGGAAATCAGGGGGTAATGACCCCCCTCCCCCTTTTTTGGCAGAAGTTGGCTGCCTGGAAGGTGGGCATGTTGCGATGCATTTCATCTAAATGTAGGCACCCTTCCTTCCAACCTTCTCTTTCAAAACTTCTCTTTCTGCAGACCACACTGGTCTGCAGTCAGTGCACTTACTGCAATCGTACTTTGTTGGAAAATTCTGGTCGGGCATTGATTTATTTTCCAATTTATTTATTTACATATACTTTTGTGATGACATTTCGTTTAACTGAAGGTGATATGACTGTGCCTCTTCTGTTTATTTGTGGTGCATGCGATGATATACAGTACCTCGGATGTCCACCCTGACTCTGACTTATTCCGTGACTCATCATGAATGTTTTCGGAAAATCTCTTTGAAATCGGCGAGTCTTTGCACCGTCATATCTGCAATGTAAAAAGCACCCACTTTAGATAAAGTATTGTTCCAATAAGCAATAGCTTCAAAAGCGATTCAACTGCAACTGTTGATCAAGAGCAGGGGTTCAGAGTAGAATGTAGGACTTTACAACGGAAGGGTTAAAAAAAACCTTGTGCCATGTTTACCAATAATTGGTTCCATTTCATAACGAGGCTTCGGGTTTCGTGTCACTTAGCATAATCTTACCATGGAGATCTTCGAGGGACGGCTGGGTGCCGCCCAGTTCAGAGGGCAGGCACTCTGGCGGGACGAGGCTGTGCAACTCGGTGTAATCGCCACCTTTGTGAACCCGCATCTGTCAACCGAATTGGATCCAATTAGCTACTATCTCAGACGGGACGACGGACGTGAAACGTGACCCCGGAACTGGAACGAGCCAAGGGCCATTTCGCGCCCTTAGGGCGTTGCTCGATCAATTTTTGACGGATTAACACGTTTACGTCCGATGCGGTTTTTGTAATCTTGACCCAAAAGCCAAAGTGTACCCAAGTTAAACTCAGCACGTGCTGCCCGAAATATCTTTGGACTTGTCTCGACATGCCGGACACCACGCGAGAAAATAAGTTAAAGTAGGTGAAACTAACCGGTGAAGCACAAAATCCTATCTGTTGGAGGAACAAATTCTGGACTGAAGTACATTTAACAAAAATAAAATAAGATTTGAGAATTGAAATTTTGATTGAAAATGCCAAAATGCGGCTAAATTTAAGATCCGACCGGACACTGAGAATGAAAAAGTCTTGATCAATACCCAATTTTTGGCGAGGTATACTTAATCACCCAAAATTTGTGTGCAGAATATATATTCTTACCAAAATTTGAGCGAGAAAGAATACCTCACCCAAAATTTGAGTCGTGATTAGTGATTATGACCCTTTCATTCTTGGTGTAATCGCAGTGTGGCATCGAGACAAAAACTAGTTTTTTGGTCTGTGGAATTTTTCTATTTGGTCTATGGTCTAATGAATTTGGTCTATGGTGTAAATGGTGCGCCCTCCACATAAACGAGGTGGCCCAGACAGGAAAGAAAATGTTACCCACTGCCACAGACTAACCGGTGCAAGTACACTCCCACACTCGTTCTCAGTTTTTGTTTAAGAATGTATTGACGTTTCTGCGCATTAAGAAGCGTATTAACATTTTTGTTTGTTTTACAGAGAATATTGTAAATTTGATCTAAACAAATTTTTAATAAAACTATTGATGCGCACAAACGCCAATGCATATTGATACACACTAAATGTCATGGGACTTTTTTTGTCCCACGGTTTATGCAATTTTAAGCACATCCGACGCTGATACAATTTTGTTCCCGTCTGGTGACACATTTTGTCCGGCGCCAGCTGCAACTTGTACTTTCACTAGACAATTTGTCCCGCCTGGCGGACACAAAATTGCATCACCGCCGGATGTGCTTAAAATTGCATAAACCGTAGGACAAAAAAAGTCCCATGACATTTAGTGTGTAAAATGTCGATTGAAGGATGAGAGTGTAATAACCCTGGAATTATGAATAAAATGGTTTTCTTGAGGCCAACCGTTGCATACGTTGAATACTCATACTCACCCTGTCCCAGTCCTCTTGTCTCCCCATGTGACGCATGAGCTTTAAAGCTTTGTCTATGAGGCCCGGACAGTTCACCAGGTGAACTCTATCTCGTTTGATTGGAATACCGTCCTGCAAGTTAAAATGCAAGCAATTTATGCATTCAAATCGTGACAGCAAACGCCATAAAAAGAAGTCACTCTTGGAGCTTTGGAGTAAGGTCATATCAGTCCATGCTCTCTTGACCTTTACCATGGGGACCGCCTTTCCCATAAAACTCAAGTTTGAGTTATGAACTCTACATGTCTTGCGGTGAAAAGCTGCACCAACATATTATGAAAAAGATTTTCTTCATAATACAAACGAAAATCATCAAAATATCCAGAAGGTTCAGCGAATTCGCAAAGGTATGTTATAAGGTCAGCTGCTCCCATAGAATTTTCGCCATAATATAGAGAATCTTCACTAAACGCCTTTTAGAGTGTGGAAACCGGGTGCATACGTACCTCCATATAAACCTGCATCTTCTTTGGCATTGACCAGAGCATTTTGAAGAAATGACTGAACGTTACTTTGTCGAGATCATGGATCATAACAATGCCACCGACAGTGGGCTCCGTTAAAAATATGGTCTCCAAAAGCATAAGTGATACCTGCGGGCAAGAGTTTTAGACATCGTCTCAATTTCCTCAATGCAATGAGGTTGCACGTCTATCAAGGTTCCTTTTTAACTACCAAAGTCTCAACCAGATCGGAAATTTCCGCGCGAAAATGTTCCCACTGCAGTATTCACCTAATTAACGTATTCCGTATCTATTTTCAGGAAATAATTGTGTAAGTCCCTCAGACCTTAATAGGAGTTCAAGTACTTCTATTTGTACCTTGCAGACGTCAGCAATCACGTAATTCGTTGTGTCGGAAGTCCTAAGAGAATTGATGATAACTCGGCTGTTGTCAGGTGTCCGTCGTGGAACAATAGCAACCGTACTGCAACGAAAAAAAAGCAAACGTGGTCGTAAAGTCTAAGATTTTAAGTTCTAAAAATAAAATAAAAAAATAACGCTGACCACTTTGTCAAGTGCTCTGTGAAAAAAGAAATCTGTGGGTATCTCGATTCAGGGAAAGTCGAGTCACCCAATGACGAAATGAGATTGGGATAATTTAGAAACGTGGAAGTGGTTTGACCACAGGCGGAACAGTTCAAACTTCCCCATGTTACAAAGAAGTTTCTGCGTAAGATTCGAAAAAATGGCTATTTCGTAACAATATACAAAGAGTATTTTCCGCAACCTCCAGGGCAACTGATTTTCAGGATCACTCCCTCTTCTCCACGTCCTTCCTTATCGGTCAGGCGAAGAGGTTTGATGTCTCCACAGACAACATCGCACCGTCCGTGGCACCGCACAAGGCGATTGTGTGACGGCCTAGCCGCAACGCCAGGAGACAGCATATCTTACACGAATTATGAAGACTCCACGTTGTCTTGGGGCCCTACAAAGGAGCCCCTTTTGACGGGCCGTTGTGGCAGTGGACAAAACAAATACAGCTCACTAGGACATTTTCCGGCGGGCATTCCTAGCCCGTTCCGTTGCCATTGGCCTTGGGAGGAGGCTCTGCCGGCGGCGTTGCGTGTAGGCCGTCCACGCCCATGTGGCCACACTGTACTGTACCACCGACTTGAGTGTACAGTGCGACCGATAAAGCAGAAGTTGGAGAGCTAGACCGCTCGTCCAGTCTCCAACAGCAGTGTTATCAAACGAATGGAAACACTTGTGATTTTCATCGAATATTGTTGGGAATTGTTAGCGTCGCACGAGGTGTCCACGCATTTGGCACTGTTTGTCCAAACAAAGGATCTTATGAAATTCATCAACCAAACTAAACGGTAACTGAATGCTTACATTACATCGAGTATTCCTTGGATGTTGGGCAGACTTGTGTCCCAGTTGGTAAAGAAGTCTGGCATCTCTTTCCGACACCAGTAGAAATCCTTGGCGCACTTCTTGGCTTTTTCCAAATCATAGTCGCAACTGTGCACGAATTTAACAAGCTGAGCGTCTGCAACAGAAACGGACGAAGGCGTTATACTGGCGTTCAGGTCACTCGCTGGACACTAACACGTCGGACACTTATTGTCATCTACTTGACAGGCGCTCTTAAAAAGTGTGTGAGCACACTCCAAGGGGCCCGCCACTTCTTGCACTCATTGTAGGCGCTCAGCCTTTACTCACACTCAATTGTACATAATTTTGGTCCGTAGCAGACCCCTCTATTTTTGCTACCAATCTGTCCTACAATAACACAGGTGTACAGTGTGCACGCATGCCGTGCATGCTCTTTCTTGCAACATGGCCTGCCTCTGCCTATCGATTATCAGCGCCAACATTCGCAACACATTACAAACTATCAGAGACTTCAACTGCAAAGCCAATGGTAAGTTTGCTTGCCACAAATTTGACAAGCCGTTTTGAATGCCAAAATTTGGCAAGCTTTGGTCAGAAATCTTCATAAGCTTGCCAAATTTTGGTAAGCTGGGTGGTATTTACAGGCCAAGCTTGCCAATTTTTGGCATTCAAAACGGCTTGCCAAATCTGTGGCAAGCAAACTTACCGCCGGCTTTGCAGTGTTTACAAACAAAAGTAGCTTGTAACAACAATGAAGTATGAGCATACATCCGCTAACAAGGAAAATACTTCGTAATTTAAGAGCGATTTCTTCGTTTAAGAAACTAAGCCCATTGCGAAGGCTCTAAATTCTTCCGAGGGTTTTCAGCGTGCAGGCGTTGACTCTCTTGAGAGTCAACCATATAACTCGCATCAGTTTCCAGAGCGGTTAGACATTGTCCGGCGTCTTCTTCCTGAAGGTTTCGAGGAAGGAACGACTTCAGTGGTACACACCATAAATGTTTGTGTCCCGTAATTGCTCATAATTATGGACATATTTCAACATACGTAAATTAGTGAGGGTATTTCCATATTGTCCTTAAGTTTTCCTAAAATTGTAACTAATTCATGTACAAATTTGTACGTAACTTTCATTCGTACAAATACGGCCGTAGTTATGGACAAAGAGTCTAGAAGAATTCTCACACACACACACACACACACACACACACACACACACCGGGGGCGTCGGGCAGTCCCTCCGCTCGCACCCACTCGGCGAACTCCCGGAGTGCTTCCGCGTGGCTGCCGGTCAGCTGCTGGTCCCAGGCCGGCTGGAAGTCGTCGCCGGGCACGGCGGGCAGGTCCCAGTCCGGGCCGGGCTGTGTCCGCGCGGGCTCGGCTGTCGTCGCCATGGCGCGGCGCGGAGCGGCACAGCGTAGCGCAAGGACACGCGCACGGCGCAGACTGACTGAGGTAATCGAGAAGCACGTCGCGTCGGCGGCAGATGGACTGGCCGGCGGGAGGGGGGAGTCCTGGCCAGTCCGAGTGACCTCGCCTTGAGCACACTGATCGCGGTGCTGCCCCTCCCTCCCTCCACCCATGCCCAGCGCAGGACCTTAGGTCCTGATGATAGCCACCGGCCGGCTCACAGTAGGCCAGAAGACCAGTGGTGGAGGCGGTCCGGGTCCGGATCCCGGACGCGTTGAGAGTGCCTGAGTCACTTAATGGGCGTGTGACCCCACCAATGGATTGCTCTCCGAACGAGAAATCCATTGGTGGGGTCACACTCGGTGCGAGTCCTGTTTAGCGACTCTGGAGCTCAAGACGCGTCTTGAGTTTTGGCCGTCTCCACCGGCCTCATTCTGGTCGCACTGTGCGACTCTCACCTACACTTCAAGCCCTAAATGTAACCAGCCCAAGGGCTGCCATCCAGCGGAACGCCGAATACCCAGGCTAACTTAGAGCCCAACTCAGCTCATTCTGCACTCTTCCGCATCCCTGAAACTCCTAGTGGGCCACCCGAGCACTGGGGTTGCGCGATGTGACAGTGAAACTTCCGTTTCATGGCGAAGCGTTCAGGAAAATAACTGATCCATTCTTAGGGCGATTGAAATATGAGTCCTCTGGATGGAACCCAAGAAATGCAGTGCAAAGAGCACTTAATCGTGAATTGGTTTTCACATTTCAGCATGCTGTTCTTTCGTGTGTAGGGAAGTTTCGTTACGTTCACACAGCTTATCTTGCGCGATAGAAGTAACGTTCAAGTGGATGGTGCCGTTCTGTTCAGGCTTCCAGCAATCTCAAAAGCTTGAGATTTCCCTGACATGTGGCGTGTCACCCGAGGTGAAGAACAGATTGTACACGCTCTCCCAAAAGCGCATTTCCACTCCGTGAAGATCGCATTGGGACGGTAAAAGACGTTCCATTCAAGTAGGGACGTTGCTGCCATAGACGGCGCTGCCATATATACTACGTGAAAGATCTGGGCAAGTCTGGTTAGCAGAGCTGAAGCAGACCAAACCCGTTCGGCAGTAGGTTCTTACCTATTTGATTGGGTTGAACCAGTAATTGCACGGCCTGAAAATTTCTATGATATAAGGCACATACACAAGACTGAACCAGCACCAAGTGTTTCTGTGGCGGCTTGAACGTGAAGTGCAAATTAAACCGGAGTCTGAAATTATCAGGTAAAATCCTTCCGCATATGTAACGCCCTTCACCATCATCCCCATCTAAATGCAAGGTAGATCCCTCAGAACGGTGTCAGATTACACTTTCCGCATGTTGCTGACTTCTTCCTCATAAATTACGCATTCATATAAGCAACAATAATACTCACTGTAAAACATATGTTGTGAATTTACGACGGAATATTTTCCGAAGGGTTTTTGGGAATGTCCAAAAGTGCACTGTAAATGTTTCTTTCCTACAGGAACTTTTGTAAATCAACGTTGGTTCGTCGTTAATTTACGAAGGTTCTTTGTAAATTTACGAAGAAAAGTCGTTAATTTACAAAATCTGTTGTAAATTTACGAAGGGCTTCGTAAATTTACGACGGGCTTCGTAAATCTACGGCGGACCTTCGTAAATAAACGAAGGAAGTGTTGGCAATTTTTTTGCCGAAGGATCCGTCGTTAATTCCAGACGTATAACTACGAAGAATCTCTGTATATTAACGAAGTTTCTTTGTTTATAAACGAAGGTTACCTGTAAATTTACGAAGGATCTTTGTAGATTTACGAAGGTGCTTCGTAAATTTCCATTGTGATTGGAAAATCAGCAGAGATCTTTCAAAAAATTAACGAAGGTTTTTGTAAATATACGAAGAGCTTCGTAAATTAACGAAGGAACCGTTGGCAATTTTTTTGCCGAAGGATCCGTCGTTTATTCCGGATATTAATTTTTACAGAGCTGGGTATTATCTAAGTAAGTATGACTAACTTTCTTTGATACATTATGCAGTACAAAACCTAATTGTCAACAACCATTTAATATTTCTCAAAGTATGTATTATGATTGCTCAAATTACTTACATACTGACAAAATGAGCCAAAAGTCAGGAACGTGCTGAGAGTGCAGTGCCTCCTTCAAGAAGTGATGTCTGGATCTAGCCGATTGCTCGGCAGACGTGTCAAAATCGTGCACCCGATTTCAGAGTTCCAACGCCATTTGGAAAACGCTCGGTTCTCTTACATAGACTTCCTTTTGCCGCATTGTATCCTAATAAGCCGCAAAGGTTCGTTTCTGGCTGTATGATTAATTCTTCCTTGCTCTCTTCGAAGTAACGTCCCCATTGCTCATATGAGTCAGTCTTGATAAAACGAACATAAAATTTACACTTGTCACGTCTTGGCGTAACAGTCTTGCTTAGCGTCAGTGTTTTGGGTGAGGAACTCACGGAGCAGAGAAGGGATTTTTGAGGTATTCGGACTGAAAGAGGGTCCTCTGAGTTCGGCAGGCGCTAGAAGTTCGAGCCTAGAACTCCAAATACTCTCAGTCGTTCTCAGATTTTTATCGGCTCGTAGGCTTCTGGACGTATTGTAAATGTCAGTTACGCAAGTGCGGGTGTGTTACGCTCTACCGCCGACCCTCTTAAAGATTCCATCCGTCCTCTCGTCTTGCAGTTGAAGGAGCTCATCCACGATTGGAAGTGACGTCTGCTGCTGCTCTACACTGGGCGTCTCCAACTTCCGTCGTCTTCGATCCGGACACCCTCCCCATCGCACCTTCAGAGGGACACTGGAACAACGTTGCTTTGGAGCCAAAACGTCAGAGCCTTAAGTCCGATCGAAGAGGAGTTCCAGGTGAGCAGTCTGTTATACGGTACCGTGAAACGGGGTAACTTCGGACACTTTTGATAGGTTTTCATGAAATTGTGAAAGTTGTGGTGCTGTCATGGACTTGAGGGTTAAAATTTATCATATAAGGGAGTATGGGGCGATTTGTAACAGATTTCGGAATTCTCTATACAAAATTAAGAACATTCTGCATATCGGTGTCTAACTTGTGCCACTTGAGCAGTCTGGCCCTTCATCTAGACTGTGCAGCTCCATGGGATCAATGTGGAGTCCGTAATCTTTGAAATCTAAGACGTTTTCCAAACCCTTGCATGCTGTTACGAATCGCCCCAGCATGGGGTGATTTGTAACAGCCATGGGGGTTTCATAACATCCTACACATTAAATGAAAAATCGTCGGGAAAGAAACTCCTCCTCCAGTTGTTCTTCGGGTGTCCTGCAGACGTCTAAAAATCTGCATTACAAGCTGCCGTTGACCGCCTCAGCATTAACTGATCGGCTATGTCAATCCTAACCTCACTTTTTTCAATTTCAGATGAAAGAATAGAATAACTCGCTTTGAAACGCATTTCGAGCTGTGTAAATGAATTGGAATAAGGCAGCAGATGATTCGAGAAATAATTCAAGCATTTAATTGCCAAAACTGCTTAAATTCTTAATTTTATACGGGTCTGTTACGAATCACCCCAAATGCCTGTTACGCAAGAAATACGCCCCTAACTATCACTGGACAAATTAAAAGCAACTTATGCCACGTGGTTACATTGTAAAGGGGTCACGCTACAAGGCCCCAACGGTACTTCGATGGTGATTCATACCTGGGGAGCCTCAGACAGAAACTTCCTAGAACTCAAAATAAAAGATTTTTCCTGTTTGCCGAAATTTCGGTGTACCCTATATTTCAGACGCCCTCCAAAACTATACCTGAGCACCGATCACATCCGCTTCGATTGTTCAGGGACCCTGTACTTGAAGCGAAAGAGGGGCCGTACTGAGATTTTCCTCTGCTACCTCCACTTAAATTAATAAACGCATTTGTTACGAATCGCCCCTGTTATAAATCGCCCCATACTCCCTTACCCACATTAAGCTTCGATTTGGCGCTTATTTCAAATATCTGCACCTCACAGTTTTTACAGTGGAGGGTCCGAAGCAGTGTCCGAAATTACCCCGTGTTTTGGGGTAATTTCGGACACCCCTGGTAACCCACATTAAGCTTCGATTTGGCGCTTATTTCAAATATCTGCACCTCACAGTTTTTACAGTGGAGGGTCCGAAGCAGTGTCCGAAATTACCCCGTGTTTTGGGGTAATTTCGGACACCCCTGGTAAAAACGACTTATCGTTCTGATTTTGGTCCCAAAATCGATCACTGTCTCTTTCTAAAGTGCTAATATGATTATATGGGAAATTCGTAAGGGTTTAGATGTAAAGATATGGTAGGGGTGGTCATTCATACATAATTTGAAGTCATGTTTTGCACTCATATGTAGTTCGATTTCAGGAATAGTGGGTGGAACTGGTAGAGCCATTTAGAACGCTTCTATTTTTTAATTTTTGACCGATTAGCTTTCATAGGCAACTCTGGCCATACATTTTTACGGGAAAGTGAATCTTAAATCTTCCTCTACAAGATTACAGACAATCACATACATGCATACGAAGGGCAAGTAGTCGTGTCCTATGTACGGTTAGGAAGATACAGGGGCTCAGTAGAAAGCTTTGCATTTCAATTGTAGTAAACCGGCGAGCTATGCAGCCATTCGCCAAGACTAACTTTCATGTCACATGAAAGAAAATTGATCACAAAACAGTCGTTGACACTAAGGTAGGATATGCACATAAAACTAAGTATTAAGGGGGCACACCAGTGAAAATCGGCAAATTTTTGCCTTCTCTTTTATTTTATCTTATTTTTCTGCTATTCAAACCGAGTCGAATACCTCAAACCCCACCCCGAAATTCCGATTACTTTGGCTTGTGCACATTTTTCAAGTTGCTAAAAAGGTAATTATTTTTGCATATTTTTGACCAATTGATAACGTTCAGGGTTTTCACTTGAACTTCAATTACAAAACCCTTGAAGCACCCAAACGCAGTTGAAAAGAGGAACATTTTGGCGCAAACTGAGCTAAAATACGTCAAAAGA